AATCCGGTTTATCTCCTTTTAAATAATACTTCCTCGGAGGCCTGGTCTCACATGAGTAGCGTGGACAGGGTTCGTGAGTGGAAAGAGTAGCCGAATCACAATGCAGTGCACAAGGCATGTTTATTCACAGACCATATGAGAACGCAATCACTTCACTTCAGAATCACTTTACAATCACTCTACAAGACACTTGACACAACACCATACTCACTAATCGCCTTCATGGCCACGCAGGACCTGGCGAGAACTGACGTGGGGACTGCTCCTGAGCTGGTGTCGGACTCGGCGCGACCATGGGGACATGAATGTACAAATATAGGTCAGTCCCATGTCGCGTAGGTACTACTTCTAACAAATTATAATTATTCTTGTTGGCCAGTTCGATTGGGACCGGGAAGCGCCGGTTAGCTTTCAGCGGAATGCGCTGAAGGACATACAACAACTGCGTGGGAGACAAGAATTGCGTCGAGAGGCGCTTTTGTAACATTGTGTCCCATGCCGAAAGAAAGGCATGTATGTCAACAGAATAAACCGAGAGCAAGCTTTGACACTGACGAAGGAGTGAGCTGAGTTCAGTGGTTGCAGTAGTGACTTTGGCCGCGGCAGTTGTCGTTACGTTAAGCAGGTCGATTCTAGAGGCGATTTCTTTTACAGCTTCCGTAAGCTTTTTACTGTGATCAACTGCTGCACGGGCAGAGGCAGATGTGAGAGCAAATTACAGACGCCTGCTGTTTCTCTAATTTTACAATTTTGTTTCGTGAAGTTTGCAAAGCCCTGAATGCCGCGTTAATCCGAACGCCATCGGCTTCAGACAGCGCACAGTGGTCTGGGAGACCGATTTAGGCGGACCAAAATTGGCATTTCTTAAAACTGCAAATCAAATATATCGGCACTAACCGTTTGTATATTGTTTGGGAGAGTTAAAAACAACACTTTTGGAGCAACGGGTCACCTTTTTTTCCACACACGGGGCCTCAAACTTAATGAATGCGCCAACGCTAATTTTCTCTTTAAAAGTTGTCCACAAAAACAAGTTCTGCAAAATTGAGTTTTGGTCAGAGAATTTCTGAAGATATGCGTGAAAGAGCGCTCTTTTGGGGAATAAATTTGATTACTCACTTTTGGGGTTTGTCCCCCAAATTTTTCGTTCGCTATCGCTCGCGAAGAAAGTGTTGAGCAACGGTTCAATTCAAACTATTCTAAGTTCGAGAAAGTTTCATTCGGCTTCATTCATTTTCATTTCTGGTCTAAATTGTCAGCAATATATTAAGGAAAACGATACAAAAAGAACCATCTGCTAATATCTGCTACTCTAATTTCTGCACGGTCCAACGTAACCACGGAACGCACAATATGCGACACCGGCCGGCAAGCGCGCGCTCGGCGCACAGACCGATTTAGGCGGACATAATTCAATACTCCGGTAATACTCAGACAAAACTATTGAAACTGCTGAACGTTGGTTTAAAAGGGTCGCTTAATCCGATTCTGTAAAAATTTGAACCATCGGCGGCTCATTTTTCCACAAAAGGGGGGATTTTTGTTTTCAAGATATGGCCTTCAAAAGTATAGTGGAAGGGTTTTGCGGACCGCTGAGTCTGATTCTGTAAAAATTTTGGTCCAGAGGCGGCTCAGTTTTCCAGAAAAGGGGGAATTTTTTTTCTTGTTTTTCAAGATATGGCCTTAAAAAGTACAGTAATTGGGTTTTGAGTGCCACTGAGTCTGAATCTGTAAAAATTTCAGATTACAGGCGGCTCCGTTTTCCAAAAAAGGGAGGTATTTTTGGAGTTTTATTTCCCTTTTCCGTTTTCTGGAAAATTGAGCCGCCCCTGATCCAAAATTTGGCAGAATATCAGACTCAGCGGCCCTTAAAACCCAAAAGCTGTACTTTTGGAGAGCATTTCTTGAAAAACAAAAAAAAAACCCTTTTCTGGAAAACTGAGCCGCCCTTGGTCAAAACTGTTTACAAAATCAGATTCAGCGGCCCTCAAAACCAAGGAGCTGTACTTTTGAAGGCCATATCTTGAAAATCCAAAAAATACCCCCCTTTTCTGTAAAACTGAGCCGCCCCTGGTTTGAAATTTTTACAGAATTGGATTCAGCGACCTGTAAAACCTAACCTTCAGCAGTTTCATTATTTTTGTTTTAGTATTACCGGAGTATTGAATTATGTCCGCCTAAATCGGTCTCCCAGACCACTGTGCGCCGGGCCGAGTCGGGAGGCATTGTTGCGCGTGGCAGGCGGGGAGGGATTGTCAATGTGAGGAGAGGGTGCCATTGTTTACGCCCGTGCCGCTGGCGCTGTACCGCGGAGGGATTGTCGAATTTCGCGCAGGCTGCGCCTCACCGCCAGCCGCCAGACACACCAGCCCGCCCCGGCCGCCAGCCCCTATTATATTGTTAGGATACGCGCTTGGTTTCTGGACTCGAGAGTAAAAGCACGCTGACACCTTCATTTGTGTATAGTAGTTTTAAATATGTTTCAAGAGTGAAGGTATCATCTGCTAAAAACCACTCAAAAGTGTCCGAAGTTACCCCGTTTCACGGTACCCTGCCAGAACTAGGTGTTCGAACGGTTCCACGTCGAATCGATGGCTTTTTCAACGATTCTACGACGAATCGACGTCGTTTCGGACACCTGGCTGGGTACAAGCATTCTAACGCATCTATAATTTTAATTTCTATTTCTATTTTCGCGTCTAGCTGTGTACATAAATGTATTATCTCCTAAAAAACTGGTAGTTTTCGGTACCGGCTCTGAGAATGAAAGAGTCACCACCATCGCCCTGTCATTGGGTGACGCACGCATCGTCGCTCAAATTTGGGTAACGAGCCAGCGGTGACTAAATTTTGGGCAGTCAAAAAATCATCGCTCAAAATTGGGTAACGTCGTTGGTCACACCGTGAGGTCCCCGACCACGTCCTTCCGGGGCCAACACGATGACCGCCATGTGGCGTTGAGGCCTCCGGCTCTCGCGGCGCCCAACGCCGAAGTCAGTTTCGTTCTTCGCCCAGTACTACTTTCTGCCGCTGTGGCGGTCGCCACAGCCGCCTACCGGGCAGGCAGCCACACGGACTTCCGTGCAGAAGGGGTTGCCTACCCGCCAGGCGCTCACCGCTGCTCCGCCTCCGGGCCCGAGACGCGCTGCCGGCTGCCAGCAAGGCCCGCCAGCCCTGCAGGGCAGACCGGCCGGCGTCCTACGAGGACGTACCATGAGGCCGCCGTCCAGGCGGAGGAGGAAGTGGTGATTTTTTCGAGGCCAAAGTAGCTCTGGCCAAGAGCCTACTTGATGTCCGGGACTTTTTACTGAAGGGTTGAGTAAAGGAGGTTCCGACCCACCTGGAAACCGAAATTGGTCAAGCCGTTTGTCCAGGATGGTGATGAAAATCATCTACTCTGCAGAAAAAGTCCAAAATTCCAGCTGTTTGACGCCATCCTGAACAAACGGCTGGCTGGAACTTGACCAACTATGGTTCCTAGGTGGGCCGGGACCCCCTCTACCCAACCCTGAAATGAAAAGTCCCGGACACCTCGTAGGCTCGTGGCCAGAGCTACTCTTTGGCCTCGAAAAAAACACCACTTCCTCCTCCGCCTGAACGGCGGCCTCGTGGTACGTCCTCGTATCTCAGAAAGTACTGGGCGTGAAACGAAACCGACTTCGGCGTCGGGCGCCGTGAGATCCGGAGGCCTCAACGCCGCACATGAGGCTCATCGTGGTGGGCCCGGTAGGTCGTCATCGGGAACCTCACGGCGTCGCCGACGACGTTACTGAAATTTGGGCGACCCAACGCACGTTACCAAATTTCAGGCGATGAATTTTTCGCCACCCAAAATTGGGCAACGAAGTTGCATCACCCATTAAAGGGTGATGGTGGTGACCAATTCATTCTCAGTGGGGGCGGGGCGCCTCGGCGCAGCGGTCACTTGACACCCCAAGAAGGTAGGGGAGCAGCCCGCTTTGAGCGACCCCAGTTCCGCGCTGCGCGCCACCCGACACTCCGGGATGCGGGAGAAGGGACACGTCGCGAGTGGGCGACTACTCGAGAAATCCTGTGTCCACTACACTGAGATTCCAAACGCTATGGGTATAGCACGTATGGTGCAATGCAGCTAAGATATCGCATCATACGTGCAAAGCTTATGCAATACCAACCACTCATACATTCAGTTTGAAACAACCCCCTTTGTTCTCTGAGCGCCTCACCCCTTTCACCACGGCGCTGCGTCAAGTAGTTTCCGGTCCGATTATTAACGTGTTTTAGTGCACAATGTGGTAGAGCCCATTGCAGATTATGCAGACTGCTCTTGCGGGGTGTGCCCTTGACTTCCCAGTGCAACCCCTCGACCTTCTCTCAAGCCTCGAGTCTACACTCCCCAATATCCTACTGAGCTTTTTCTTCGTAATACGAACGAAAAGCTTATTATTATGACTGCGCAGCGAAGGTAGTAACCTATGGTGAAGAGTTCTCAGTAACTTTATGACCAATTTCTTCATATTATGAACAAATTTTCCTGTATTATGACAGATTTGTGTCGTAAAGTACTGAGAATTAGCTTAGTATTATGACTGCTCGGCATTTCTCAGTAGGAAATTGGGAGTGTAATAAAGAAGGTCAACGCCCACACTGTGAAACCAAACGTGGACAAGTCCACACTTCCTGGTGTGGAGTAAGTCTCCACACTTGGAAGTGCAGAGTATGCAGCCTCCACACTTCAAGTGTGGAGTAGCCCACAGAGCCCCTATCTCGTAGCATGGTGCAAACGTGGACAACTCCACGTTTGAAGTGTGGAGGCTGCAAACTCTGCAGTTCCAAGTGTGGAGACTGTAAATTCCATTCCACCGCATTTCAAATGTGGAGTTCTCCACGTTTGGTTTGACAGTGCATTGATCCTCCCCAAAAACAGCTTCGATTATATTTCGCACATTTTTAGTGCATAACCTTCCAACTGATTTGTACAAGAAGCCTCCAGTAATACGTATTTTTCTTGTTTGGAACAGTGTGGCGGAGGGCTGGTGAGTTCAGTTTCTGACTCATGGATGATGACGTCTGTCATTGTCCCTCCTGTCTTCAAGATGGCTTCTGTCATTGTCGCTCCCGAGGTCCAGACGGCTTCTGTCATTGTCGCTTCCGATGTCAAGATGGCTTCTGTCATTGTCGCTCCCGACGTCAAGATGGCTTCTGTCAGTGTCGCTCCTGACGTCGAGATGGCTTCTGTCATTGTCGCTCCTGCCGTCAAGATGGAAACAACGAATGAAACAGCGGAGGACACGAGTGAAGTTGGGGCTACCGGTGAGTAATCAAACCAACACGAACTCTAAAAACCTACCAAACTATTTTCGGCCATACAAAGTAAAGTAGCCTGTTGTAACAAGGTATTTTGAGCATACACACTGCAGATGCAACGGCGATACTAAAGTACATTTTTTGGCGATACAATTGAGTATTGCCAATAAACGGCCTTTCGGAAGAGTATTGCCTTCTGAGCGGCGATACAAAAAAGTATCACCAAAATTTGGCAATACTTTTGGATATTGCCAAAACCATGGCATCAAACCAAGGTCTTCTTCCCTTCATTTGTTCTACGTTAATTGCCAAATCGTGGCAATACTCCAAAGTATCGCCAAATTTTGGCGATACTTTTGTGTATCGCCGTTTTGAAGGCAATACTTTTCCGTAAGGCCGTTTATTGGCGGTACTCAATTGTATCGCCAAAAAAGGTACTAAAAGTATTGCCTTTGGATTTACAGTGCATAAGCTTACAAAGAAAATACTTTGTAATTTACGAACTATTTCTTCGTATATAACGAGGTAAATTAGTCTGTACTGCGTCTGCTCGACATACTTTGTAAGGTTTTAAGCGCGCGGGAGTAAGGGAGAGTGGGGTAATTCCGGACGCTTTTTTTCTTTTTGGTCTTTGAGCTTGAATATGCTTCTTGGGTTAAATGTTATGACAGGAATAAAGTATGGACCTTTACCTTCAAAATGGTATACATGAAAGCCAAATCTCAGCAACGGTTAGGGAGATATAGGCGCCTAAACAAAGCCTGCACGTGTCCGGAATTGCCCCAGGCTGGGTAATTCCGGACGACCTATGGGGCATGCCGGACGACCTTAAATTTGACACTACTCGAGCTTACTTTCACTTGTTTGATGTGAGCATGCTTTTAGAAGGCGTTCAAGGACATTTGCTGCGAACTGAAGTGTTTGATTATTACTCAAAGCATATTATAAGGAATAATTTCTATCAAACCCCTAAATTGACAACACAGTCTAAAGTAAGCACTTAAACATAGCTGCAATGCTATTTTTCGTTCTTTCTGTATCCTTCTTAACGGTGGGGATGCATGTCCCAATTTTGAAACCCCTACCTTAACATTATGCGGGAAATTGAAGAAAATAACCCTTATTGTCCGGATTTACCCCACAGGTAGTGAAAACCTTTGATGTTCAACTGTAAGAAAACGGCGAGCCATACGAGCACTCCCGAAACGCTTAAGTAAGTCCAATGACCATATAATATGATAAAATTTAGTCATGGGACTGAACTTGACGGTAAGGTACGATAAGTACATGGAAATACGAGGGAAAGATGCAGCTTTTGCCTATTTTTGATGGTACTCAAATTTCGTGAAGCGACCACAGGCAAACGGTTTGACCTCCTACTTTGGCGATTTGGAATTCTCCTTTTAAACTGATTATCTTCCTCTGTTAGGCGGGCTTTTGAGTTATCTCACTCAAACCCAGTGAAAATCGAAGTGTCCGGAATTACCCCGTGTCCGGAATTACCCCACTCTCCCTTACGGCACTGTAACGCGCAAGTCGGCTTATGCCTGTGGACTTGTCTTTTGCAGTGGAGCCGCCAGTGGTCAATGAGCAACCGGACAGGAAGAGGCGTCGGAAGCAACCTCACCCACTTCCTGTTATCGACTTGAAAAGAGTCGTCCCATCCATTCTCAAGACGCCAATACGATCTCGGCTGGAACAGGCTCGATCTTCACGACTGGAGAAGGAAGGTACGACTTCGGAAAGGGGTGGGCTCTTAAGCTCACCTTTAGATGCACCTGGTGGGTGAGTCCAGTGTGAAGAAGCAATGCATTGGGCCAGAAGAACGGCGCAGGCGGCCAAAAGCTCGCGGTGCGTTTTCAGCTCCAGCGGTGCCAAATGGGACTCGAACCGAACGTCTGACCAATGCCAACGCCAATGGACTCCTCGTTTGCAGATCCACTCTACAAATCAAAGAGTGTACATGGTACGCTCTAACTGGAGCATGCCTGCAAGCACGCTCTAACTAGCGCATGCCTGCCAAGCATGCACTAACTAGTGCATACATGCCATGTACACGCTAACTGAAGCAGACGTTTACTCCAAAAGGGGATAGGGAGTTTTTTTGCATCGGGAAGCGTGTACATGGCATGTATGCACTATTAGTGCATGCTTGGCAGGCATGCGCTAGCTAGAGCGTGCTTGCAGGCATGCTCCAGTTAGAGCATACTATGTACACCTTTGATTTGTAGAGCACTGCAATCCATTTGTGGGGTCACACGTTCGGTTCGAGTCGCATTTAGCGAATCTGGAGATCAAAACGCGTTGCGTCGGTGGTGCTCTAGGCAACGGCAAAGTAGCTCAACAGGTTGTGTCGGCGCCAGAGAACCGTTGTCGTTTTCTGGGGCTCAGAGTAAGCTTGGTCTTCACCGGGGGTCGAAGTCACAAGGGCACGACCTTGTGCGTACTTGAATTCACAGAACGCAATTTGACTTTCAGCTAATTCCCCATTCATCCTTTTGTTACATTGCAGCAACTGCTCGGACGGGACCAACCACACAAAGCACAAGAAGTTCAGAAAGGGTCAGAGTTCGCAACGCGGAGGAAGGTAAGCATGAAGGTGCGTTGGTGTTAACGTAAATATGAAGTAAGAAAATAAAACTGGCTTTTGTCAAATTCAAAGCGGCCATTGCGACGGAGGATCAATGCCCGAGAATTGGTAATCGCCGTAAAAGAATCAGGGGTAAGTAGAGGAATGGCTGACTTCAGTAAACACACTGTTCTCAAGTACGGCACAAATTACTTTACCGCAATTTACTCCACAGTTTACACGGCGGAGCAACGCGCCAGGAAAAAGGCACGCGCTCGAGAGACCAGAGCAGGTAAGAAACGCCTGAATGTAGCCAGATAGCATTTGTAAGTGTGCACTTAGTAGACACTTAGATTTTTAGTGTTTTTATTAAGGGGGGCGTAAAGTGAAATTTCGAATTTTTTTCATGTTTTTTCAGCCGTTTTTTCTTACATATTGGTCTCCCCGACATGAAAATGGACATCACCATTGGACTCTCCATGACTTTTTACGATTTTTCCATCTTTGGTTGCGCGTCTGGAGGCACTTTTTGAATTTTCGCAAACATTTTAGATTTGGTCCATTTTTGGATTTTAATCCTTGCGCGCAGGATTTCAAATCCAAATGTTGCCTTAAAAAATCTGACGAAGTGGCAAAAAATTTTTATGGTCAAAATGAAGAAGACAAGGGAGCTGGATTTCAAAAACATGTTTTCTTTCTGTCTTAATCTTGAAAACTAGAATCATGACTGTTTTTATGCCTCTTTTGGACATTCATTGACCTGTAACTAAAGATTGAGACACATTTTTGACAAAAACTCTCCCTTGTCTTCTAGCTATTTGAACACTGATCATTTTAAGCTATCGCTCAACATTCTACCTCTAATGGTCTCCGAGATATCCTGCGCGCAAGGCCCAAAAAAAAGTTACCGAGAAAAACCGGTTTAAAGTTGGAGGGCCTAACCTAACCTCACAGTGATTGTACGAATTAAAAGCTCCCTATGCCCATTTGACGGTGCTGTGGGTCGAAATATGGTCAGGTTTGGTTGTACCAAGGCCCAAAGAGTCGAAAAAAAGCAAAAACTGAAAATCGATTTTCTTCACGCGCACTTCGTGTGTAACCTTACCCCAACGCGGGCCCATTGGACCAGTATTACACGACTTGCGTGAATAACACTGTTCCTGATTAAGTCGTTATTTTACGAGTAAAGTCCTGTTGATTTTGCAGCACAAAATAGTTGTCCAAATTACAAAAAAAATGTTGAAAAATTTTAATTTTTTTGTTTTGTTTTAATCTGGTTTTAAATATTCCTGGGGAGTCTCTGACTGGTGGTCTTCTGACTTCAATAAACTGCTCTCAAGTACGGCACAGTTTACTTTACCGCAATTTACTCCACAGCTATGACGGCGGAGCAACGCGCCAGGAAATATGAACGCGATCAAGCGCGCAGAGTAGGTAAGAAACGCCAGGCCTTTGCAAAGCAAGGCAGTTTGACATAACAAAGTATTTTGAGCATACATAAGCTTACAAAGAAAATACTTCGTAATTTACGAACTATTTCTTCGTATAACAAAGTAAATTAGTTTGTACGTATGTATGCTCAAAATATTTCGTAAGGTTTTAAGGGTGCTTAATAACAAACCGCTCTGGTTTGTATTTTTAGAGTGGCTCAATAATCGTAACTTTCTGTGTGGATCTGAGCTAAAAGCATTTTTCTGACTGTCTTTTCAAACCTCCAGCACTGAGAAAAGCTCGCCTGCGGCTCGCTGGAAAAGACGGGACTTCGGAAGCACCTGGTACGTACATTGTAAAATTACTGCGGGGGTGGCGATACAAACTCGCAACTTGGCCCATCCTCACTAAGAAAACCTTACAAACTATTTTGGGCCTTACAAAGAAAAGTAGTTTGTATAACAAAGTATTTTGAGCATACGTAAGCTTACAAAGAATCTACTTCGTAATTTACGAACTATTTCTTCGTATAACAAAGTATTTTAGTTTGTTATACGTATGCTCAAAATACTTCGTAAGGTTTTAAGAGTGCTCATATGCACTACAAACCTAACTGTCTACTAAGTACACACTTACAAATGCATGCTTGCAAGTAGTCTAATAGTCTAACACACTCAAACCTAACTGTCTACTAAGTACACACTTAAAAAGGCATGCTTGCAAGTAGTCTAATAGACTAGTAGTCCAATCGTCTAACACACTCTAAATGTCTTACGAAAATTTCCCATAATACGAAGGAAATGGCTCAAGCATAATACGAAAGTGGTTTTTCTTCGTATTACGCTAAAAGCTAAAAGGATTCGTACTACGAAGGAATATTGCTTGGTATTATGCTTGCGCCGAGTTCGCTGTAACATACGAATAACATCGGTCAAATTTCATTGTAAGACATTAAGAGTGCAGTCATCAGTACACAACATCTTACGGTAGGCCTACAAAGTAAAGAAGTTGGACCGATCCCAACTCTAGCGACCGTGTGACTACGACGGCCCTTGCGACGCCGCTTGCGACTATTGTAAAAGATGTACCATTGGTCTAGTGCATTTAAAGTGGTTGGACGAGATATTGAGTCCAATTCTGATTCTTCTGCAGGTCAACCTTTAATGCTTTCTCTTCAAAAGTCGTCCTATCAAAAAAAAAAATTGTTACCGCACTAATTTCTGAGCAAAACCACCTCAAAGTCGGAGTTTTTACATGGCGCCTTACGGAAGAGCGTGGCTGCAACCCACTCTGCACTCTCCACTCTCATTCTAGGAACGTGACATCACGTTGAAACGAACGTGACAAAATGTCACGTTCGTTAGAGCATTGTGTCACATTCGTTTTAATGTGAACAAGCTAATTTTTGGCGGATTCACGTCTAAACGAATGTGACACAATGCTCAAACGAACGTGACATTTCGTCACGTTCGCTTCGACGTGACGTCACGTTCCTGGAATGAGAGTGTATCAGTGTTGTGCGGGTTGCAGCCACGCTCTCCCGTAAGGCCCCATGTAAAAACGCCGACTCTGAGGTGGATTTGCTCAGAAATTAGTGCGGTAAAAAATTTATTTTATAGGATTACTTTTGAAGAGAAGGCATTAAAGATTGACCTGCAGAAGAATCAGAAGTTTTTTTATTGGACTCAATATTCCGTCCAAACCACATTAAGTAGAAAATTCGATGAACATACTGTTCTCAAGTGCATCAAAATAACGTTTCCGCAATTTATTCCACAGTGACGCCGGAGGAGATGAAACGCGCGAAGAGAAATGAACGCGACCGAGCACGCAGAGCAGGTAAGGTTGAAGGACGTTCTGGACTCAGTCAATGCATTTGTACTCTCATTTCACTGAAAATCTATCGGCGTGACTCAGAAATTCACGCCAATTTTTGGCGTGAATTTCCTGTCACGCCGGTGTTTGGCATGACTACGCACCAATGCACACAGAACATTCACGCCAGATGACGGCGTGACGCACACGTCATGCCGTTTTTCGGCGTGAATTTCCTGTCACGCCAATTTTTGACGTGACTTCCTGTCACGCCATAATTTGACCATGTGTCCGACCATTCAATTTTCAGTGTTTAGGCACGTGCACTCCCAGCACGTTTTACTGACGTTTTGCTCATTTTGTCAGTACTTATGCAAGTAATTTGTGCAACCATAATACGTGCTTTGCCTTCCTTAAACAACGACTTACGAAATATTAAATAATGTACTGACCATTTGGTTTTGTACATCCACTTACAAAGGAAATAAGTCATACTTAGAAAATATTATTGTTGCTTATACGAATACGTACTGAGTGGCTCATTTCCGAAAGACTCTCTACAAGTGGAGCGTTTCTGAGTTGAGTGGTGTTCTTCTGTCTTTTCAAACCCCTAGCACGAAGGCAATCTCAGTTGGGGCTCCCTCCATCTCAGCCACGACTGGAGGTGGAAGGTACCACTTCAGAAAGGGGTGGGTCCATCAGCTCGCCAACAGAGAATGCACCTGGTGAGTCCAGTGTAAAGACGCAACGCACAGTGGGCCAGAAGATGGGTGCAAGTGGAAAGCTCGGGACGCGATTTTGAGCTCCAGCGTCGCTGTATGGCACTCGAACCGACCGTCTGACCATACCAAAGGATTCCTCCTAAGGAGAGGAATTCAATGGTGGGGTCACACGTTCGGTTCAAGTCCCATTTAGCGACTCTGGAGCTCAAAACGCGTTGCGCCGGTCTTCTGGCCCACTGTGCAACGCCTCATCTCCGAGTGACTTTCTACCAGTGGAGCGTTCCTGAGCTGAGTGGTGTTTTTCTGTCTTCTCAAACCCCTTGCAGGAAAGCAGTCTCGATTGGGGCTCCCTCCATCGCGGCCACGACTGGAGAAGGAAGATAAGACATCGGAATGGAATGCGCCTATTAGCTCACCAACTGAGCATGCACCTGGTGAGTACATTGTAAAAGAACAGCAAAAGTGGCGATACAAATCGGCAACTTTGGCCGCCCCGTACCTTTTTAACGTGCGCAAATTGCACTCATTTCCGAGTGACTTGCTGAGTGGTGTTCTTCTGTCTTTTCCAACCTACAGCACTGAAACAGTCTCAGTTAGGGCTCCCTCCAACGTGGCCCCGACAGGAGAAGGAAGGGACGACTTCGAAAAGGGATGGGGCCATTAGCTCAGCAGCAGAGGATGCAACGAGTGAGTACATTGTAAAATAACAGCAAAAGTGGCGATACAAATTGGCAACTACGGCCCGTCCCGCACATTGCAAAAATGCGCCGAACGGGTGTCTCAATGCCCACGAGGGTAGATTCAACAACCACCACTTACGTGGACTTACCTCCCTAAATTTTCGTCCTGTGCAGCCAAAAAAGTTTCCGGTACTTAATTCTTCCATTTTTTTGGTAACGTTGCAGTAACTTCCCGGGCTGAACCAGCCTCACAAGGAACAAGAAGTTCCGAACGAGTCAGAGTTCACAAAGCAGAAGAAGAAGGTAAGCATCAAGGTTTGTTGGTTTCCAACAACAAAGTACCAAATCTACATTTCTAAAAATAATTTTACAGCTTTGCCAGAGGAGCGATCTGCAAGGAAGGAATTTGACGGAGCACGCTTAATAGGTAAGCAAGGAGGTTGCTCAACGCATTTCCTATTCATGAAGTTTTCGCATTTATCAGAATGGTGTGCATTCGGCAAACCTCTCACTTTCAACAAAGCTCAGCCTGCCAGACAGAATGATGGCGACACAGCACGCCGCACAGTGGGCCAGAAGACCGGTGGAGGCGGCCGACACTCTATACACGGATTTTGAGATCCAGAGTCGCTAAGCAGGACTCGAAGCGAAAATGTGAACGCTCCCCGCTCCAATGGATTCGTCGTTCCAGTCCTGCTCAGCGACTCTAGAGCTCAAAGCACTTCCGAAAATGTGACCGCCGCCACCGGTCTTCTGGCCCACAGCGCCGTGCACTGTCTCGCGCTCAAAGGGATACACTCTCAAAGTCATGTCAATAAATGTGACATGTGACCTATGTTACGGCTAAGGTACATCCATTCCGAAGTTCAGTAAATTAACGTTTCTGAAAATGTATTTCACAGCTGTTCGTTTACCAGAGGAACAACCCGTGTCAAAAGCCGGTCACCAGAAAGAAAGCATGTTGGGTAAGCTTAGAGAGGACGGTCCCAGCAATACATGTGCAAACAGTCTGAGCGTTCGGCAACTAACGATATATCGTTAATCTATTTCACAGCTGTCCGTTTGTCAGAGCTTCGACGCGCATTGGAAGTCGAGCGCGAGAGGAAGCGAAAATCAGGTAGGCCAAGGTTGCCCTCTCCTCTAAGTGATTCAATTTCAGCACAGAAACGTTTCTAAACTAACTTCGCACCTGTTCGTTTGTCAGGAGAACAACGTATGTCGGACACCGACCTGGACAAAACACGCTTGTTAGGTGAGCCAAAAGAGGTTGCTCGCTGCAATGAGCCCTTCACACTTAAAACTCTACAAAGAACTGCTCTTTGTATTACAAAGAAAACGGCGGCTTCGCAGCCTGCGAAGGAAATCGTTTGTAATACGAACGAATTTCCTTGTAAAACGAACGAAAAATTCTTCGTAGCCTACGAAGAACTTCTTCACAGGATACGAAGAATTTTTCCTTTGTAATACAAATGGTTTTCTTCGTATTACAAACGATTTCCTTCGCAGGCTGCGAAGCCGCCGTTTTCTTTGTAATACAAAGAGCAGTTGGGGCGTTCCACGTCAAACCATCATGGTCCAAAACGTACTTGGTCGCGAGGCCGGCCCCAATTTTTTTAACTGGAGTGTAAGCCAAGGTCACTAAAATTTTTGAAAAAAAATTCAGAACTTTGGCCACAGTGATTTTTTGAAATTCAAAAAAAAAAAAATATTTTTTTAAAGTTTTTTAAAAAATTTTAAAACTATTCCCAAAGGGGTTTTTTGAAAAAAAGAAAAGGGCAACTAAAAAAGTTGAAAGGGAAAAAAGGGCCCCAAGGCCCTTACCAAAACCCAAAAGTTTTTGTTTTAAAAAAAACCGGTTTCGAACCCAAAATACGGTTCAACTTTTTAAAACCAAAATTTTGGCCCTAAAAAGGGAACCCCAATGGGATTTTTCCCTTTTAAAAAATTAGGGAATCAAAACACCCGGGGTATTGCCCAAAATTCAAAAAGTTCGGGTTATCAAACTTTTCCCCAAAAATTGTCAAAAGGGGACCTTTATGGTTCCGCTGAGGCCTGTGCATTGAAATATATTCAATTGTCTGTCTTGACACCATGGAAGATGTGAGAGAGGTAAAGGTCAGCATTACAAGAGTTTTGGAATTACACGGCAATAAGTTTTTTAATTATAATAACCAAATGCGACAAAATGCTTTGTTTGGCAGTCGCCAACTGAACCCATTGATTGGTGGGGATTCATCCAAGCCATCTTCACCTTGACCATGCAACTGCTGGAGACTTAAAAGAAGAAAATGAAGATGACCGGATGAAGTCCCCACCAATCAATGAGCTTCAGTTGGCGACTGCCAAACAAGCATTTTGTCGCATTTGGTTATTATAATTAAAAAAAACTTATTGCCGTGTAATTCCAAAACTCTTGTAATGCTGACCTCACCTCTCTCACATCTTCCATGGTGTCAAGACAGACAAATTTAATAGTATTTCAGTGCACAGCGCCTCAGCGGAACCAATATAGGTCCCATTTTGACAATTTTGGGGGAAAAAGCTTCGATAACCTTTGATAACTTTTTGAGTTTTTTGACAATATCTCTGGTGTTTATGGATTGCCGTCCCTAATTTTTTAGTGACAGTTAGAGTACCTCATTGGGGTCCTTTGATGCCAATATGGTCCAAAAGTGAGACGGCGTATTTTGGGGAAATTTAAGAAACCGTGGTTTTTTTTATCGTAAACTTTGTTTCTGGTAAGGGCTGGGGGTCCCAATTTTTTCTTTCACTATTTTCTGTTGCCCTTTACTGTTTTCAACCCATTTGAGCACCTAGATACACAATTTTAAAAAAACTAAAAAAAAAATTTAATTTTTTTTTTTGAAGTTTCAAAAAATCACTGCGGCCAAAGTTCTGAATTTTTTTTCAAAAAAATTTATGAGAGTGGTCTTTGGGTGGTACACTACCAGATAAAAAATTGGGGGCCGGATCTGAGCAAGTACGTTTTGGACCATGATGGTTTGACGTGGAACGCCCCAGTTCTTTGTAGGAATTTATCTGTGTTCGTGAACGTTCAGCATGAATTATCGTTTTTTTTGGTAAATTTATTTCACAGTTGTTCGTCTGTCTGAGGAACACTGTCAGTCTGAAGCCAACCAAGAGAAAGAACGCGTATTAGGTAAGCCGAAAGAGGGGTGCTCACTGCACAGCACAGTGCGACCGGTGGAGGCGGTGGAAATTCTAGACGCTTTTGAGTTGCGGAATCGACTAAGTACGGGACGCGAAATGAATGTGTGATCCCACCAGCGGATTGCTGCCCCAACGGGGAATCCATTGGTGGGGGTCACACGTTCGTTGAGGCTCAAAAAAGACGCCTAGAATTTTGGCCGCCTGTCCCGGTCTTCTGGCCCACTATGCAAATGCTCTGAACGTTCAGCAAACTAACGTTCCCATGATTTCACAGCCGTTCGTCTGTCGGAGGTCCAACGTGTGTTGGAAGACCACTGTGGCGCAGATAGCATTTTAGGTACACCAAAAGAGGTTGCTCACTGCGATTACCACAAAACTTACAGTACAACCAGCAAACTAACGTTTCTGTAAATTTATATCACAGGTGTTCGATTGTTAGAGGTTAGAGAACGGGGTGGGTCTACCAGCTCACCAACAGAGAATGCACCTGGTGAGTCCAGTGTAAAGACGCAACGCACAGTGGGCCAGAAGACCGGCGTCGGCGGCCAAAGCTAGGGACGCGATTTGAGCTCCAGCGTCGCTATATGGCACTCGAACCGAACGTCTGAACCACACCAATGGATTTCTCCTACGGAGAGGAATTCAATGGTGGGGTCACACGTTCGGTTCAAGTCCCATTTAGCGACTCTGGAGCTCAAAACGCGTTGCGCCGGTCTCCTGACCCACTGTGCAACGGCTCAACTCCGAGTGACTTTCTACGAGTGGAGCGTTTCTGAGCTGAGCGGTGTTTTTCTGTCTTCTCAAACCCCTAGCAGGAAAGCAGTCCCAGTTGGGGCTATCGCGGCCACGACTGGAGAAGGAAGGTACGACTTCGGAAAGGGATGAGGCCATTAGCTCAGCAGCAGGGTATGCACCTGGTGAGTACATTGTAAAAAAACAGCACACTCAGCACGTTACTAACTTTTTCGCTCATTTTATCAGTACTGATGCAAGTAATTTGTGCAACCATAATACGTACTTTCCTCTTTAAAAAGAAACTACTATAGAAATATCAAATAATGTACTGACAATTTGATTTTGTACACAATTTTACAAAGGAAATTAGTCATAGTTAGAAAATACTAAGTATTATTGTTGCTTATACGAATACGTAATTAATGAGGAGAAGGTCAGTAACATGCTGAGAGGGCAAAAGTGGCGATACAGATCGGCAACTTTGGCCCGTCCCGTACATTTTAAACGTGCGCAAATTGCTCTTATTTCCGAGTGACTTGACTTTCTCCGTTTCTGAGCTGAGTAGTGTTCGTCTGTCTTTTCAAACCTACAGCACTGAAACAGTCTCAGTTGGGGCTCCCTCCACGGCGGCCACGACAGGAGAAGGAAGGTGCGACTTCGGAAAAGGATGGGGCCATTAGCTCAGCAGCAGAGGATACACCTCGTGAGTACATTGGTAAAATGACAGCAAATGTGGCGAAACAAATCTGCAACTTCGGCCTGTCCCGTACGGAAAAAAAGAATTTGTTGTGACAACGAGAATGCATGTTCATTTTGGGATAGCAAAAAAAAAGTAGTTGGGCGTACTATTAATTTGTTGTGAGAACGAACACTTTGCTCTCACGACAAATGATTTATCAGGAGTACAAACATTCATTTTTATTATGTTTAGTACTCCTGACGATATAGTACGTCCAACAACTTTTTTTAGCTATCCCAAAATCAACATACATTTTCATTGTCACAACAAATTCTTTTTTTACGTGCGTACATTGTAAACATGCGCCAAGTGCACGTATTTTACCCGAGCGCGTGTCTCAATGCCCACGACGGGAGATGTACCACCACTTGCGTTAACTTGCCTCCCTATATTTTCGTCCTGTGCAGCCAAGAGAGTTTCAGGGACCTAACTCTAATTCCTTTTGTCACGTTGCAGTAGCTTCCCGGGCTGAACCAGCCTCTCAAGGAACAAGAAGTTCAGATCGGGTCAGAGTTCGGAAAGCAGAAGAAGAAGGTAAGCATCAAGGTTTGTTGATTTCCAACAACATTTTCAAAAGTAAAGAAAATTAAACTAATTTTTTGTAAAATTTAAAGCAGCCATGGCAACAGAGGCAGAGGAGCAACGCACAGGAATAAATGGTCAGGTACAAGAAAGTAGAGGTAAGCAGAGAAGTTGCTGGATTCATGGTGCATACCGTCTTTAAGTAGCAAATCTACATTTCCACAATTAATTCTACAGCTTTGCCAGAGGAGCGACCTGCGAGGGAGGAATTTGACGGAGCACGCTTAATAGGTAAGCAAGGAGATTGCTCAACGCGTATTCATGAATTTTTCGCATTTATCTGATGGGCGTGGTTTCGGTAAACCTCTCGCTTGAAACAAAGCTCAGCGTGCCAGACAGAATGATGGCGACACAGCACGCCGCACAGTGGACCAGAAGACCGGTGGAGGCGGCCGAAACTCTATCATACACGGACTTTGAGATCCAGAGTCACTAAGCAGGACTCGAAGCGAACATGTGAACGCTCCCCGCTCCAATGGATTCGTCGTTCGAGTCCTGCTCAGTGACTCTGGAGCTCAAAACGCTTCCGAGATTGTGACCGCCGCCACCGGTCTTCTGGCCCACAGAGCGCCGTGCACTGTCTCGCGCTCAAAGGGATACACTCTAAACATCGTGTCAATAAATGTGAGCTATGTTACACTTCAGTTAATTAACGTTTCTGAATATTTATTTCACAGCTGTTCGTTTACCAGAGGATCAACCCGTGTCAAAAGCCGGTCACCAGAAAGAAAGCATGTTGGGTAAGCTTAAGGGGGCAATACACCGAAAATGGCCGAAAACTGACTTGTGCAATTGCTTCCATACGCCTTGTTGTACATTGTTCAAAGTTTTCATGTGTCAAGACCTTACAAAAAGAAGCATTTCAAGCCTAGAATGGCGTCGATCAGACGTCAGGGAGCGGAGCAGCTACCAACCAAATTTTAGTCTCAAATCGAACCGGTGGAAGTCCCTCAGGCCGCAAAAATGAAGATATCTCTACCCCGATTGCACCAAAACGTAGGTAATTGAAGCGGCTATCGCATGAACTAGAACCATCAACATCAAGCAACCGAAAGTACAATTTTCATCCAAAAACAGTTTTTGAGGACTTTGCAAAAATTATCAAAACAGTTTTTTCGTAAAATTTTGTACTTTTGATTGGTTGATGTTCATGGTTCTAGTTCATGCGATAGCCGCTTCAATTGCCTACATTTTGGCGCAAACGGGGTTGAGATATCTTCATTTTTGCGGGACTAACGGACTTCCACCAGTTTGATTTTGGACGAAAATTTGATTGGTAGCTGCTCCGTTTCCTGACGTCCGATCTTCGCCATTCTAAGCTTAAAATGCTTCTTTTCGTAAGGTCTTGACACATGAAAAGTTTGGGCAACGAACAACAAAGCGTATAGAAGCAATCGCCCAAGTTGTCAACTTATCGTTTCTTTAAATCTTTTCCACAGCTGTCCGTTTGTCAGAGCTTCGACGCGCATGGGAAGTCGAGCGCGAGAGGAAGCAAAAATCAGGTAGACCAAGGTTGCCCGCTTAGTAATTCTTTTTCAGCAAATAAACGTTTCTAAACTAACTTCGCACCTGTTCGTTTGTTAGGAGAACAACACGTGTCGGACCTGGACAAAACACGCTTGTTAGGTGAGCCAAAAGAGGTTGCTCGCTGCAATGTGCCCTTCGTGAACGTTCAGCATAAATTGATTTTTTTTGGAAATTTATTTCACAGTTGTTCGCCTGTCTGAGGAACACTGCCAGTCTGAAGCCAACCAAGAGAAGGAACGCGTTTTAGGTAAGCCAAAAGAGGGTGCTCACTGCACAGCCCAGTACGACCGGTGGAGGCGGCCGAAATTCTAGACGCGTTTAGAGTTCCGGAATCGACTAAGTACGGGACGCGAAATGAATGTGAGTGTGATCCCACCAGCGGATTGCTGCCCCAACGGGGAATCCATTGGTGGGGTCACACGTTCGTTGGGGCTCAAAAAAGACGCCTAGAATTTTGGCCGCCTGTCCCGGTCTTCTGGCCCACCATGCAAATGCTCTGAACGTTCAGCAAACTAACGTTCCCATGATTTCACAGCCGTTCGTCTGTCGGAGGTCCAACGTGTGTTGGAAGACCACTGTGGCGCAGATAGCATTTTAGGTACACCAAAAGAGGTTGCCCACTGCGATTACAAAACTTACGGTACAACCAGCAAACTAACGTTTCTGTAAATTTATATCACAGGTGTTCGATTGTTAGAGGTGCAACGCGTCTCGGAATCTGACCGTGAAAAAGAATCCCAATCAGGTAAGCGAAAAGAGGTTGCTCGCTTTGATTGCTCTCAGAAGACCGGTAGAGGTGGCCAAAACTCTAGATGCGTTAGCTGCGGAGCTGCTGAGCAGAACTCGAACCGAGCGTGTGTCCCCACCTATAGATTCCTCGTTCGGAGAGCAACACACAAGTCGTGTCAGAACGTTCGGTAAATTTGACCTTAGTTAAGAAAATTAAAATATTTATTGTCACTTCCACAGCAGCCACTACAGCAGAGGTTGCAGGCACTATATCAAATGATGGCGCAGTACGCAAGGGTAAGTAGAGAAGTTGCTGTGTGTCCCACCCTATAGATTCCTCGTTCGGAGAGCAATCCATAAGTCGGGTCAGAACGTTCGGTAAATTCGACCTTCGTTAAGAAAATTTAAATATTTATTGTCACACCCACAGCAGCTACTGCAGCAGAGGATGCAGGCACGAAAACAAATAATGGCGTGAAAGTTCGCAGGGGTAAGTAGAGAAGTTGCTGAATTTGATGAACATTCTCAAGTACAGCAAATTTACTTTTCCGTATTTTGTTCCAGGCAAACCTTCACGAGGCACGATAACAAGTGATGGCGTTAAAGTTCGCAAGGGTAAGTAGAGAAGTTGCTGAATTTGATGAACATTCTCAAGTACAGCAAATTTACTTTTCCGTATTTTGTTCCACAGTCAAACCTTTGACGGAGGAGCAACTCTTGAAGAAAAGGGAGCGTGACCGCGAAGCCTGGAGGAGAAGATACCACGACCGTTCAATTAAACCAGGTACACTCGAAAGCAGGGATGAAACCCGAAACGAAACAATACCAGGGCCGTCACGACAACAGTTTGCACCCTCGACCTTAAGAACATAAGAATGTTTAGAGTCAAATCGAAAACAACCAATATGCAATGCGTAAAAGGACGCTGGAGAAAGTAGAAAAGTTGCTGAATTTGATAAACATGCTGTTCTCAAGTGCAGCAAAATAACGTTTCCGCCATCTATTCCACAGTTTTCACGGAGGAGCAACGCGCGAGGAGAAATGAACGCGACCGACAGCGCAGAGCACGCAAAGCAGGTACGCAACGAGGTTGAAGGACGCACTAGGTGTCAGGCAATGCATTTGCACACAATGGCAAAAAGATACGGAAAATTCTGTTAAGTTTTTCTCAGATTCTCCGTAGCCCTCTTATCCATATTCCCGAAGGCTCTTACAGTATCTTCCATAGGACCGTACAGTCTTCTCCGTAGGACCAGGAAGACTGAATAGTCCTACGCAAATATTTGAATTAAAATACCGTAAGGTCCTACGGAGAATATTGACAAGGGGGCTACGGATAATTACCACAAGCTGTTGACAGAATTTTCCGTAGCTTTTTGCCACAGTGCAATGTTCAGATAAATTGTCTGAACGCCAAATCGATCGGTATTGCTGGGAATCCCGGAAGATGGAACTGCCGTTCTTTCCCTCAATGGCAAAACCTCCCTGACTGATATTATCTGCACTGGTAAAAGAAAGGCATGAAAATCACGCCATTTGGGGCGTATGACACTCTCTTACGCCCTTTGAAGGAGTAAATCGTTTCATGCCCTTGGGAAGGGCGTAGAGGGCTTTGAAGCAAAGTCTTCATGCCCTTCCATAAGGCATTAACGATTCACGCTGCTCCAGGGGCGTAAAATGTATACGCCCTTACAGGGCGTAAATTTAATGCCTTTGTTTCACCAGTGTGAGAGGCTCATTTCGGAGTGACTTGACTTTCTCCGTTTCTGAGCTGAGCAGTGTTCGTCTGTCTTTTCAAACCTCCAGCACTGAAACGGGCTCAGTTGGGGCTCCCTCCACGGCGGCCACGACAGAAGAAGGAAGGTACGACTTCGGAAAAGGATGGGGCCATTAGCTCAGCAGCAGACGATGCACCACGTGAGTACATAGTAAAATGACAGCAAATGTGGCGATACAAATCTGCAACTTTGGCCCGCCCCGTACATTTCAATCGTGCGTCAAGTGTTCGTATTTTACCCGATCGCGTGTCTCAACGTCCTCGAGGGTAGAATGTAGCCACCACTTGCGTGAACCTACCTCCCCGAATTTTCGTCCTCCTGATGAAACTCTCAGCTAATTCTTCCTTTTGTCGCGTTGCAGTAGCTTCCCGGCTGAAAGCATTCTCAAGAAGCAAGAGATGTTCAGACCGGGCCAGAGTTCGCGAAGCGGAAGAAGAAGGTAAGCATCAAGGTTCGTTCGTTGGTGTTGACAACATTTATAAAAATTATGTACATAAAACTTATTTTTGTCAAACCCAAAGCAGCCAATGCAACAGAGGATGAATGCCCGGGAGTAAATGATGGCGCACAAGAAAGCAGCGGTAAGCAGAGAAGTTGCTGAATTCGTTGTGTTTACCGTTCTAACAGTGCAGCAAATTTGAGGTTTCCAAAATTAATTCTGCAGCTTTGACGGAGGAGAAACGCGCGAACGCCAAACTCTACTTCTTTTGGCCGCCGCCTCAGCCTACATCGGCCAAAGGGCAGAGTCCGAAGAAAGCTCTTCGGGGGGAAAAGCGTCGCTTGACTGAAAAGAACTCCCAAGGGAAAGGCCTACCAAAGAAAATAAAATGGCCAGGTAGGTACAGCCCCCACTGAACTCCCGTTGCTCACTGCACTGCCAATCCAAGTGTGAGACAGTCTCACACTATTTAGTGCGAACCACGATGTCTCACGCTTACAAGTGTGAGCCACGTGTGTCCCACGCTTGGAAGTGTGAGACACGGTATGTCTCACACTTGCAAGCGTGAGAAACGGTTTGTCTCACACTTACGAGCGTGGATCCTGTGGCATTAAACCACAGGGAACCATAGGCAGTAAAAGTGGGACACACCGTGTCTCACACTTGCAAGCGTGGAACAAACGTGGCTCACACTTGTAAGCGTGAGACATCGCGGTACGCACTAAATAGTGTGAGACTGTCTCACACTTGGATTGGCAGTGTACGTTTCGACGTTTACACTCTCATTCCCGGAACGTGACATCACGTTGAAACGAATGTGACGAAATGTCACGTTCGTTTGCGCACTCTGTCTTTGCTTGAATGTGTTTAAGCTAATGTGTGGGTGATTCACGTCGAAACGAATGTGACACAATGCTGAAAGGAACGTGCCATTGTGTCGTCACATTCGTTTCAACGTGATGTCACGTTACTGCAATAAAAGCGTAACGTGAGATGCCGTTTTGTATTTCCACAGGCGAACCTATGACGGACGAGGAATTCGAGCTCAAACTCAAACTCATCAAAGAACGATACGCAGGTGAGCAACTCACTAAATTTCTTTGTACAATTTTTGTACGTGACCTCTCACTGTCATTCAAACTGCAATACAATAATCACGGTCTTTGCAATAAAATACATATCACAATTTTTTTTGAAACGATGAATACTAAAAAAATAATTATTTTAAAAATCACAGCTAAATTTTGCAATATAGTATCACTTTTTTCCGATGATGCCCACATAGAAAATGCAACAAAAAGTTATAGCAGCACAAAATGGGATAAAAGTTACTGCAAAAGGCTCTTTTATAGCAAAAATTTAGGGGTGGGTATTGCAAAATAATGCAATAACTAAATTATTGCACTCCAGTATCTTAAAATGAATGACAGTGCTCGCACGATTTTGCGGATATGAGCTTTAGGCACACGAACTTGTGCAATTCCGCGTACAATTGGCACAAATTTCTTTACAGGTGTAATATTATGCGAGGTCACATACAGTTTTGTTGAAAATTATTTAGTGTGAACGAGCGACACTATATGTATTCGTGTGCTTTATCAAATTGACGTTTCTGTCTCTTATTCCCACAGCGAAAGAACTTGAAATGGAGAAATCTTACAAAGAAAAAGAAGCCGCTGGTAAGCAAAGATGTTGCCTAGCGAAGCGTGTTCTTTTCATTTGGAACTTGACATCGACAACGAATGTGACATATGTCACATTCCTTTAAGCCTTAATGTCACATTCGTTTCACTGTAAAAAATTCCGTACTTTTCTACGGAAATGGTACAGAAAAATATAGTACGGAGGTACGGAGAAAAGTACGGAACGTTCCGTACTTCGTACTTGCTCCATATGAACCCATGTAAATGGGTACGGAAAAAAGGTACGGAACGTTCCGTAGCTGGCAAGTACGGACGGTCCAGGCAAATTATTGACCAGACATGTTCCGTACTTTTTCCGTCCTTTTTTCTCTCAGTGTATTGAATGTGTTGAACCTTATTCATGGCTGATAAACATCCAAGCGAATGTGACACAATGCTGAGAGGAACGTGACACTTTTGTCACCTTCGTTTCAATGTTACGTTCCACGTTCCGGGAATAAGAGCGGAATGTGAGATGCGCTTCTGTGTTTTTGCAGGCGTGCCTTTGACGGCCGAGGAGTACGTGCTCAAAGTCAAACTTACCAAAGAACGCAACGCAGGTGAGCAACAGCACTCGATTCTTTAATACAATTTTTTAACGTGGTTTCGCACGATTTGTGTCGACGCGGTCCTAATAGAATGATCCTAACTGCCAGGAGGTAGTTCCAAGACAATCCTAACTGTCAAAGCAGATCGAAGACAATCCAAACTGTTCGTGTCAATTCAAAAGTAACGGCACATGACGTGAAAAGCGGTCTTTTCTCAAAGTCGCTGTGACGCCAACATACTTCATAAAATTACTCACCGAAGGGCTTGTTACAAAGTTTCGTCCCTATGTAAATACGTGGACATTGTATTTCAGAGATATGAAAATTCACTGATTTGCAGTGAAAATAGTTCATGGACACTTATAGACACCTTTTGCAGTTAGGCTAGTTCTAAATCTGCACTGAAAGTCACGATTGACTTGGATCTGCTCTGACAGTTAGAATTATTCTATTAGGACGCGTCGATGTGCTTTAGGTATACGAATTTGTACGATTCCGCGTACAAATAGGTGCTAACAAGTTTGCAAGTTTCAAATTTTGCGAGATTACGTACAAAATTGTTCGAATTCATTTATTGTGAAAGAAAGACCATACTGCTTCATCAACTTGACGTTTCTGTCACCAATCCAACAGCCCAACAACTTGAAATCGCGAGAGCATTCAGAGCCAAGGAAGAAGCTGGTAAGCAAAGATATTGCTGAACTCTGCGTGACATTTAGTCGCGCTCGTTTCAAAGTGATGCCACGCTCCACAGTGCACCAGGAGACCTGCGGTGGTGGTCAAAAGTCTGGACGCGTTTTGAGATCCAGGGTCACTAAACAGGACTCGAACCGGACGTGTGCCAGCCAATGGATGCCTTGTTCGAAGAGTAATCCATTCACACGTTCGGTTCGAAGTGACTCTAGAGCTCAAAACGCCTCCGGAATTTGATTGACCTCCTCAACTGGTCCCCTGACCCACTGTGCGCTCCTTGAATGTGAGTGTGCGCACGTCAGCCAAAGTATGTGTTTCAGGAGAGCCTTGTGGCTCGAGTGAGGAACAGCCTGGAGGAAGTCAGGAAGGCGACAAAGAAGGGGAAGGTGGGCCACGATACAACTTAACTCGTTGTGTTCACAACGTTTTGATGTGCCTCGAAAAGTAATATTTCTGTAAACCCACAGATGCACCGATGGCGGACGCGCAACTCGCTGCGAATGCAGAACAAGACGATTGCGAACTGGAAAGGCAAAGAGGTACCCTACTGCAATTCGTAAACCCTTTCAGCTGAGATCATCAAAGTGCTGGGCTGCACGAGGGGTGAATCACTAGTGTACTCATGTGTGCAAATTTGCCCGTACTCATTGTACTCACAAGTTTTGAAAAGGTGAAATTCTCTAGTTTTTCAACTGACTTAACGTCGAGTGCCGTTAAAAACGCTAGATAAAGCCTAAAAACGTTTTAAATTGTGAAATTTATGAGTAAAGCAAGGTATACTCACCCGTACTCACTCATGTGTACACTAGAACCCTGAGGGATTCACCCCGCGGGGCTGCATGTAACCATCCCCCTCCCCCATCCCTGGAACGTGACGTCACGTTGAAACGAATGTGACAAAATGTCACGTTCCTTTGAGCATTGTGTTACGTACGTTTGGATGTGACTGCTCTGCAAACTGAAGTGTGTACATAGTACACTCTTATTAGAGGATGCTTCCAGGCACACTCTTATTACAGCATACTTGCTAGGCACACGCTAAAAAAGAGTGTACATTGCATGTACACGCGAAATAAGAGTGTACCTTGCAAGTACAGGTACACTCTTATTTGGCGTGTACATGCAATGCACGCACACCCTATTTTAGCGTTTGCCAAGCAAGTATGCTGTAAGTAAGAGTGTGTGCTTGGAAGCATGCTCTAATAAGAGTGTACTATGTACACACTTCAGTTTGCAGAGTGAGCTAGTTTATGGCTGATTCACATCCAAACGGATGTGACGGAATGTTGAAACCAACGTGACATTTTGTCACATTCGTTTCAACGTGATTTCACGTTCCCGGAATGAGTACACTACAATTAGTATCTTTCTCGTCTTTCAGAAAGGACACTCCTCGTAGCGGCGGAGGTTCGACGCGCGAGGAACGCGGCGAGGAGAGTTGCCTACAAAAAGCGTCAGTTGACTGAAGAGCAGCTCGAAAGAAAAAGGCATCGCGACAGAGAGCGCATCAAACGTATCAACCGTCTTTTGACTAAAGAGCAGCGCGCGCTGAAGGCCGAACGGGAAAGGGCACGCCGGGCAGGTAAGGGTTGTGAAGAGAGGTTGCTCACGATGCACAGTCCCGGAAGGTACGCCAATAATTCTGACGCGTTTTGAGGCTCTCGAGCGGACGGGTCCCGAACCGGGGAAAACGTGTGACCCCAAACCAAATGGATTGCTCTCCGTGAACGAGGAATTTCCTTATAGGTGGGGTCACACGTTCGGTTCCCAGAAATAACTTCGGTTTGAGTACGTATCAACTAAATACGATACGAAGGAAAGTTCGTAAAACAAGTCATTTTCTAGACGTGCAACGTTCTCAAACTATTTCGTTGCAAGCCCCAAATTTGTAGGCCAAAAATTTGTCGTCACCTCTCGAGGAAAACTATTCGCGACCCCACTTCCTCAACTCGCTCGCACCCCCAAAGAAAAATTTCGAACTACTAAAAAATAACAAAATAAATTTTGGAAAATTATAATTAAACGTCTGGAAAAGAAATATAATCATTCTTTATCCCTAGACTCTAGGGTTTTTGCCGCCTGCGCCGCCGGTCTTCTGGCTCGCACCGTTCCAATGATCAGTAGATAATTGTACATGAATTGATTCCACAGTTATGCCAGAGGAACGTCGCGCGAGGAGAAATGAACGCGAAAGGATTCGCAGAGCAGGTAAGAATAGAGTTCGTTTAACGCGAAACGTGTGCACAAAACGTCAAATTAGCATAACGTGTCATTCGTCAAACTATTTTCATACGTTTCGAGCAAACGTAACCCAATTTTCGCGCTAAATAGCGTACGAATTCGTACGAGAAATTCATCTGCCCAGATACAGTATCTGTGACGTGTTGCAAAAGAAAACACCATTTAATGTGTACGTCTTTGAAATTTTACAGCCAAAGCCAAGATGTACGAGGAACGCGGGATAAAAGCTGAGCGTTTCCTGACTGAAGAGCAGCGCGCCAGGAAATCTGAACGCGACAAGGCGCGCCGGAGAGGTAAGCTGTTAGGAGAGGCTGCTGCCGAGGGGGAAAACAAGTTGAATTTTGGTGTTCATTTTCCTTGAAACAACGTGAAGTAACATAGAAATAACGTGAAATAGCGTTAAGTGGCAGTGAAATAACGCCTAAGTAACGTGAGATAACTTGAAAGAAGAAAAAACAGTGCTCTACAAACCTCACTGTCTACTGTGCATTTGTAAGTGTATACTAAGTAGGCAGTTGAGTTTGTAGTGTGTTCAAAGTTTTTCGAAGTTCGTTGCCGCTCAGAGGTTGTCAAACCTGAATCGAAGGCGTCCTTTTCAAAAGATCTTCTGATACCGTTTCCGGATATAAGGTCGTTTTCGTATAAAGAATCTCATCTCGAACGCAAGTGGGTTTCGCTAAGCTGGTGCTGATCAAAGAGTTAGCGGGACATGTTTCTACTCTACAAACTTTACTGGTTTCTTTGATCTTTCATCTTCAAGTTGCATCACGATCCCTGTCGATTTGTCACCGTCCCGAATGACCACACTGATCGAAATCCTCTGGCGTTTAAAAAAAGATTCTTTATCAGGCGAGACAACGAGACAAGATCGTTTTTTCGGAAACGATAAGATGAGGTGTTTTCAATAGGACTCCTCGGAATGTGCACAACGCCGAATGTTTAACAAATAGTCTTACATGAACTGATTTTGCAGGCAGGTCTATGACTGATGAAGAGCGCGCAAGGAAAATTGAACGGACAAGGAAACGCAGGGCAGGTAAGCGCATGAAGTGCACTGGTAAAACTTTAGCGTAGTATTACCCTCTGTTTTCAAGCGTAATCTGTTTACACGGTAAAAACGGTTTCTGGTTTTCCCAGGAGCCCTATGGCGAAGACATAGGCGATTTCCAGGGGGTTCCTGGGAAAACCAGGAACCGTTTTTACCGTGTACTCTTGAAATCAAGTGTAACAGGCTCATCCGCCAAGATTCCCCCTATATAAATGCATAGGGGAATATCCAGAGTATATGCTTCATTTCAAGCGTAACGTCTTAAGCGTAACTTTATGCTTGACTCGAGCATAGAGTTACGCTTAAGTTTTACCAGTGTGTTTTGCGTTAGCAAACTAAGTAGTAGGTTAACGTGTCTTTTTGTCACATCTGCAGCTTTGACTGGAGGGCCGCCGATTGTAAGATTTATACGCGCCAAAACTGTCCCATTGACTGAGGAGCAACGCGCCAGAAGACAGGAACTACAACGAGCAAGACTGGAGACAAGACGCCTGGAAGGTGAGCAGGGCACAGTGGGCCGGGAGACCGGTGGAGGCGGCCAAAACTCTAGACGCGTTTTGAGCTCCAGAATCGCTAAACAGGACTCGAACCGAACGTTAGAGTGGACGTGATTTTCCACTTTTGTCGATTTTCGATGAGTTCGTGCGTTCTAAATGTTCTTCTTGGTGTCAGAAGTGCATAGCCGAACCCTTACCCGAGCCGTGCCCCAAGGGCCGAAGTGCAGCTACATGCGGCATTTTCCAAAGTCGGAATTTTGGAAAAATTACACCGTCTACGGTAAATGGCCTGAAGTACGACCTCAGACGAAAATTTCTTCGGTTTTGACGTACGACGCCTCCTTCATGCTGAAATCGGCTTAGACAAAACCAAAAAATAAAAAGAGGCTGAGGCAAGCTGAGGGTCTAAAATAACTCAAAATCGCTGAAAAAACGTTAACGCTGGCGCTAACGTGAAAGCAGATGATACTCATGAGAACGTTTATTTAAAGGTATGGTGGTTTAATTTTATTCCACGACTAGTAGAAAAATTTGTTGAAGATGAATGTGACATTTTGTCAATTAATTTGAAAGAGTTATTTGAGAGGGGCCGCCCCCTCTCCAGCGCGGGAGCCATCCAAGGGAGTTGGAACGAAACCAAGGGACTCCCTTGAAATTGAGTGCTGATTTCAAGGCACTCCCTTGGAAATGAACAAAACCAAGGGACTCCCTAGGGAATCAGTAACAGACGAGTATCATCTGCCTCCATGAACGTTCCTTAAATGGAGATTTTGTTTTGTTTAAGCTGGTTTTAGCATGAAGGAGGCATCGTACGTCAAAACCGACAAACTTTTCGTCTGAGGTCGTACTTTGGACCATTTATCCGATGGGCGGTGTTATTTTCTACAAATTCCGCCTTTGAAAAATGCCGCATGTAGCTGCACTTCAGCCCATGGGGCACGGCTTGGGAAAGGGTTACAGACCCAAGTCTTCGCCTACTCACTTTCGACACCAAAACGAACAGTTAAAATGCGCGAACTCATCGAAAATCGACAAAAGTGGAAAACCCATCCAACCTAACCGAACATGTGACCCCACAAATGGATTTCCCCTCCCCGTTCGGAGAGCAAATCCTTAGGTGGAATAACACGTTCGGTTTAAGTCCCGTTTAGCAGCTCTGAAGCTCAAACCCCGTCCAGATTTTGGACCGCCTCCACCGGCCCTTGAACGAGGGACCGTGATGCAACTAACGTGCGCAACGTACGGACGTGGACGAATATCTCAATTTTTATTTTATTGTGCTCAGACAAGTCTGCGACGACACGGCAACGCGTCACAGCAGAACTCAACAAGGAAGACCCGACCGAGGGTGGTAAAACCAGGGGTAAACCAGGTATGTATTTTCACTCGCAGTGTACCCTACGAACCTTCAGGTCATTATGGTTGCCATTTCCGCTTTCGCAGTGCCTCCTGAATTGGCGGAGGCGCGACGCCTCAGAAAGCTGCAACTCAAGAGAGAGACCAGGCCATCGCGAGCAGGTGAGGCAAGGGTCACCAACACTGCAGGAAATAACCACAACAAAAGTACACACATTTCTGGCAAATTTTTTGATCAGGAATTTAGTGTACTTTTCAAGTACAACAATTGTTGTATACAAAGTACAATAGAACCGGCTGCTGCGCAGTCCAGGGCTCGTTGTGGTTTGTACAATTCTCGTTGTACTTTCTATAATCCCTATTGTGCTTTTATTGTACAGTTTTTGTTGTAATATCCACACTTTTTCTTGCAGTGAAGTACACTCTCAATCTGGGCTGCTCTGTGAGAGCAAGTGCCTTTGTCAGTTCGCACCCACACTGTGGCAAAAAGCTACGGAAATTCTGTAAATGAGTTGTGATGATTGTCCGTAGCCTACTTGTCAATGTCCTTTATAGGCGTTACAGTTTTCTCCGCAGAACCTCACAGTATCCGCCGTAGGACTTACAGTGTTCACCGTCGGACTATGCAGTCTCCCAGAAAACTGTAAGGTACTACGGACACGACTGAACGGTCCTGCGGAGAATACCTGCCCCCCCCCCGGACTCTGGATCCGCCACTGCGGAGAATATTGATAAAAGGGCTACAGAGAGTCTTGCCATTAAAAATTTAACAGAATTTTCCGTAGCTTCTTTGCACTTAGTGGTTAAATGAAAACTCCCTACTGAAACGCCTTCGTTTGCAACTGCAACTGACAAAGGCGCTTCCTCACATAATACCCCAGGATATGAGAGTGTACACATGCATTTCGATTTTAAAAAAATTAGAAAATTGTTTAACCTTGTTCTTTTTAACTGCCCAGTGTCTTTACTGACGGAGGAGCAGCGTCAAAGTATCATCGAAGCCAAACTAGCATTCCGAGCACAGCTACTAGGTACCTACTTGCGGTTTGTGAAAAGGGGGAGATTGACATTTCAGCAAATCACTGGTATTCTTTCCAATTTTACAGCCCCACTCACGGAGGAAGAGCGGGAAAGAAGGAGCAAACATGTAGAGGAATTCCTGGCAAGACAAGGTGAAGACCGCAGTTGTTCAACCTGAATCACACTCATTGAAAGATTTATCAAATTGACATTATTTTAAACTTTTCAGCGGAAAAGCAATCTTCCAAGGAGACAGGACATGAAAGCAATGCTGAGACAGAATCTGATTCAGAGGACGACGCAGAGCTGAAGAAAAACCCCAAAAAGGGTAAGTGCACTGAAATTCACAAGGTGAGACATCTGACCAATTTTTGGCGATACAAAAAGTCTGATGGAAAAGTTCATACACAAATGTTTGAGCAAAAAGGGTCATACTTAAATGAATGACCGGAAAAAGGTCAGACATCACCATTGTCCCTTGCTTAGCCTGGGGATATGTCAATCTTTATCAGTGATTCAAAATAGTACACAGCAAATCCAAGTGTGAGACAGTCTTACACTATTTAGTGCGAACCACAATGTCTCACGCTTCCAAGTGTGAGCCACGTTTGTCCTACGCTTGCAAGTGTGAGACACGGCTTGTCTCACATTTGCAAGCGAGGGTCCTGTGGCATTGAACCAAAGTGAACCACAGGCCGCAAGTGTGAGACAAGCGGTGTCTCACTCTTGCAAGCGTGGGACAGACGTGGTGGCTCACGCTAAGGCGTAGACATAGTTGGTCGCACTAAATAGTGTGAGACTTTCTCACTTTTGGATTTGCAGCAGTTATGACCCTTTTCGGTCACACATTTTAGTATGACCGTTTCTCGATCATACTTTTCAGTATCACCCCCTAAAGGGTCAAACGCCTCACCTTTCAATTTTCAGTATGATTGTGAGCAGCGCATGCGGATTCTTTAGAGCAACATTTTTTAATTCTATTTTGTAAATTTAGGCAGCACCCCGACAGAGAGTCAACCCTTCAAGGGGCAGATGTTCCTGTTTCAGGAGCTAACAGAGGTAATTTCAGTCAAATTATACGGCATCAGCCCGGTGTCGTTGGATCAAAGGGGCAAAGAACTTACTCAAAATTTGTACACCGTTATTTCAAATTCACGTTATCTCACGTTATTTCATTGTTATTTCAACGTTATCTCAAGGGTATTTCAACGTTATTTCACGTTCTTTCGCGTTACTTCACCGTTAATTCACGTTATTTCTAGGAAAATATACACCAAAATTCAAGTTGTTTGCCCCTTTGCGTTGGATAGGTACAACATCTAACAGTATTTAAATGCCCATCTCTAATTATAGTCCACCTTCATTTTATTTTTTAAATCCAGGATTGCGTTGAGCTTGAGAACTCGAAAGAGGAGGGGACTGGCATATTTTGCCACTGGAATGCGTTTCGTTACGCTGACCAGGCGACGTCGTCCACGGCTGCGGCGCGGCGGTTGCTGGACGGAGTGTTCACCACGGAGGCGCTGGCCGTGTGCAGCGTCGCTCAGTTCAGCCTCAGACCATGTCTGGACCCGAAAGGATCCAATGCCATTATAGGTACGAAGGGCTTCGTACTATAAATTCCTTCGAACAATTTCTGTACGTGGTCAAACGGTCTCGCGCAACTTTGCGCGTGCACTGATGGAGCACTTATGCGTGCACTGACGACACACACAGAGCACCTGAGTACTGACCACACACATAGACCAGTGTTCTGAGTAGTTTACGCATGGAGCACTGTGTACTGAGTCCACACCTAAGACTTCTGTTTTCTTTTCGCCCAAATTTGTACACGATTCCGTACGAATGTGTGCAAATCTGCCTACGACTGTATGAAAAAGTTCGTAGGTTTAAAATTGCGTCAGACCACGTACAGAATTGTGCAAATAGATTTAGTGTGTTTACTGGCTGGAAAGGAAAAATCGTTTGGTAACCTGAGTTTGACCCGTTTCAGAACAAGCCCTACTCTGGCAACGAAGAAAGAACCTGTCGCCGGAGAAGAACGAGAAGTTGATACGATTTTCTATGGTTTACCGGCTCAGCGAATACAGAGTATTGGATCCGGAGGATGCAGAAAAGAGAGGGAAGTCAAAAGATAGAAGGAAAAGGGATGCCAGTGCCAACTCTGACTCCGAGGACGCTGACGGGGCGCCGAAGCAGAGGCCGAGGAGGAAATATAAGTCGGGTAAGTGAGATTCCAAACGCTTTAAACATAGATCTATATCTTTCTAATATGATACAAAATTCATCAATGGGGAATTTCTAGCCTATGCTTGATTTCGAGCGTTTCGTCCTCTAGCGTAACATTATGCTTTTCACACAATCATACAGTTACGCTTTATTTTAACCACACTGAGAGAACCTTACAAACTATTTTGGGCCTTACAAAGAAAAACAGTTTGTTATAACAAAGTATTTTGAGCACACATAAGCTTACCAAAAAAATACTTCGTAATTTACGACCTATTTCTTCGTATTACAAAGTAAATTACTTTGTACCACGTATGCTCAAAATACTTTGTAAGGTTTAAAGCGTGCAGTATGTAGACTTTTCAAGAAGTTCCTATTCCTCATCTTCCAGCCAAGATCAAGGGAAGTACTTTTGGCCATATCCCGACAGAGGGCTCAAGCTACGAGGGACAGATGTACCAGTGCGAGGAGCTGACAGAGGTAAGTTCAGTTTTATCCGCCCTTTCTCGAAATATAGGTCGTGTGTCGACCATGCCTGCGTGTTACGAAAGTATTCAAATGATAGTTTCCTATTAAGGTCCTTTTTTCTGTCTTTCAATTCCAGGATTGCGTTGAGCTCCAGGACTCGAAAGGAGAGGGGACTGGGGTATTTTGCAACGGAGTCGAGTACAAAATCGCTGAGACGAGGACATCGGCAACGGCGGTGGCGCGACGGTTGATGGACGGAGTGTTCACCTCGGAAGCCATGGCAACGTGCAGCTTGACCGGGATCAAGGCACGCGGCAGAGCGAAAGTGAGAATAGATAGACCAACTCTCGACCCGAAAGGAACCAAAGCCATAATAGGTACGTTAGCTCCACAAAATATTATGGGACATTTCTTGTTTCGTGAGTTGTGCAATTTTAAGCACATCCGACGGTGATACAACTGTGTTCCCGCCTGGTGATACGTTGTGTCCGACGCCTATTGCAAATTGTTCTTTCATTAGACAATTTGTCTCACCTGGTGGACTCAAAATTCGGACGTGCTAAAAATTGCATCAGCCATGGGACGAAAAAGGACCCATGACATTTAGTGTGTCGTCTAAAGGTATTTTTCGGTTAAAAAAATCGTTTGTTAACCTCAGTTTAACCCGTTCTAGAACAAGCCTTGCTCTGGCAAGAAACGAAGAACTGGTCGCAAAAGCAGACCCCAATAATGATTCGTACTGCCATGAGTTGCCGGGTCAGCGAAATCAAGGCCATGAAACGTGCAGAGAAGCCAGAAAATAAAGGAGAGGTGGCAGAGACGGACGAGTCAGTGAAGACGAAGGAAAGAGAAAGGACAGAAGAGAGACGCGAGATGGAAGAGACAGTGAAAACAAAGGAGGGAGAGAAGACAGAAGAGAGAGAGGAGATGAAAGAGACAGTGAAAACAAAGGAGGGAGAGAAGACAGAAGAGAGAGGAAAGATGGAAGAGACTGTGAAAACAAAGGAGGGAGAGAAGACAAAAGAGAGAGAGAAGACACAAGATACAGTAACAATGGAGACGAGGAGGAGTAGACGGAATAAACAGTGAACACTCTAAAATGTCATGGACACTAAATCGCCTTGTGATGACAAAAAGAAGCCTAAGACGTAGACCGATCCCAATTTTAAGTCACTTCTGTATGCTGTGCAGCTACGTACCCGTTCGTGTTACAAAGAAAGATTGTTTGTGTTGAAGTCTGATAATTTGTTTTCAAACATGTTCGTTTATAAGAGTATTATAAGAGTATTTGTTGTAGGAGTTTTAAATAAGTAGTATTGTGTAAGAGTAAGAGTGTAAGAGTCAGAGTACTGAATTATATACAAATCATAAAACATTTCTTATATTTATCCTAAAAAATGCAGCAGTTCCTAAAAATAACATTTACAACCAAGCGACAACCACAATTTTCACAGTGTGCATGCAATTTTCTTCGTAAAAAGTTGTAGTTCCCTTTCTTGTAACGAACCAAAGTGTCGGAAAAGTCGTTTTGATCTGAAAAATACCTTGGTTTCTCCATCATGTTTCGGAGCGCCTGCGAACCTTGGATGCGCGCCCGTCGAGCTCCTGTGAGTTGCGGGCTGGCCTATCCAACGTCCGCAGGCGCCATGACCGCAGCAGAGGCCGGCTGGCGTGGAGCCAGCGGAGCTTACAATTGTGCTGGAAATGTATCCTCAAACGAGAACAAAGGCCTTCCAATGCGGACAGAACGCCCTTCCTCGAAGTTTTCCAGAATCCCTATTTTCTGAAGTGAACGGGGAACCGCGCCAGGGTCGCCACTTGCCATGGTGCCTTGGGCCCGGTGTCACGGAAGGCATAGGGTGGGATGCATTCTTTTTGGCAGTACTATCGAAATCGTTGCAGCTAGCGGTGTAAAAAAATTAGCCGACTTTGGGTCGGGCGGTTCAACTTAAATCAGCTGACTATCTAAATTCGTCTAACATCGACAATTCCGATTTGACGCCAGAAAAAAGTTTCCCGTCCTTCACTCTCGTCCTGCAATCGACATGTTGTCAATATTCATCAACGTTCGTGCAAATTACTAGGATTTTGTTAAAAAGCTTAAAAGATTTGTCAAGACAAAATTGATGGCGATGTTTGTAAAACAATTAAAAACGTGATTACGCTCATTAATGTGCACGCACAAACGTCAATACGTTATTAAACAAAAACTCAGTACGAGTCTGAGTGTTTTGTTCTGAGAGAGTGGCTCCCACACTCAAAGTCAATGGACAGTTTTTGTTACCAACTGGAGACAATCTAGTGCAAAGCTGGTGACAAAACTAACGAGTTAGTGACAAATTCGTTACCGTCTGGTTACAATTTTGTCACCAGATTTGGAAAAGCCCATAATTGTTTCCATTTGGAGGCAAAAATTGTTCATGTACGTGAAAAGTTCCATGTTACTGGTGGCGGTCCTCTTGCCAGACTTTGGCAGAGGCCTCCAGGTGCGGCGGGAGAGCGCCTGCGGTCTGCAGTGTAGGCAACCCATTAGACTCCAGAGGTGTAGGGGTCACCGTCCGCAAGGCGCTTTCGAAAGGAGAAAGCTGCATTCAACTGAGCGATTGATAGTCAAACATGCAATTGACCTAAACTCAGTTTTGGGCAAACAAAGATGCTTTCATTGGTGTTTACCTGATACCAGGGAAGATATCTCAAGTAAAACTCACCTCTGCTCAACCAACGAGCGCCCTGGTTATGCGAAGAGAAGCTAACTCTGAACCTCTGAATAAAGCCTCATCGTGTAAATTTATCTCTGACTGGTCTCCAAAACTTCATTTGTTCCTCTTGACAAAATAATATATTTCATATAAACATTTGACAGTGGGACTAGACTGGGCAACATTTTCAGATTGACGTTAATAAAAAATATATGAAGATCAGAATGCGCACATGCAGCACATTTCCTGCGCATATGAAATGAAGCTTCTTAAATACACAGTTACAGAACAGGCTTAAGTTACAAACATAGTAAAACTAGATAAACAAATTGACTTGGGCCCTTCAAACTTAGTAGACGTGGTAGACCTGTAATCGAAGGCCATGTGTAGCTCAGAGATTCAAATGAACGACTGCGTCCAGACATGGGCAAGAAGACCTGCAGTACGATGGCTTTGAAAACTCAAGAAGAAGAATGGTATTGGGAAAGAACCCTGCAGTCTAAGTGAGTATGTTAAGTAAACTGTCTTTCTGTTCTCTTTCCAGTTGAAGTTTTCTTTCTTCTAGAACTCTGATTGTATTATTGACCTTGTAGTCGAACTGAGTAAAAATGGTGTACCAGTAAATCAAGAGGCAAACATATGAACAACATTTTGCGTTATATTTCATGTATACACAAGATTAAGGACAAAAAGAAATGGGAGATCTACACTAAATGCAGTACGAAAAAAAATTAAAATCAAGTATCCCAAATTCTTTGGGTAAATGACACATGAATTAATGTTGCTAACATAGGTACTATGTTCCATCACATAATTAATTAACTTGTACTTTCACTTTTCATTCACCATAGGGTGGAATGGCACTAAACTAGAGATTAATAGGATTGCATCTTTTCTACTCGTGTCAACAAAAAAAATCATTAAAAATACCAGAATGTTTGACTCGACACAAGAAAAGAAGATTACCGATGCTCCATTAATTAGAAGGATTTTGAAGTTACACAAAGCGGTAACAGAGGATGGTCCCTCTAGAAAACTTAAAAATTAAACAAAACTTAAGCGTAAAATACTGCATTGAACATGCACAGCCAATCCTTGTCATTAACTTCGATCGCAGGACTTGCTTGAACAAATCAAAATTCCCTCACAGCAGCCTTGTCATTATTTTTGATCAGAGGACTTGCTTGGACAACATAAAATTCCCTCACGACAGCAAATTCTTGTCACTAAATTGGATCGTAAGAATTGCTTGAACTACTCGTAACTCCCTTACAGCAGCCAATCCTTGCCATTGACTTTGATCGTGTCGAGGGGAGTGATTGAGTCAGAGAGACCACCAATGATCTTGTCCAGCCTCTGCTTGTCGTAGCCGGGCGCCGCGCGCACTTCGAGTCGCTTCAGCTTCTGCAGGGACTGCCGCGACAGCACGTGCACCATGACGAAGTCCAGGGCGGCGTCCAGCACCTCGGGCGTCGCGTCCTCCACCACCAGCCCCAGCGACTCCAGCGCCGCCATGTCCTTGGTGACGGGCAGGAACTCGACGCGCAGCGCGATGGAGCGCAGGGCGTGCAGGCCGGGCAAGAGGCTGAGGAAGGAGGGCTCCTTCGCGGTCTTGACCACGGCGTTCATGTCGAGGAAGGTGATGGCGCCCTTCCAGTGGGTCAGCAGGTCCGTCAGGATTCTGTCCTCTCTGGGTGCGTCACTGCCCTTGCTCAAGTGATCGAACCAGTCTTTGGTGAGATGGATCTCCAATTGCGTCAACTAGAAAGAGAGCAGTACAAAATCATGGTAAAGCAAGTGACAGGACCAATTGAACAGTTTGAAAGGATTTAGCTGGTAAACTGGAACTGGCATCTTATAGGAGGTGCTAGTAAGGGTAAGTTTAGGAAGAAAAGTAAAGGGTAAGCTCCTATGGCGCTACTGTCTTGATTCTGACCCATCCCCCGATCAGTCATTTCAACGAAACACGAAATTTGAGCATGAAATCCCTGAGAAATGGATGCCGAGATGCCTGATGAATACTAGAGGGATGTGTGCTTTTCTCACCCTGTACGTTTCTTCCCTACCTTACCCCTGACTACTGTAACTGGAGAACAGGTCACATGGCTCATAAAGGGCCTCACCTACAAGGCTCTAATCAACTTTTTTTAAGCTATTTAAAAGCGATAATAATTAATTGTCTGTGACTGCTGCTATTTGCTACCAAATAAAGCTACTCAACACAAAATGCCTGAACAAAGTTTACAGTATTTCATGGACGTACTGTACAAAAATTGGATTCTATTCTTTGCCTTAAAAATACGCCATGGTCCATAATTTGAGGTTCAGAAAAGTGCCTTCATAGTATAACAAACAGTTCCGATTAAAAACAAGGATGATCAACATTCAGATCAGGTTTAAACAAGACAAGTTCTGAATCTCCACTCAAAAGAAAACTACCCAACATTAATTGAATATTTATTTAAACTCTTTAGTCAGAAGGCGCGGTAAAATGATTATGCTGCACATACACAAATAAACATATTATTAATGAAAGTTTATCAGAATATAAATAAAAATTTAACGACCGCAAGAGAAAAGTAGTGAGTGCACTGTAGGCCAAACTTCGCTCCCTGAGAAGTCATCATGATCCTGATGATTTTGTTTTGTAGTGCTATGCAAATCATTAACACCCTATTTGCCTTCTTCTAAATCGAGGGCTCCTATTCAAAAGATTTTATCTGGATGTTCTCCTCAAGAGAATCTTATCTTGAATGCAGGCGAATTTCACTTAGTTTGATCATCAGCTACAAATTAATTCAATTTGTGATTTAATTCACTTTAATCTAAAGATGAAAGACCAAAGAAACCAAAAGTGCATGTAGAAATATATTCTGTTTACTCTTGTATCCGTCCCAATTGATCAATCCCAGTGAAATTGGCCTGTGTTTAAGATGAGATTCTCTTTGGGGGAACACCCAGATAAGATTTTTTTAATAGGACCCCTTGAAATGCCATGATTTCAATATCTATTTCTCTTACTTGTAAAGCTCTGCATTTTTAAAAATAAATGGAAAACTACATACCTTGCTGAACAGCTTTTTGCTGTGACATTCTGAGTCAAACTCGCCACTATAGGCGTCTCTTTCTTCATCCACATTATTGAAAACAATTTTCAGCGTCGTAAGATTTTGCATGGATCCCAAAGTGTCAAGGACATTCACCTTGATCAAAGAAGTTGTACCTGGCACAAATGGTACAGGGCCCCAGGCGATATTCCACCATATCTTCTTGGGTACCTTGACCTTCATAGAAACCACAAGCTCCACCATTGCCCGAACTGTGCAACGTAGTGTGGTAACATTCTTCTTTAAATGGCGTATTACTTTCAACAAATCCTTTGCATATTTTTCTTCTGTGGCCCACTTGGCATCACCTAGATTCAACTCCTACATGAAACAGAAAACAAAGATCAAGGTCAGCAAATTCTTTTTAAAATAATCGTCCTATCTTGAAAGATAACATCAGTGTTTGGAAAAATGACGTCTCGCTGATTTTAAGATAATTGTTACAAATTCTAAGGCAAGAAGTGACACTGCATTATTAACAAAGTTTTTATGCCATTGAAGGCCTCATTCAGAAGAAAGGCTTCTCCTGAATAATGAGAACCTATGCCACATGAAAGTTCTCACAATAACAGACCTCCAATTTTAATCAGTTCTTAAGGGAAGATTCTGGTGACAGAATTACTTTCTTCAAAATGGGTGAATGTTTGATGAAAATATTAGGTCTTTTTAAGTATAAAAGAAAATTCTAATTTTAGAGGCACAGTTAGCAAGGATTTTGTTGTTCCACAAATTATCAATTGAACTCCTGCACAGCATAATGCGGATTCATTCACCTCAAATTAAAAGTAAAAACACTCAAATTGTTTTATCGCAAATTTCAAGGTGCACATAAATTTGACAGCAAGTAAAACATGTAATTACTCACTTTGACATTTATGTTACTGATCAAAAGTGCTGCCACAACAGCATCAATCTTGGCATCTGGTTTCCATTTGGGAGCCCTGCTTCCCGTGTAAGCCTGTGTGCTCCTTGCAAGGTCTGACAAATCCAGACATCGGACTCCAGTCGTCTTTTGGATTGTTGTGATGAATTTGGCATGGTTCTTAATGGTGTACTTAACTTCGTCTATACTGCTTCCTGCTGAAATGAAATTATGGCATTAGCAAACAAATATTATGGAACAGAAATGGGTAAAGATAATGGCAACGCTGAGAGGCATTAACTAAGTGTCATACTGTTAAACCAAGTGCTTCTCCACCTCCAAAATGACCCTTTATTGTTTTAAAAACAATTCTTAGAAGAGCATTTTAAAAACTGAAGTGTCATAGTATAGGGTGCAGCATGGAAGTATGGAACCTGATTTGAATGTACTAGTTCAATGAGAACAGCAGTCTTAATGACTTTCTAACTAGCTAGATAAACTATCATGATTGAAATATCCTTTACAGCAATAAGATTTTTAAAAAAAATGGAATGTTCTCAAAATATATCTGACCCTGCATAGACTTTCAACTTACTTGTGGAGCAACCAGCAGCTGCTTTTTCAGTCTTTCATTCTCAGCCTCAAGCATCTTGAGGCGCATGTTGGCATGAACTGCAGAGAGAGACGGAACATCCACTGGCTCATTCTCCGTCCCGGCCTGGAATAAAAGACAAATATTGATGTCAGTGAAAATATTTGAAGAATCTGACAACAAATTAGAGAAATTGGTACTGCTGATGAGCACCTTGAACACAGGCAAAAATTATCAAAATCAGTAGGACAGTCAACTAGACCCTGAGAGGCTTCTGCATGATTAAAGAGCAAAAGTACTGCCAAAAGAATAAATTTTTATAAAGACATCCATGCCTTAGATATTTGCGCTACGAGGTACACTTGTAATTTTAAGAAACAAAACTTTCAAACAATCTGTCGCAAAGAACCAAGAACAAGATGGTACTAAATGCAAACATCTTAGGTGGAATTTAAGCATCATAATAAGATCTAACAAGCACGATACTGGGCTATATGAGCATCCAGTAAAAGCAATTCATACTGTGGCTTACTTCAATATGTTGGAAAACTTCCAACCAAATTTTAAGCTGAGTGATAGGAGAAGAATCTTTTACAAGCTGAGAGACCATGAGGGGGTAATTCATGGTTTGCAGGAGCAGTGCCCAAAAAAATTTGAGTCCATGGAATAATAATGAAATCATAGCAACATCACAGGTGATAATAGTGGCAAAATGAAAAGCTACAATGTGAAATTATTTCCAATCAAGATCAGTGTCAGAGGTCCAGAGGTGTGATTTGTAGATCTGCTCACCTTCAGGCGTTTTGCTGGCGGCGCCATTGGAGGTTGAAGAATGTTGCGCCAACCACAGAAGAATACTTGTCAACCTGGAACAAACATAAAAGTAACTAAATAAAATTGAAACAAATTGCTTGAAGAGTAGTGACCCCTCGATTTTGGATAAGTTTGCAGGAGGAGCTATCTTTTAAAATCGAGCAGCCCCCCAAGACCCTTTTCCATGGGACAACAATCCCAAGACCCGCAGCCATGCGCAATTTACAAAAATTAAATTTGGGCTCAAGTTTATATTAAAAACTGCACAGAGGGATATTAACGTTTTTTAAAAGCAAGCAGATACGAAAGAAAATCACTAGTGATTTTACCCTTAATAATGTGGCCGAATCATATTTATAAACAAACAAGATTTTCAGAAGAAAAATATGATTCTGGTTTATTAGTAGGACTGAATTTAAATGACCAACCTGTTCTGCTGAAAAGCTTCAACAGTCAATGAACCAAATCTCTTCTCATAAAAAAAAATCAAGGTTTCACTCAACACGGGGAGGGGGCTTGGGAGGGAGAGGGTAGGGGAGGTTTGGGGCTTACAAGACAAGGTCCAGGAGAAGGGAGAGGGGGAAAAGAACTTAATCACTTCTCCGCAACAGCAACATTCCTTTGCATGGCAGAAAAATGTGCAATCCAGTGAGGAGAGTGATAGGTCACTAGTCAGTAGGAGTAAGGGGGCCAGGGGAGGCGCCAGGGGAGGGGGCCAGGGGGCGGGCAGGGGGACAGGGGGGGGGAATGTTCAGCGTAACGCTGCGGTTCGTGGAGGGCGGGGGATCCGAGCCAGCAAACGTTACGCTTAACACGTTACTTAAAAGCGCACAGTTCAGAAGATTTGATAACAGTTAATGAGCGTAAAATATGGTGTTTAACTGAAAACTTTGGTTCATGTTACGCTGGGAGAAGGGGTGGGCGGTCTGGCCCAGCGTAACGCCGCGTGACGTCATAGGAGAACCCCCGGGGATCTCTCTCTCTCTCTCTCTCTCTCCTCTCTCTCTCTCTCTCTCTCTCTCTCACTCTCACTCTCACTCTCACTCTCTCTCTCTCTCTCTCTCGCACCCACTTGTGGGGCATCCAGTTCAGTATCGAAACAGCGACCAAAAATTTCTTTCAGTCAGTCCGCAGAAGAACTTCGCCACTCAAAACGACACCCAAAGCGTGACACCTGACTCAAACGCGGAAACAACCCCAACCGCATCATGTGGTGCAGGTCGCTGTCGCCGTTGTTCTGCTTACCAGGTCAAAGCACGAAACGCGGCTTGGTCAGTTACAAATCAGAAGGGCGTCACATCACACTGCGTGACTGGAGCTGACATACGTACCTGACGTGACACACTGGGCGACAGCAGGAGTAACTCGTCCAGAACTAGCCGGCCGGCGTCTTGGCGTAAATTTCTTCGCACGCCGGGCTCCGTGGATCGTGGTGGCTCCGGCACTCGGTCTGCCTTCCACAACGCTCGCGCGTGTACTGGCGTGGCGTGGCGGCGTGGCCGTGGCGAGCTGCTGCCGCTTGCCGCTGCCGCCGCCGCTACTACTACCGCTGCCCCGCTGCCTCGGCACTACTGCAACTGCAACGAGACAAACAACACTACCACTGCTGCCGCCGCCGCCACCGACCCCGGCCCATGCTGGCCCGTGCCGTGTCGTGCCGCCGCCATGCCGTGCCACCGGCAGCAGCGGACTGATTCCGAGAATCATTTCCGTCGCTGTCTCTCTCGCACTCATGGGGCGTCGCGCGCAGGTGCGAGAGAGAGAACGACGAAAACAAACCCGCCTCTCGGAATCAGTCTCAGCCTGCCGCGCGGAGGTGGAGGGGAGGGGTGGGGGATGGAGCGGCGAGGGTGCCGGGCTGGCAGGCTGATTCCGAGAGTCGTCTTCGTCGCTGTGTCTCTCTCGCACTCATGGGGCGTCCGTGTTAGGAGCGAGAGAGACAGACTCTCGGAATCAGTCTGCAGGCGAACCTGTACGAACCTGCCGAGGGGGCGAGCACGGAGCACAGTGGACTAGAAGACCAGTGGAGACGGCCAAAATTCTAGACGCGTTTTGAGCTCCAGAGTCGCTAAATGAGACCGAAGCGAACGTGTCACCCCACCAATGGATTGCTCTTCGAACGAGGAATCCATTGGTGGGGTCATACGATCGGCTCGAGTCCCACTTAGCGACTCTGGAGCTCAAAACGCGTCTAGAGTTTTGACCGCCGCTGCCGGTCTTCTGGCCCACTGTGCGGAGGTTGCAAGGGCTGGGGAGGCGGGGGAGGGTGGGCGTTTGTTTGGCAGCCCGGAGCGGAGAGCGGAACAACGGAACTGTGCCGTGCTGTCCTTCGGCGGCGTCCTTCGATGTCCTTGACGCGACGGACGGACGGGACGGACGGACGCAGTGGCGCACTTCTCAACCCCAGAACGCCCAGAACCAGCAGAGTTCCAGATTGTTCTCAACTGGACTGGAACTTTGGCTTTGCGAACGTGGGGAACACACCAATCTGCCTTGGGTCACGAACGGAAGTGGAGAAGGCGGTCAACGAGGTCGGCGAAACTGAAAGGGTGCAAATCTCCTTTCCCCCGCGGCCGCGCCGGCCGCCTCCTCGGGATTCAATTCGGATCAAAATTAATTTGAGTCAAACTAGTGAGGAAGATTTAGCTGTGACGCACGCACAGTGGGCCAGAAGACAGGTGGAAGCGGCCAAAATTCTAGACGCGTTTTGAGCTCCAGAGTCGCTCAACGGTATTCGATCGGAACGTGTGACCCCATCAATGGATTGCTCTCCGAACGAGGAATCCATTGGTGGGGTCATACTTATGGCACGGAGTCCTGTTGAGCGACTCTGGAGCTCAAAACGCGTCTAGAATTTTGGCCGCCGCCACGGGGCTTGTGGCACCCACCCCGCGTTTTCGGAGGGCTGCAGGCTAGGCCTGGGACGTTCTTCCGCCGACGGTCGGTGCCCGCGCGGCCTTTTGTCTTGGCACTGGATCTTACGGTGCAGCGCGGCGCAGACATCTGGAGCCGACCTGGAAGCCCTCTCTCTCGCACTCTGCGCCTTTTGAAAAGGTGGAAGAGAGACGGAGTGACGAGTCGGCATCCGGCTGCTGGCGGAACGAACGCAGTACGTGATTTCAGATGCAGTATTCCGTTCTCCACTTCCAAAAAATCGGACGGACCCTTTTAGTCGTCGCCGAGAGAAGAGAAAAAGTATCCAGAAATCAGGGACCTGCAGCCCTGCAGCGCGCCACCCGAGGCGCCACGTCTGAAATTCAAGGGAACACTACCTCACGAATTTTCGGATCCGGGAGAGGGCTGTATAGGCTGTGGCCAATCAGAGGTCCAACTTGTGAGAGTTCACAGTAACCCCGGCTACACTGCAAAGTCAGTGGTAAGTTCACTGTTAAAAATCGTCGTAAATTTACGACATTTTGTAGAACAATTATGTCGTTTTAAAACGACATATTTTGTTACGACTCAAGTCGTAAATATACGACTTGAGTCGTAAATTTACGACATATTTGTCGCTAATTTTGATAGCGAGACGTTCCGTTTGAAACGAATTAGTCGTAAATTACACTTAATCGTAATTTTACGAACGATCGTATTTCATTTGATATGTCGTGCAGTTATGACTTCAGTCGTACATTTACGAATCTTTTCGTAAATTTGTGTCATGAATCGTAAATGAACGACACAAATCGTAAATAAGCGAGCACAATCGCAACTTTTCATCAACTTTTCGGGGATTTCAGATTTCAAAATATGTAATCGCGATTACGACATTGTCGTAGAGATATGATTTTTTCGTCGTTCAGTTACGACGAAGCAGTTTCAGAACGATTTCTGTCGCTATCAAAATTAGCGACGTTTTTGTCGCTAATTTACGACAAAATTTCTAACAGTGATTTACCTGCCACAAATTCGGCAAGCCGTTTTGGATGCCAAAATTTGGCAAGCTTTGGTCGGAAATCTCCAAAAGCTTGCCAGATTTTGGCATGCTGGGGGGCATTTTCGGGCCAAGCTTGCCAATTTTTGGCATTCAAAACGGCTTGCCAAATTTGTGGCAAGCAAACTTACCACAGGATTTGCAGTGTAGTTGACGCTCTTGGCAGGTTCCTTGATTTCAGGCTACATCGGTGGTGAGCAAAAGCACCAGAAACCATTTCAGTCTTCAAACGATCTCCGGAACATACTTTCAAAGGGCTCAAGGGTTTTCTTTTTTTTGCACTTTATTTCCTGTCTCTTCTAATTGGCGCGGCCTCAGCGCCTCGCCTGACGGTGACGGTACCTAGAGGCTTCCAACCGAACCTGTTCGGAATCTCACACTCTGCTGTGCTGAGGGGTGTTAGCGCCTGACACCGGCTGGATAGGCAACACTTCGCGCACTGCTGTGCGATGGTGCCCTACGTTGCGGCGTCTTTTCCCTGCTTGCGCACAACAAAGTGCCACGGTAGGATTGCAGCAACTAAATGTTGTGGGACGTGCACTGATAAACCCTTTCAGTTGCCGTCGAGTGAAGAACAAGCAGAATCAAAAAGCCAGGAAACACAAGGAACTGCACTCTCAGACCTATATGGACTTTTCTCTCTTTTGCGTATTACGTTTTTTGAGCAAACGTAAAATGTACATTTAGATCGTTTTTATGATGAAATCGTCAATAGATCTTGTAGAAATTAAAAAGTACGTTGCAAATGACAAAATAGTCAGGTATAACGGACTAAATACATTATTCAATGAACAAAATAGTGCAGAGCTAAAGAGAAAATAATACACATTACGTTTGCACAACACAACTTCATGGCAAGAGATAAAAAGCCAATTCCAGACTGTGAGAGCGGTACCTGACTTTTTGATTACTTTTGCTCTTCACTCGGCGGCGGACTGAAACGTGGCAAATTAGGGGAAGGGAGGTTGACTGCGTAACGCTGCAGTTGGGGGATGGCGGGAATTCGGCGTAACTCAAGCGTTAGGAGACTATTTCAAGCAGTAGAGGCATAGTTCGCTTCTAGATTTGGAGTTAAGCGTCACGTTAATTTGAGCGAGGGAGTGGAAGGCTGACCCTGCGTAACGTGCGTTCGGCTTGGAGCGGTTGAGAAGGGCCTAACTGCGTAACGTATTTAAGTCACTTCGTGCAGAGCTTCACTGCAAAGCCAGAGGTAAGTTTGCTTGCCACAAATCTGGAAAGCCCTTTTCAATGCCAAAATTTGGCATAAGCTTTGACCAGAGATCTTTAAAAGCTTGCCGAATTTTGGGCAGCTGGGAAGTTTTTCCGGGCCAAGCTTGCCAGTTGTTGACATTCTAAACAGGTTGCCAAACTCGTGGCAAGCAAACTTACCACTGGCTTTGCAGTGTTGTAGTGTAGGACCAGGAAAATATCGTAGACCGGAAATCGTATATAAGAAATCGTCTACTACGAGAATTTGGGCAGGTTTAAATGGTAATGACATTGATATTCTTGAAATATTGGATGTGAGCGTTTTATTAATAATATGAAAGGGGTATGAGGAATCCATTTCCGGTCTCTGGTTTTCTTCTTCGCTCTAGGTTTAGCTCAAATTCATTTTCGTGCCGAATCGCGTAAAAGTTCGCCACACCGTGTCATGTTCGACATTCTAACGAACGTGACGTCACTCTCGTTGACAAACGAAATACTAACTGGGCACCGCGAGACCTTCGCAAGGGGCGAGTGGTTTGACCACCTCGAGTGGATCATTATTTTGCTGGAGAGACAATGACCCCGTGGCGCCCGTACCCCTACCCCCGCGTTCGGTCCAAAGCTGCACAAAACGCAGCAGGGTATCCGGAAGAAAGGGTGCCACTCCGCACTCACGAGAAGGGAAAGAGTTATTGCGGAGGGAAAAGGTGAGAACGAAGAGAGCTTGAAGGGGGGGGGGCTAGAATCCCACAAAGCATTGTTCGGAATTGTTACCGCATGATCCAGAGAGACGTCGCTTGTCACACTTCAAGGGAACTCCACAGGGCGATAGAAACGATTTATTTTGTGCCGAATCGCGTAAAAGTTCGCGACACCGTGTCATGTTCGACATTCTAACGAACGTGACGTCACTCTCGTTGACAAACAGACAACTAACTGGGCACCGCGAGCACCTTCGCAGGGGGCGAGTGGTTTGACCACCTCGACTGGATCATTATTTTGCTGGAGAGACAATGACCCCGTGGCGCCCGTACCCCTACCCCCGCGTTCGGTCTCAAAGCTGCACACTGTCCGCAGCGGGCTGTCTCCGAACAGTGCTGTCGTGCCACTCTCGCACTCACGAGGAGAGAGAGGGAGGGACAGGGGGAGGGAGAGAGGGAGAGAGAGGGAGAGCGAGAGGGGGGGGGGGTAGAGTCCCACAAAGCATTGTTCGGAATTGTTCACCGCATGATCCAGAAGAGACGTCCTTGTCACACTTCAAGGGAACTCCACAGTGGTGCGAGAGAGAGAGATGAACCGCTCTTCTGATTCACATCAGGGGCGTAATCGCACGGCAGAGGCGGTGGCTGGGAAAAGACGCCGCTGCACCTGAGTGTTGACTGACACCAGGAGTCGTTTTCGTCGCTCTGTCTCGCTCACACTCAAACGGAACGCCCCGTGAGTGCGAGCGAGACAGAGCGACGACACTCCCGGAGTCAGTCTACAGGTGCCGCCTCGGACGCAGCCCGTCGCTGCCGCCGGACCTACGGGCCCTGCCGCCGGAACGGTCGCTGTCTCTCTCGCACTCGCAGGGGTCCGGCAGAGGTGCGAGAGAGACGGGGCGACGACGCACAGTGGGCCAGAAGAACGGTGGAGGCGGTCAAAGTCCCGGACGCGTTTTGAGCTCCAGAGTCGCTAAACAGGCCTCGAACCGAACGTGTGACCCCACCAATGGATTCCTCGTCCGGAGAGCAATCCATTGGTGGGGTCACACGTTCGGTTCGAGTCCGATTCAGCGACTCTGGAGCTCAAAACGCGTCTGGAGTTTTGGCCGCCTCCTCCGGTCTTCTGGCCCACTGTGCGGCGCTCTGTTTGGAATCTGCCCGCTGCAGCGCCGGCGGCACAATCAACTCTGTCGTCTGCGGGCGCGGTCGGTCTGCGAGCCCTCGGCCGACCGGTCTCCAACCCGACCGTGTCTTCCAAGTGTAAAGTGGCTGGGGCGCTAAACGGCTGCAGTTGCCGGTCAATATTGCAGGAGCTCCGAACGCGCGGTGCGAGCGGCGAAGGGGAGTTCTCTTCGGGTAGTGACTCCGAAGCGTGTGGACATTGTCGCAGAGGAGGATTCGGTGCGCTCTCCGGAGAAGCGTCGCCTTGCTGCATCATCACGAAGGTAAGTGGACTCTTGCGTGGTGTGAGACTGCCAGAAGTTTGCTTGCTACTTCGTTTTGAATGCCAAGGCTACCTTGATTCTGATCACTCTGATCTAAGAAAAGACGCTTTCGCTCGTCGTGGAGTGAAGCACAATTGAAACCTTACGAAGTAGAGCATACAAAGTACAATCTACGTAATTTACGTTGTTAAACGAAGAAATAATAGTGCGGATATTACGAAGTATTTTCGTTGAAAGCTTATGTATGCTCAAAATTACTTTGTTATAACGAGATGCTTTTCTTTGTTAGGCCTTTTCTTTGAAAGGTTCACAGTGAAAACAAAAGTAATCAGAAAGCCAGGAAACTGGAGGGAACGACCTCTTTGCCTCCCCGCAACACGACCGCTGTACGCTGGCCCATCCCCCCTGTCGTATCGTCACCCAATATTTCTCATGTGAACACTAATAATTTGTTCTTTGTGAGATGTGCTCGCAAATGAATGCGTTTGGCGTAACGTAACGCTACGTTAGTTGCCGGATGCCAGAATTTGTCGTCTCAGGCCGCTTGAGTATGTCAAATGCTGGCATTCTGTGAGGGCGATCCGGGCCCGTAACGTCAAATTTTGGCATTCTAAACTGATGTGCTAGAAAACTTGGCAACGGAATTGCAGTGCATGATCATGGTCTGTCACTCGAAAATTCTGCAGAATTTTGTTCTGCACTGATTGTTTGTGTTCTGGTCCTGTACGATTTTGTCGTGCTTTTCGTTTGGCGTTATTCTAGTCAAGATTGTGGGATTGTCTCCTCCAGGCGTACCGTACACAGACTAATGGGATACCCCTTGGTATGTTTGTTCGTTTAGACGGGTGGCAAGACCCTGCGATCACGTCACGTGATTGGCAATGCTTCGTGACATGCTGGTTTTTTTTACCATAGGAGCTCTCCTAGTAATACCTTCAAGCGAAAATACATTTCTACGCATGGTGGGAGAGGCCGAGGGGGTAAACACTCTCGTTATAAATACCCTGTACTCATCCGTGTATTTACGCACACGCGAACGTAATAGGGTACTTTCGTAGATCCCTGAACCGGAAGCACACAGACGCCATGTTGGCGGAAGTAGATCTAAACTTGACAAGGGAAAGAGACGTTAGTAAAACGTATCGGCCACACTTGAACATTAACAGTCGTTTGATACTTGTTAGCAGTGCATATGTGTTACGCGATCAATATTTGTACAGCTCGGTTACAGTTTTAGATCCGAAGAGAGGTTAGTTTCCGGCCAATTTGGCGTCTGCTGGCCTGCTCGCTTCCGGTTCAGGATCTACGAAAGTACCCTATTCTATTTGATTTGTTAAAAGTGCCAAATTTTGGCATTTTAAGGCCGTAATACACGTGTAATATCCGCGTAATACCGCGTAGTCTGTGCACGATTTCTTGAAGTGGTTACCCTCTCGTGCGAGGCATTGCGAAGCCTGATACGCCAGGACATGGTCTGGCGTTTCTAATCCCAAGAAAGACAGAAATCGGCATAATTTTTTTGCTTCTTTTTTCCTTGGTCGGGGAAAATTCTATGCAACGGAGCTAATGATGACATTTAGAAAGCTTTTCCTTTATTTCATGCCGAGAGACGCTGTGCAAGCCGCGGAACCGGTAATATGAGAATTTCGCGTCGCGGCGGCGGCCGAACTGAATCGCAGACCTTGCGGTTGCGAAAACTCTCATTCAGCTTTCCCAGTGCAAGGATCCTCCTTTCCTTGGACTTGAGCGCCACCTCCTTTATTTGTTCATGACGTGCGCCAAAGGTGACTCGAACCGGACGTGTGTGACCACGTCAATGGATTGCTCTCCGAACGAGGGTTGCATGTTCGGTTTGAGTCCTTCTGAGCGACTCTAGCTCAAACCCCGTCCGGAAATTTGACCGCCTCCGCCGTTCTTCTCGCTCTAAGTGTGTGTTTGTGGAGGGAGGGGAAGCGGAGGAATTTTATTTACCACGGATGGATTCTGTGCGGTATTTTTTTTTGATTTGGGAGGGTTGTGATCGTTTATTTCGGCATTAAATTTATTTGGGATTTTCTGCTGGCTTGCAAAGATAGCTTGAAATTTCTGAAGACCCGTCAAACTGTGTGCGCGACAGCCACCGCGAATTTTGGCTATTTATGTGGAAGAAAACTTCTGAGGCGTATCTGGAGCCAGTCAAAATTTAAATGCCCACCAATGTTATTCACACTAAATTACTATGTAGGTTTTTCTGCGCTCAAATGCACGAAATTAAACATGCACTTCGTGACGCACGAATTAGTGCGCAAAAATGCACGAATTACTGCATACTTGCGAACGTAATCGTGCATTGTCGCGCACAAATTCGTTCGTTACGAAGTGCATGTTTAATTTCGTGCATTACACTGTGGCAAAAAGGTACGGAAAATCCTGTTAATTTTTTTGCCAGGATTCTCCGTAGCCCTCTTATCAATATTCTCCGTAGGCTCTTACAGTATTCTCCGTAGGGCCGCACAGTATTCTCTGTAAATCCGCACAGTCTTCTCCGTAGGACCTCGAAGACTGTATAGTCCTACGGAGATCACTGTGCGGTCCTACGGAGAATACTGTGCGGTCCTACAGAAAATACTGTAAGAGCCTACGGAGAATATTGATAAGGGGCCTATGGAGAATTACCACAAGCTGTTTACAGAATTTTCCGTAGCTTTTTGCCACAGTGTAGCGCGCAGAAAAACCTACATGGTAATTTAGTGTGTTGACTTTTTGATCAGTTTGTCAATAATGCAAGTAATTTGTGCAACCAACTACTTAGGAAATATTAAATAATGTACTGAGAATTTTGTTTTTGTACGTAATTTTACAAAGAAAACTAGCAAAATTAGTCATACTAAGAAAATACTGATTATTATTGCCGTTTATACGAATACGTAATTAATGAGGAAAAAGTCAGTAACGTGCTGAGAGTGTAACCGTGACCCTTTGCCTGACGCAGTTCGACGCCATGCCGTCCCCGGTCGCACTGCTGCTGTTGCTGCTGCTGGCCGCGCCCTCGCCGTCGGCCGACGCCTTCCTGTTCTCCGGCGACGTCCACGACAACCTGAACGCGACGGTGGCGCACGTGTTCCGGGTGGTGCGGCGCTGCATCGGCGCTTTCGGCCCCGACGACCACCTCCACCCTGGGCACGGCCCTGGCCACGCCGAGCCACCGGCCACGCCGCTCAACCCGCCGTACCGGGAGCCGCCACCAAGCTCGGTGAGTGCACAGTAAAAACTCTACGAAGAATCGTTTCGTAATAGGAAGAAAATGAAGGCATTGTAAAATCTACGAAGAAATGCTTCGTATTATGAAGCAAAATCCTTCGTAATACGAAGCATTTCTTCGTAATACGAAGCAATTCTACAATGCCTTCATTTTCTTCGTAGTTATGAAGCAAATCCTTCGTAGGCTTTTAAGAGTGTGTGCGCGCAGAGCACAGTGGGCCAGTTTAAGGTTAAGGATGGACGTTCAACCAACGGCTCTGTCAAGCATGAGCCTCTCACTGTTACTTAGTGAGGTTGATGGGCAACACAGGGGGCCCTTAGTCCGCAGAGTGCGGCTCCGAAGAGCCACACTCCGCTGCGCGCGTACGAATGGGGCGACTGTCAACCTTGTGGTACAGTCAGGGTTTTAACCCACCCAATCTACTGCCCGAGCAACCGTCGTCGCTGGAGTCAGCCAAAACCGAGGGGGCATAACCACTCTACACACTAAATGTCATGGGACTTTTTTTGTCCCATGAATGATGCAATTTTAAGCACATCCGGTGGTGGTGCAATTTTGTGTCCGCCAGGCGGGACAAATTGTCTAGTGAAAGTACGATTTGCACCAGGCGTCGGACAAAATGTGTCGCCAGACGGGAACAAAATTGTATCAGCTTCGGATGTGCTTAAAATTGCATAAACCGTGGGACAAAAAAAGTCCCATGACATTTAGTGTGTAGAAATCTTGTGTCCCCTTAGCGCTAGAAATCTCTGGGAAATCTGAAATCTTGCCCCTAAAAGGCCAAAAACAAGCTAGTTTTGGGCCTAATATCGGTTATTAAAATCTTGCGAAATCCTCTTGTGTCCTCAACCATCCAATGTGGTCGCCCCCTCGGCCAAAACTCAAGCGACCCTAGCTCAAACCCCGTCCGGAAATTTGACCGCCTCCGCCGGTCTTCTCGCTCAAAGTGTGTGTATGTGGAGGGAGGGGAAGCGGAGGATTTTTTTTTAGCACGGATAGATTCTGTGCGATATTTTTTTGAATTGGGAGGAATATGGTCGTGCATTTCATTTCGATATTGTTTCATGTATTTGGGATTTTCTGCTGGGTTGCAAAGATAGCTTGAAATTTCTGAAGACCCCGTCAATTTTTAGGAAGCCAGCCACCGCGAGTTTTGGCTATTTAGTGGAAAAATACTGCAGGCGTCTCTCTCCCCCCCCCCCCCCCCCCCCCCAATCGCCCTCTCCCTCCCTCTCTCTCCCGGGCTCTAGCTGAATCATGGGCGGTCGCTAAACCGGGGATCAGATCTGATCGGGCGTAACATCCCGCGCGGAATAGATAGCCTAACAACTGGAGCCCAGCAACCCCGCCACACTGTTAGGGATTTTGTTGTAAAATAACGAGTAATTCCCTGTTAATTCCATAGGACAAATTGTTCGTAAGTTAATGAGTACAGTCGTTATAATTCAAATCTTCAACCATATTATTTTCAGGTTGGTCTTGGTTTGCCTCGACGAAAAAACGTGAAAATAGAACTAATAATGTACCTTGAAAATTTTACGACTTTCTTTGTAAATTTACGATGTTTCCTTGTTAAATTACGATTTTTCGTGGTAATTTAACAAACTTTTGTAATTTTACGAACAATTTGTCCTACAGAATTAACAGGGCATTACTCGTTAATTTACAATCAAACTTAAAAAATTACGATAATGCTTGTAATATGACAACTTTCGTTCGTCAAATGACGACATTCTTCGTAAAATTACAGCTTTAGTTCGTAATTTCACAAGGTTAACCGTAAAAATGTGTGTAAAATTGTGAAATTTCCCTTTGTATTTAGCCAATAACGAATACGTTCGTAAAATTACGAGTTTATGTTGTAAAATTACGATGGTATTCATGTAAAATAAAGTTGTAAAAATACGACTTCCCCTTACAGTGCACTCGCTCTGTCTCTGTCGCACTCCCGGCGCTCTGCGCAAGGGCGTGTGAGGGCGACAGAGCGATTGCGAAGAGTGGTGTATCGCTCTGTCTCCCTCACGATGCAAGAGCCCCGCGAGGGCGACACACACTGTCATGGGACATTTTTTGTCCCACGATTTATGCAATTCTAAGCACATCCGACGCTGATACGATTTTGTTCCCGTCTGGCGACACATTTTGTCCGACGCCTGCTGCAAATTGTACTATTACTAGACAATTTTTGTCCCACCTGGCGGGCACAAAATTGCATCACCACCGGATGCTTAAAATTGCATAATTCATGGGACAAAAACAGTCCCATGACATTTAGTGTGCAGAGACAGAGCGAGTGGCGGCCCGAATGAACGGGCGGCCAGAGAAGCAGCGCGGGAGGCTGGCGCCTCAAGGCCGCGCTGGGCGGCTGGGCTGCCACCGGATGTTGTCAAAATACGAACGAGAGCTATGCGTTTGTATTTTGCATTCCGTGCTGATGCAGCGCACCAAGAGTTTCGGACGGAAGGGCACTCATCATTGTGCTGGATCAGGGGTTCACGTCGCACAATGGGCCAGAAGACCGGTGCAGGCGGTCGAAATCCCGGACGCGTTTTGAGCTCGAGTGTCGCCAAATGGGATAGGAACCGAACGTGTGACCCTGCTCATCGTTCATGACCCTCCAATACTTTTTCAACATTTTACGCGACATCACATTTCATTGAACGTGACAAGCTTCGGAACGTATCACATTCTTTGTCTACCTGGGCACAGTAGGCGACGGAGGCGGACAGAACTCAAGACGCATTTTGAGTTCGAGCACTGTAAAAAATTTGTTCGTAAATTTACAAACAATTTATGGGTAATTTCATTGCACAAATTATCTGTAAATTTACAACGTCTTTTTGTTTCTTAACGATTCATGAATTATTCTTCACGCAGTAATTTGTAAAGTTACGAACTTTTTACACGCTCCAAATTACGTGGACCGCTTTTGTTCTACCTTGTCACGCTGATTAAATGGAGATTAACTTATTTTAGCGTTTGTGTTTTGTCTTATGAAACATCTTGTAAAATGATGAAGGCATCACCATATCTTGTAATCTTACAAGCGATTTGTGCAACGGAATTACCCAAGCATTTGTTGTAATTCTAGGAAACTTTTCATGTTTTTGTGACATTGTTGTAGTATTTTAGTCACGTTTGAGATGTATTTCGTTCGTACCATTTCATAAGGCGGTGTTTACGAACAAATTTCATAAAATTAAGAAGATTTCTGTGATGAATAATTCATAAAACGGCCTCTACGAATAAATTTCATAAAATAACGAAATGTTATTGTTACTTTACAGGGAATTTGTAATTTTTTTTTCGTAAATTCACAATTATTTTTTACAGTGAGAGTCGTTAAACAGACCTCCAACCGAACGTGTGACCCCTCTAATGGATTCCTTGTTCGGAGATCTATCAGTTGGTGGGGTCACACGTTCGGTTCGAGTCCCATTTAGCGACTCTGGAGCTCAAAACGCGTTTAGAATCTTCGCCGCCTCCACCGGTCTTCTGGCCCACTGTGCTGGGGTTCCCAATCCACTAAAAGGGCGTCGAGGCGCCGACGTTGTGACGAGTGTGTTGTTGTTTTTGTTGTTCTAACGGGCCGGCTGTCCCTTTATGGCCCGCCAGTGCCAGCTCCGCGTTTTGTTGTCCTTCGCGTCTCTCCGGTGTCCCTTCCGGTCCCTTCGGCCTTCGGGCAGCGCCTGCCGCGTTCTGGTGCAGCGACTTCTGTCCGGTCTTGGTGATGATGCCGGCGATGCGGTGCACAGTGGGCCAGAAGACCGGTGGAGGCGGTCTAAATCCCGGATGCCTTTTTACGAGGAGGCAAACCACTCGAGAAATCTCGTGTGCCCTGACGCCCCTAAAATCTCTGGAAATCAGAAATCTTTCCCCCCCAAAAAACAAAAGACAAGCAAATTTTGGGCCAAAAATTGGAGGAAATCTTGCGAAATCCTGTGAAATTTCTTGACCTTAGAACAGCGGTTCCCAACCTTTTTTCAGCCCGCGACCCCAAAATGGCTTCCAAAATTTTTCGCGACCCCAGGAACAAAATTACGCGACCCCGCGCGACTCCATCCTTTTTCGGGGGGGGGGGTGGATTTTTTCCGAAAATCAAATGTCACATTTTGAATTTTGACCGAATTTAGAGGGTTTGAGTGCATTTAAAATGGAGGGCCGAAATTTGTAATGAGACATTCTTCGTTTTAAATGAAAGCTGCCTTGCTGTGTTAATTTTGACACCCAAGCTTGGTACTCTTTTGTGCCGCCCGCGCGGCACAGTGGGCCAGAAGCCGGTGGAGGCGGCCAAAACTCTAGACGCGTTTTGAGCTCCAGAGTCGCTAAATGGGACTCGAACCGAACGTGTGACCCCACCAATCGATTCCTCGTTCGAAAAGCTATCCATTGGAAAGGTCATACGTTCGGTTCGAGTCCCATTTAGCGACTCTGGAGCTCAAAACGCGTCTGGAGTTTTGGCCGCCTCCACCGGCTTCTGTCCCACTGTGCGCGGTACCTTTCAAAAACATTGGCACCTATACCACGCTTAACATTGGCGATTGCCTCCGATTGGGCCGCTTCAACATAAAGCATTTGAGGATTCGCGGAAGGAAATAAAATAGAACATGGTTGGCAGCGAGCAATCCAGGCTCCAGGTATCGGTAGACTGAGGGGACGAGATAATCCTCTCCCCTCCGCAGGGTTTTACACGGACCTGTGCGTCTGTTTCCGCTTGGAAGCGCCAAAAACACCAAACACCCGTCGGTTTTTCCGTATTTGCGCACTGGTGGTTTCCCCGCAGACCGACCCTCCGGAGCCAACTCGCGACCCCACGCGACCCCAGGTAGCATGCCGCGACCCCACAAAATTTTTCCGCGACCCCAAATGGGGTCGCGACCCCGGGGTTGGGAACCACTGCCTTAGAAACCTTGTGTCCCCGAACATTGAACGTGGTTGCCCCCTCGGTTCTTTTAGTTCCAGAGTCGCTAAATGGGACGTGTGACCCCACCAATGGACTGTTCTCCGATCGAGCAATCCATTGGTAGGGTCACCCGCTCCATCCGAGTCCTAGGGCGTGAGGAGTTTTGGCCGCATTTGCTATGGGGAGAGGTTTTCATCGCACATGCTGCCCATTTTCAAGGGCAAATCAGGGATCCTGAAATACTGCTTTCATAACGTGTCATGTCGTGCTCGCTAAAGGTTAAGGGTAAGGACTTTTGCAAGTACTTCCAAAAGTATCTCCGCACCAATTCGAGACACATGAAAAATAACTTATCCTTTTGAAAAGAATTTAGAAGCAAAGGGTTATAACTTTAACTCGTACGATAACGTTATTATGCCCTTTTGAGATGAGTTAAAGATCCCTGGGGCAAAGTGGGACTTTCTACTTCGTAGCCTTTGCTGAGTGCCCCAGGATAACTTGCTATCACTGTAAGAGTCTACACACTAAACTTCTTACGGATACATCCTATCTGTATTACGGACATTTTTGTGCAATGGCAATTACGGATAGATTTTGCTTGTAATACGGATGAAATCATCCGTATTACAAAGAGTTTTACGTCCGTACCATACGGATATTTTCGTCTGTATGTTACGGACACGAAAACCTTTGTATTACGGATAAAATCATCCGTATTACGAACAAAATCCATCCGTAATTACGCTTGCACAAAACCGTCCGTATTGCGGATACGTGGTGTCCGTAAGGAGTCTGGAGTGTATGCTTTGTGACTGTTGCAGGTGGAGCTGTGCGCCAGCCGGGGCTTCCAGTGCGAGCGCCACGAGGTGCGCACGGCGGACGGCTACACGCTGGCCCTGGTGCACGTGCTGGGCAGGGCGGGCGCGGCGAGGGTCGCCGGCCAGACGCCCGTCCTGGTGCAGCACGGCATGCTCATGTCCTCGGACGCGTACCTCCTCCGCAAGGACGACGACAACTTGCGTACGTACCTCCACCTTCGAATAATGCAAAGGTCCTTCAGAATGAATTTCCACTTTGAGACCCTGAAATCTGATGGATAATGAGAAAGCGGCGCTTGAACTCCGACCATAATCAGTTGAGCATGATAACTAACTAGCTGTTGAGAGACTCTTATTATCATGATCATTAGGATAAATTAACGGTTGTTACATGAGTCCGTAATGTATTCGAGTCGCAGTTAGAGGAATCCATCTTTGAGTGTACTGAGACTGTAGTGCAGAGTATGTCTTCAGATGAACGTCTGACTAGGGTCCTGGTTCAAAGTCTTGAACTTTCCTCGCCTGTGGTGCAACCAAGGCTGAATTTACCCAAAGGGAGGGGAAATCAATTTTCATTTTCAGAAAACAAATTTGGGAAAACTAACAAAGAGCTTCGAGTTATAATCGAAATTATATTTCTGAAAAATCAATGAGCACTCGTGAGATTTCTTGACTTATCACATTTCGCTAAATAAAACAATTCACTATTATATTTTAAAGAGTTTTAGGTCAAGTGAACAAATCTGATAAAATGATTGTGATTTTGGCTGCCTTTCAAGATAAGATTTCAATTGGGGGTTAACGGAGATGATCTTTTAACTAGGACCTCAGAAGACAATTTAGCTATTCTTTAGATGACCCTAGCAACGATCTGTGAGATAAGTTGATTATGCTCATTTTCAATGAATTTACGACTGAAAAGGGTTAAACGTTTGAAACCCTTTTTCATGTGTTTTCGTCCAAACTCTTGGAATTGTCAAATTTTGGTAATGCATTTCCATCTAGGACATAAAATCTAATTGGGTAACAAGTTTTCCGCTCCTGGAAATTTTCAATGTCTTCGATTGTAAAATTTTAGCTGCTGGTATTCTCACGTGGTCTCGAACAATTTGGCGCATGCTTTGCGTACAAGTTTTGCTCGAAATTTCACTCTGCTCAAGCACAGACTCTTTCTTGAGATATTGAAATTTCGTGCTTAAGTAATTGTACTCAAAATTTCTCCATAAAACGAATCTTTATTTGGAATTTTATTGTTTGCAGCGCTGATTTTGAGCGGCGCCGGCTTCGACGTGTGGGTGGGCAACTACCGGGGCAACGCGGTGTCGCCCCACGAGCACGTGACACTGTCTCCCGACTCGTACCAGTTCTGGAACTTCAGGTAGTACTCAGTTGACTGCAATCAGAGACTTGAAAAAAGGAATTTTCCCTTAATTTTTTTAAAACTTACGAGCATTTGTATATCAGAATCTACAGTTCCCCACTCCCTCCCAAAACCTTACGAAGTAATTTTAGTCTTTCAAACATGAGTAGCTTGCTATAACAATTTACTCAGAAAGCTTTTAATGAAATTACTTCTTCATTCACGATCTAGTTCAACGAATGACAAACTGCTCAAAATACTTATTAAGGTTTTGAGCGTGGAGCAATGCTACGTAAGCCTAGCGCATTTAGCCCCTAGGAGTCGTTGCGACGGCAACCTCTCGGTCAGCTGTGTATGGTGGGTTGCCTGTCGTTCACCTCGCAGGCGCTCAAGTGCCGCGCCACATTTTGATACGTTCTAGACGCTGCCTCGCCACTGCTCAGTGCTGAGTGGTGCTGAGCTAAGCGAAGCACCCTGTCGGGAAATTTGAACGTTTGAAATGACTACCCCCCCCCCCATTCCTTTCGTTTACTAGAGGTATCTTCCTATTAATAATCCTATATTCATATGCGTACACATAGCCTCAGCCATATAGCCTAAGCTATATAAAGCGAGCCCTACAGGCCAAACTCTGTAGTCGCTGTAGTCAAGCTTTTTAGTCCACAGCTACATCTACACACAGGCCGGTTCAGCGTCGAGGCCGAAGTCCTTCCCCTGGGTAGTACACTCTGTCTCTGGTTCCAGCTGGCACGAGATGGGGCTCCACGACCTGCCCGCCCTGGTGGACTACGTGCTGGAGCGCTCGGGCCAGGACGACCTGCACTACATCGGGCACTCGATGGGCAGCACGGGCATGATGGTGCTGCTGTCCTCCAGGCCCGAGTACAACCGCAAGATCCGCCTGGCGACGTTCCTCGCCCCGGTGGCGTACGTGTCCCGGCTGCGCTCGCGCCTCTTCACGCAGCTCGCCTCGGTGGCCGGGAGAATAAAGGTGAGGCACCGCAACCAGTGCGACACACTGTGAAAGTTTGAGTCGTCACTTGATGACAATTGATCCAGGAAGCGGAAGAAGGGGATAAGTCGAGTTGAATCCTTGCACTTTTGCAAGGCCTAAACCTTGCAGGTGGGAGAACAGATGGGGAATGTCATCTAAAGTTAGATGCAAGAGGATGGGACTTGTCTCAGCACACTTATTTTTGAACCAAATTTTCGCTCTTGTTCACTTGATAGACTGATGAGAGGTCACTGAATCATCTCGACTTAACCCCTTCTTCCGCTTCGTGGATCAATTTCAAGGCTAATTTTGCTCACAACAATGTCATCAAGAATGTTGATGACATTGTTGTCACGCCCATGCAACAAGTATAGGAGCTTTGATGAAAATGTCGTCAGTTTGTGATGAGATTGTCATCATTTGAAAAGTGATGAAAATGTCATCCGCGTCTTTGTCATAAAGTGACAACAAATTTTCACAGTGCACTGGAAAAAATCCACCGAAAATTTTGTTTATTTTCTGTCCAAGATTCTCCCTAGCCCTCTTGTCAACATTCTCCGTATGACTCCACATTCACTGTAAAAAATGTTCGGAATTTTACTATACAGTAGTCTAGGAAAATTCCTATACATGTATAGGAATTACTGAAATTCCGATACCTGTATAGGAATATTCCGATTTGTATAGGTTTTTTGCTATACGGGCTGGAAATGTATAGGAATATGTATCGGAATTAGAGTAATTCCCATAAATGTATAGGATTTTGCAGCCCGTGTATAGGATATGGCACTGAGAAAAGAATTTGCCATCAACCGTAAAACAGCGATTCAATTTGTTGTATTTTGTCTTCACATGGTGATCAATACGATCATATGTTAACAACGTACAAAATTACAAAAGCTGCTGTTTGCCCCGCTGTCCGGATTATCCGCTAGATGGCGCTAGTGTCGTTTGGACGGACTACTTCTCGGTGTACGCTGCGGCTAGGCATTTGGTTGGGTCAGGGGGCTCGCGTCCTATAAATAGTAAGAAAGTTGAAGTCATTTCAACTCTTACATCATTTTTACTGAGGTGTTCCCTTTCACCTGGGTGCTCAATGGTGAAGTCGATCTTTGCCCAAAGTGGAGGACCGGGATGAAGGGTCACTTGATCCATACTCGATGATCTACAATGGCGGGAAATGCGGCCGTCGTATAATCTGACAGTTCTCCGGGTTTGGCCGGGCCCAATTAACACATTTTTGGGGGAAATCCTATACATGCATTGCAGTTGCGCCATTCCTATGTATAGGAAAAATCCTACACAACGGATGGGAGAACGCCTATACACGTATAGTCATAATGCCGTACCGATGTATAGGAAAATTGCCATACGAGTGCATGGTAAAATTCCCATACGTGTTTTGTAAATAGCTTCATATACATGTATAGGAATTTGACTATAATTTTTTTTTACAGTGTTCTTCTCCGGAGAAACGTACGGTCTTCTCCGTAGGACCTTACAGTTTTGAAAGAATAGTCCTGAAGGACATACTGTAGAACATACGTTAGTCTTAAGAAGAATACCGTGAGGTCCTGCGCAGATACTGCAGGGTCCTACGGAGAATGATCCTTAGTTGTGTACGGAATTTTCCGTAACTTGTTTGCGACAGTCCCGATTGTCTTACAAATTGTATTAAAGCTCGATTTTCCATGCCCATGCATTAGCATAGGGCATTTTCGTAAAGCATTGCTTGTAAGGTGCAATATAGTTGAGGCATTTCACGTACTATTGTGTGATATCTCAGTGCATTGCACCATACGTGCTATATTCATAGCGTTTGGAATCTGAGTGTGGAGAAGTCCCGATTGTTTTACAAATTGTACCAAATTTCGGTGGTTTCTGCAGGACTTTCTCGTGTCCCACCGGATCTGGAACGTCCTGCCCCGCAGCGCGGCGATCCACCGGCTGGCCGACACACTGTGCCTGTTCCCCGGCGCGGACAAGCTGGTGTGCAACCCGCTGCTCTTCGAGATCGCCGGCCACTCCCCGGAGCACGTCTTGCCGGTAAGGGCTGCCACCACTGCAAAGCCAGTGGTAAGTTTGCTTGCCACATAATTGGAAAGTTGTTTTCAATGCCAAAACTTGGCAAGCTTTGACCGGAAACCGTCATGAACATGCCTAATTTTGGCATAAGCTGGAGAGTATTTCCGGGCAAAGCTTGCCGTTCGAAACGGCTTGCCAATTTTGTGGCGAGCAACCTTACCACTGGCTTTTTCAGTGCTCAAGGCGAGTCAACTCACCCCCCCTCTCTTTTCTTTCTTTTTTGTCGATGTCGGACAGAAGTATATCATTTTTAGGGGTTCCCAAGAACCCCTATTGTCCGAGGTCCGTGGATTCTTTCCCCCCCCCCCCCCACTCCGATTTTCAAATAAACAACTCTAAACTATTTCAACCATGAAAAAAACGAAAATTCCAATTTTTTTCCAAAATTCATCGTGGAAATTTTCCGTAAACGCGAAAAACATAAATTTGCAACAATCGAAAACGAGAACCGTTAATAATATGAAAAAATGGTTCAAATAAAAAATGTGCCACTCCTCAAAACTAAACCTCCTGGCTCATCAAAGTAACAAGAAATCGTATATGTTCTGAGCAAATGGTCAAAACATGAAAAAAAATCTCCATGGCAACGGCATGGTCCCATCGTACCACCCGTCAAAATTTAAAGTCACCCATTAAAAAAAATCTAAACGCCGTGAAATTCGAAAATGCTAATGATAACACATTGCACGGTGTCTCAACGTTGGAACATCTTTAAAGTCTGTCACTACTAAAAAGTTCGTAGCAGAAACGACGCATCAAATTAATTTTCGTGGCTTGGCACCAATATGCTTGCGCCCTTTCGAAAATCGCGAGGCTGAAAGAACGAACAGGCGCCCATTGAAACTGCCCCTCCATTGTTGCTGAGGTTGGATTGTTTGGCATGCTCTCAAAGTCTGCGGTTGTCTTGTCATGTTTTCCTCGATTTTCAACCATTTATGGAAACGGGAACACCGTGCAATGCGATTAGCATTGGAATTTTTAAATTTTGGCTACTTTGTGCATCACTTCAGCCATTTGCGAGTTAGGCACCCAACACCCGATAATTTAGCACGTCCTGCTCCTTTTCCCCTCCACTTACTAATTTGAGGATGATATTTTGTGTCTCTTTGGCTGAAACTTGTCACTGTTCATGTTCATTTTTTTTGTTTTTGTTTTTTCAGAACTACGCATCTTTGATCGGGGCGTATCTTCCCGCGGGAACGACCATCAGGATTATGGAGCATTACTACGAAGTCGCACGTACAGGTGAGGTCAATCGAACAACGCGATTGGTTCGTTCAACCGAAGGGTTACTCTTTTACTCTTTTTTTACTGTTTACGACGGCTTCTGAAACAGAACTCTCTTTTCTCACGTATATATAAAAATGTAGCGGAAATCCCGCATTGAACCACAGATGGTGACAGAGGATTTGTTGTTCAGGAGCATTCTTTTGGGAGGAACAGATTTGGCTGAAAAACGAATTTTCAGATCAAACGTGGCGTAGGCCAAAATACCCTTTTTTCCACTACAATGTTATCTCACGAATGTGACTCTATATTATGTTGAAATGTTAATTTCGCCACGTTCATGGAGTGAATGAGTGAATACGATGTCACCCTCGTTTGTGCTCTACGTGACACAGCCGTTAAATTACGATGTAACATTCGTTTCAACGTACGTCGAACAACGTTCGAACGCATGTCGCATCATATTTCCACGAGCGTGGCAAAATGCCCATTCTTACGAGTATGACGTCACGTCCGTAGGCTAACCGTGTAGTTCCCCACAACGTTACACTCATCAACTCATCCTTTTCTCTCAGGCAAGTTCCGACCGCTTGGCTACGGCATGGGAGACCCGAATCCCGGGGCGGAGTACAACATCGCAGCCATCACGGCGCCTGTCGCCCTCTACTACTCCGCGAACGACTACTTCGTTTATCCACCGGTAAGACGCAGTGCCTCGGAATTCGGACCGCCTTCACCGGTGTTCTGGCACACTTTCTCTACAAATCAAAGAGTGTACATGGTACGCTCTAACTGGAGCATGCCTGCAAGCACGCTCTAACTAGCGCATGCGCGCATGCCTGCCAGGCATGCACTAACTAGTGGATACATGCCATGTATACGCTAACTAAAGCATACATTTACTGCATAAGGGATAGGGAGTTTTCTGCATCAGGAAGCGTGTACATGGCATGTATGCTCTAGTTAGTGCATGCTTGGCAGGCATGCGCTAGCTAGAGCGTGCTTGCAGGCATGCTTCAGTTAGAGCATACTATGTGCACTCTTTGATTTGTAGAGTTGCAGTGTGAACATACATTGTTCACGCAGAATTTCGTATGTGTAATTTGAACTATTTTTCCATGATATGCGTTAAAATGTTTCTTTTTCTGCAAATTTGAGCACAATTTTCTGCAAAACGTTGACAGGTTTAAAATCAGGCATACCCTCGTACGAAATTGTTCATGAACAGTTAGCGTGTGCAATTAGGGACACTGTAAAGTGAAACTGGCATGTCCTAGAAATATTTGTCACAGAAAGATCATGTTGTGGCCAAAATTCAACCACTATTTGATAAATTTATTCCCAAAGTTGGGGGCCCAAACTCCTATTAGTCTCTGAGTTATGAATAAGGTTTACATAAACGTTTAGTCATTTCTCCCAAATTCTGCTCACAACAAAGGATTAGCTACCCAGTCTTCAGATTCTGGCAATTTTATCTATTTTTGCATAGAAAAAAGATAGCGTTGGCAGACTTGAAGATATCAGTCGAGTAGAGGCCGTAAAAGCTATTTTACCAGGCCTTTTTTTTGTGTTCAAATTTAAGAGAATTTGTCCTATTTTGGTCTTGTTTTTGGTTTTACAGAAAAACTAACGCAGTTATTTTTTAAAAAAAGGGCAACGGTTTCTTTTTCCTATTCAAAAATAGATCAAATTGTCAGAATCTGAAGACTGGGTAGCTAATCCTTTGTCGTGAGGAGAATTTCAGAGAAACGACTAAAAGTTTACGGAAACTTCTGTAACTTAGAAACTAATAGGAGTTGGGGCTCTAGTCTTAGTGTATGAGTTCATGTCATGCAAAGGAACTTTTTCGCCTAAGTTCAGACATCTGACACAAGCATTTAAAAATGTCATATAGCCTTTTTTTCTTCACTTTACAATAACCTTAACATTTATTTTGCTGCATACCATACTCCAAGTCTAGTCAAATTATGTGACAAGCAGTAGCAAGAAGTTGTTGCCATCACCAATCTGACATACACCGTGGATCAATGCTTGCTTCTGTGTCAGTGAGGTTCGCTAGTCATGCGATGGTCTTGTCTGGCTCTGGAGCGCCCGTTTGGTTTGCTGACCCATCGTGCACCGGTGCTAGAGGGGTGGCCTACCTGCGAGGGGTTCGGTGCCTGACGCGTCCACTGAAACGGCGTTTGTGCGTCTGTGTACGTGCTTGGCCCTCTTAGAAACTGCGGACTTTGCCCCGTAACTCCATGTTACGCACATGCAATTCTAAGTGTGCACATGGCCAAGTACGGATTTGTAAGTGTTCTAACTGTCAACTAAGTGCAAGTAGTGAACTGATCCAGGAAGCGGAAGAAGGGGTACACAGTGTGAACAGTTACACTGTGTACCCCTTCTTCCGCTTCCTGGATCAGTTCACACTGTGTACTTGCACTTAGTTGACAGTTAACACGACATTAGAGGTTTCCGTCATTTATACTCTGTACACTGCCTGTGTCAATGTTTTCGGCTTATGAGTCATGGATGTCCCATGTGTACAAAGTTGTCATTTCACTCCCAGCTCTAGTGACACCTTGTGCTCTTTGTAACAGTCTTCTGTTGTGATTGGTTTCAGGATGTCGAGCAGTTGGCAAACGATTTGCCCAATGTGTTTCACAAGTACCTGGTTCCGGATTCCACCTTCAACCACTTCGACTTCATTTTGGGCGTCGACGCGAGACAGCTGCTGTTCAAGGAAGTTCTTGGGGTGATGCTCCAGAGGGAAGCCGCCCTCAATAGTTTGCACTCCCAGACTCACTCTTTTAATCCTAATGACTTGCTCGTCCACTACTTATTGTCTCAAAAGAAGAGCCTTTATTTTTAGAAGGAGAGATTCGGCTATTTAGAGACTGTCTTTTAATTTTATTTATGATTTTAATTTGTTGATTTATTGAGTAGCACTGCTAAGTTCATATTCTTGTCGTGTACCTGAAGTAAATGTAATTTAGTGAATTCGTTTGTTCCTTATTGTGCCATGGTGGGTGAGTCGTGTCACATCACATTGTATGAAATACTGCCATGTTTAAGATCGATTGTGCCTTTCCGTTACAACTCCAGTGACATAGGAATAAAGTTTGTTAAGATCTTGCCTGCGTTTATTATACCCTCCTCAAGTCCCTCAATTTATTTAGACTCAACATCCTTCACTCCAAATGTCTTACAACGAAATTTGAGCTATATTATAGTGAATTAGGCGTAAGCATAATACCAAGGAAGCAATATTCCTTCATTGCAAGATAGACAACGTTCGTAATACGAAGAAAAAAACACCTTCGTATCATGCTTACGACATTTCATTCGCACTATGGGAAATTTTCTTGTAACACATTTAGTGTGTACTGAGTATTTTTCCGTTATAACATCAAAGAGCTCAGTACTGTGACAGCTCAGCGATGGACGGCAACGGTAGTACAGAGTCATCAGTAACATATCACCATTTTTTTAATAATATGATCGACTTTTTCGGAATTGTGGTAGATTTATGGCGCAGAGTGCTGAGATTTTGCCAAATATTTTGACTCCACGGCGAGAGGTGAATCACTAGTGTACTCATGTGTACAAATTGGCCCGTACTCGTACTCAGTGTACTCACAAGTTATAAAAGAGGAAAAGTCGCTAACTTTTTACACGATTTGGCTTTGTGAGTCGTCCAAACCGCTAATTGAAGCAAAAAAAAAGTTTAAAATGCTAATGTATGAGCATGAGAGGGTGTACTCACCCGCACTCTTGTACTCATGTGTACACCAGAACACTGAGTGATTCACCCCTCGCTCCACGGCATTTCTCAATTAAAATAAATTGAGAGAGAACAAAAACTTGACTTATTTATAGACGGAAGCGAGGAATCCTCTTCGGACAAGTCCGTGGCGTGCCTCGGGCCTCCGTTATCGCGTGGTCACTGTACCGAGTCTTCGATTAGATCTGGGAGAACTGGTCTGTCGTTCAACTCGCCCGAGGTGGCGGCACGTTACACTAGAGCAACGACTGGCAGCCACTCCACCCATCGCCAGACGGAGCTGCGATCCAGGCAGAGGAGGACGCGGCGGACAGAAGATGCGTGAGTTCAAAAGCTGTCACAATGGCGCGCCCTCAACTAATCCAGGAAGCGGAAGAAGGGGATAAGCTCTTGACTTATCTTCAAACCGTGCATTTGTTTTCTGATAGAATGGTTATAATAATTTCACAAAATTACGCGACTCAATTCCAAGCAGATCAGAATGAGGAAAAAATCCATATGGAAGAAGGGTATAAATCAACTTGACGTTTTATGTATGGTCTAAATTTCATCGTGTAGAGTTAACTCTACCGAAGACGACAAAAGCTCATTGAAAAAGTAGGCAAAGGGATATCAACTTGTGAAAGAGTCAATTCAATTTAACTCCTGTTTTTTTTTAGAACACCTTGTTTTTCCTAAAAAACGACGAAAGTTGAGGTCCTATAAACTTTTTTTTAATGCCGAGCTTAGAGCGTTTTTTAACCTTTCGGAAAATTTATTCTCTTGAACCACTTAAGTCTGATTTTCAAAACGCTGCCGGCGACTGGTTGAGAAGCGCCTGCGAAAGTAAGGATAGGCCCGCCTGTTGCGCTCCAGTGTGTTGCGGGCTTGCCTACTGCACGTCTGCAGGCGCTTCTCTCACACCTGACGTCACCATGAAGCTGTGAATCCAAATGAATATGATGGACACAACCTCGGAGTTTGAGTCAGTTTTAAGCCCTGGGGTCAAAGCCCGTTGGATTGTTTAAAAAGATTGGACATAGTTTAGGGAAAATTTTTAACCTGAGATAAATAACTGGGGAAACTGACGTAACAGTACTGCGCACGCAGATTTGATTGAATGCTTTTCTTCGTAGCATCGCGTCTCCATATGACAGCTTGATGTTCAAAACCCACAACTCTTTTGAGGCACTGTTAATCATTATTTGGAACATCTCGGAAACTGTCTTTCGGCACTGTGAAAACCTTAGAAACCATTGAATCCTTTGCTAAGTAGAGTTGCTTCACATGACAAAGTAGAGCATACGTAAGCTTTCAAAGAAAATACTTCGTAATTTACGAACTATGTCTTCGTATTACAAACTAAATCGTTTTTTTACCTTACATATGCTTGATATACTTCGTCAGATTTTAAGCGCGAGCTCCGTTCAAAATAGTCAAATTTCTACCCAAAAATCAGAGAGTAATAAATGGTCCAAGTTATTTTAAATCAAGCGGGGGATTCACTCCGTCTTCGCACAACTTCCCTCTGTTTCCAGGTTGCGTGTTGCTGCTAGCGGTGGCTTCCGCTGCCGTCCACTGCAGCCGTGCCGAGCCCCGCGCCCCGGAGGTCGAGGTCGAGTCGGGCATTTTGCGCGGGAAGTGGATCCAGTCGCAATTCTCGAAACGGAACGTCGCCGCCTTCGAAGGGATTCCGTATGCAGAGCCTCCCGTCGGAGGGCTGCGTTTTCAGGCAAGGAAACGTCAATTTATTTCCGATTTCGGTGTTGGAAACTTGAACCTCAAAATTGATTGGGTGATAGTACCAATGCCTAGTCTTATTTCCTCCACTTGAGACGAAAAGGAAGTCATTTGTCCCGAGATCTTTCCTCCCCGCTTACGAATATTTTCATTAGTTCGAAAAGCTTGTCATTGGCCTATTTGCTTAAAAAATGTCTTGGATATATTTGAAAGTTTTCAATTTTTAAATGAATTAACGCATTTTGAAGGTACATAAATGACTGCCTTATGAAAAGGTGAAGAGTTGCCTTGGTAGGATCCGCAGTACATGAAAGCGTAAGCAAATGCTTTAGTCATAGATTCAATACGGTTGAGATACTGTGAAAATTTTGGCTGTCACTCGATGACAATTGCAAGCTTAATTTTCCTTACAACGATGTTGATGACATGCAAAAGGTATAAGAGCTTAGATGAAAATGTCATCAATTTGTGATGAGACTGTCATAATTTTCAAGCGATGAAAATATCATCCATGAGTTTATCTTGATTTTTCGACGACACGACAATACGTTATTAAAGAAAAACTGAATAAGAGTCTGAGAGTCGTGGAGTCGTCAACAGATTCCGCTTGAAAACTGCGCTCTATTTTTACCCGACGAGGACGGGCGGCCAGGAACCATTTTGAAGCGCTCTGCTTCTTCACAGATAATAATTCGGAGCATCAGTGATTACAGTTCGTGTCTGATTACTGGCGGTTCAACGATTCATTGGGAGAAGTACGGAAAAATTCTGGTAAACAATATGCCTGGACTGAACCACGGAACCAGTAGAGGCGGCCAAAATTCTGGATGCGTTTTGAGCCCAACATTGGACTCCTCGCTCGGAGAGCAATCCAAACGTTCGGTTCGAGTCCCTTTTGGCCTCACGTCCGGGATTTTGACCGCCTCCACCGGTCTTCTGGCCCACAGTGTTCTTACCCGGTTTACGTGAGTTCACATGCACTCGAAGTTTTACAATGGAATTTGAGATATGTTACAGTTAATTCGGTGCAAGCATAATACGAAGAAATATTTCTCCATAGTAAAAAATCTTTTCTAGATGTTCATTGCAAGATACGAAGAAAAATTTTCACTTTGCGATATGAAAAACTACGTTCGTTTCATGGTTGCGCTGTTATTCCCTCCGCATTTTAGGAAATTTCCTCGTAAGGGGTACAGAGGTGTTGCTTTTTGCCTGACTTTTAAGGCGGTTATCTTGGAGACGGGGCGGAGGCAATTGTCCTTTTGGCCCACGCAGGACCTCCCCAATCCCGGCTCTGCTCCCCCCCCCCCCCCCCCGGGGGGCGCTTGGACAATGGTACGGAGTTGTTTATAGTTTCAAATTCAAATTTTTCTTCACAGTGATCATTTATCAGCTGCTGTCTCTAACCTGTTCGAGGGCTGTCTCTTTTGGTTAGCACGGCCTAGTTCCGCTCGAGTCCTGTACACTTGCCGGCACGTGCGGTCTCTCGTGACGAAGCCCCGACGAAGATGCTGCGGTCGGGGAGACTCGAGAGGAGCGGCACGGCGTTGAACTTGTCCGAGACGTTGACCTTGACCTAGACATTGGGCATCGGAGGTACTGATTAGCGCCACCGCCACTGCATGCGTTCACGCGTGGCTGCGGCACTCGAAAAAAAATATTCTTATCAGTGAGAGCCGAACCTACGTCTTCGCGGTAACGTTTTCTAGCGGGAAGCTGAAAGTGTTGCCTACCTCGCAGGCGCCACATAGAGAGCGACGCTTGAGCGGAAATATTAATTTCTGTGCGGCAGGAAAAGATGGCCGGTACGACACACTGCAAATCCGAGTGTGGAACCGTTTCACACTATTCGGCGTGAACCGTCATGTCTCTCAGTTGCAAGTGAAAGCCACGTCTGTCCCAAACTTAAAAGTGTCAGACACGGTTCGTCTCAAATTTGCAAGCGTGGGGATCCGTGCACGGTAAAAACGGATCCTGGTTTGTCCAGGAACTCTCTGGAAATGGCCTATCTCTTTACGGAAGGCTTCCTGGGAAAACCAGGCAACGTTTTTACCGTCGTGCGACATTCCAAACAGCCGTGACCCAAGGTTATGAACTCTGTTCAAACAAAGACAATTTCCTTACAGCGCGCGGTCCCTGTCGCCTCATGGTCGGGTGTTAGGGTTGCCGACCGACTCAGTGCCATGTGTCCTCAGCAAGACTTTTTGATGGGGAAAAACTATGTGGAAGGCAACGAGGACTGCCTGTACATTAACGTGTATGCTCCAGAGGTAAGCCACAACGCAAATTTTTAGTAGTTTTGAATAAAATTATGTGACAAATGCCACGTGATTAATGAACGAGTGAGGTCCGCTTTGGCGAATCACTGACGTTCCTATTCTTCTTATTGTAAACTCAAAACCTGCAGTCCAAATTCTCAAAGTGAATTTGGCAGTTCTCACAGTGAATTTGGCAGTAGTGTGAGAAGGTATTCGTGGAAACAATACGAACTAAATTTTTTTTACATAATCAATCTCTTTTGGCTTTTCTTTGTAAGGTACGAAGGAAAAGCTAAAACGACTTCTCAATATGTCTTTTGCGCAAAACTCTTTGCATTATAAACAAATTTAGATTTTTTTCTTGTTTGATCTGGCATAGACGGTGTCGAGAACCAAGCCTCTACCCGTCATGGTTTTCATCCACGGCGGAGGCTTCATGGTCTGGTCGGGTGGAATGCACGGACCAGAGTTCCTCATGGAGCGCGATGTTGTCTACGTCAACTTTAACTACCGCCTTGGGCCGCTCGGTTAGTTACACTGTAAATTGTCTTACTGTCAAATTTGGGAGGCGTTACATTCAATTCAGCACACGCTCAAAATGGCTTACAATAAACTTTGAGCTGTTTGTTCCAGTGAATTCGACACTACACACTAAATGTCATGGGACTTTTTTTGTCCCACGGTTTATGCAATTTTAAGCACATCCGACGCTGATACAATTTTGTTCCCGTCTGGTGACACATTTTGTCCGGCGCCAGCTGCAACTTGTACTTTCACTAGGCAATGTGTCCCGCCTGGCGGACACAAAATTGCATCACCACCGGATGTGCTTAAAATTGCATATACCGTGGGACAAAAAAAGTCCCATGACATTTAGTGTGTAGCATAATACGAAGGGAAATTTCTCCGCATTACGAATCACGAATCTTTTCTGGATTAGGAAGAAAGACTTTCGTAAATTACGTTTGTAAGCCATGTAGAGTGCAAGCATGACAGATTTTTTTCTGGATCTATATTGTAAGATGAAAAGAAAAACTTACGTTTTATAGGCAAATGATGTTGATATTTTGCTTGCACTGTTTCCTTGGTAATTTGTAAACTTTTATCGGACGACATTTAGAGTGAGACTTAAGGACACAAAACCCAAATCTCATGCTCTTCGACGCAAAAAAATTTTGGCCCTAATGTTCATTGCTACAGTAGGGCATTATTTTATAATCATGGTGAAAAAGCGTCTGAAATTTGTTTTTCCAGGATTCTTGAGCATGGGCGATGACGTCATTCCTGGCAATAATGGAATGAAGGACATGGTCTTGGCGTTGAACTGGGTCCGTCAGAACATAAGGTCGTTCGGTGGAGACCCGGAGTCGGTGACGATTTTCGGGGAGAGTGCGGGCGGCGCCTCTGTGCATTACATGACTCTCTCGCCTCTCACCAAAGGTAACGCGTTCTCTTCACTGTGAAAATTTCAGTCGTCATTAGATGACAATTTCAAGGCTAATTTTCCTTACAATAATGTCATCGAAACAATTGATGACATTGTTGTCACGCCCATGCAATAAGTATAGGAGCTTTGATGAAAATGTCATCAATTTGTGATGAGATTGTCATCATTTGAAAGTTATGAAAATATCATTCACGTTTCTGTCATAAAGCGACAACAAATTTTCTCAGTGCTCTCAGGGTGATGTTCACCGTGGGTTGGCATTCATATTTCCCGAATAGTGCTTGTAAACAAGGCCCCTCAGGATAAAACAGCTTTTCCTGAACGGAACCTGTCCATTTTGATCCTCAACAACCTCTTCAAACCCCAATCACGGCGTTTGGGTTGACATTTACGGTTTGGTCCCTCAAAATGGAGAACAAGATCTTATAATGAGTTTTGTCCTCCCAGGCAGTTCATTTACTGCGCCACCTGTGATTTTTCGACGCTAGGTACACTTAGTTTCTCAAATTTGGATATGAGGATCATTTTATGAAGGTTTCATTGCCCAAACTTGGGTGATGAAGGGTGCAGTTTCTGCTACCTGAAAGCGATATAGTATTATCCCCCAAAGCTGGGTGATAAAATAATTTTGACTCAGCTTTGAATGATGTTAAGAAAACCGTACCAAGAAGTTTAGGCTTCATTCTCAGCACGTTACTGACTATTTCCTCATTAACTACGTATTCGTGCAAGCAACAATTATAGTTAGTATTTTCCTTCGTAAAATTATGTTCAAAACCAAATTGTCAGTACATTCTTTAAAATTTCCTAAGTGGTTCTTTAAAAAAAGGAAAAGTACATATTAAGGTTGCACGGTTGCACAAATTACTTGCATAAGTACTGACAAAATGAAAAAAAGTCAGTAACGTGCAGAGAGTGTTGGTTATGCCCTTGGTTATGCCTCTGTCGTTCTCAGTGACGCGCAATGTATGGTGCTCCGGCAGGTCTGTTCCACCGAGCCATCCCCATGAGCGGCACTGCGAACGCTGCCTGGGCGTTCCACGACACTGCAGAGGCAAAGAAGAACGCCGCAAAACTGGCCGCCCTGCTGGACTGCCCGGCTCAGCCCAGCGAGCAGCTCCTGGAGTGCCTGCGGGGGAAGTCCGCCGAGGACATCGTCAGGGCCCAGCTGGGGTTCGGCGAGTGGTACGGCCACCCGCTGCTGCCCTTCCGCGTGGTCGCCGAGCCCGGCGTGCCTGGGGCCTTCATCGACCGGCCGCCGAGCCAACTAGTGCCTCGCGACGTACCGCTCATGATCGGGGTCGTTTCGGACGAGGGTTGCGTCGTGACCGCCCGTGAGTATCTTCAGTGCGGAACGTGCACACTAAATGTTTATGTAGAATTTTGTACGTGCCGCACCTGCACGATCTTGTGCATGCGGGGAATTCGCATAATATTATGCGTCAAAACACAAATTTATGCAAATTCACGCACAATTTTGTGCACGACGGCACACAAGTTTAAAATTATGCATCACCACGTACAAAATCGTACATGAACATTAAGTGTGTGCGGGAACATTACACCCGACTGTCTACTACACACCAAGGAAAATAGTTTCTTAATTTTGAATTTCCCTGGTTTTTTTTTTAAAAAAAAAGTTTGAACACGAAAATTTTTCTGCGTACAAGAAAAAAATGTTTAGATGAAGAAAAATTTTCTTGAAAAAAACAAGAAAAGTTAATTTTTTTCTTGATCTAAAACGTCATAATGGGTGTACTCACTTCTAAATGCCTACTTGACCAAGTACACACTTACCAGCGCTTTGTGCGTAACACAGAATTTACGGGGCCAAGCAAGCATTTGTAAGTGCCTGCTTGGCGAAGTTTTATGTGTCCTCAGCATTAAGCAAGAATAATACTTAGTATTTTTTAAGTAAGTACGACTTAATAACTTTTTTAAGTTATTTACAAGGAAAGAACTATCAGTGCACTTTTTAATAATTTTTAAGTAGTTCTTTAAGAATTCGATAAGTGCGTATTATTGTTGCACAAATTTCTTGCATAAGTACGGACAAATTGATAAAAAGTCAGTAACATGCTACAGGATGCAAGCAGGATGTGTTTGGTGAATGAGCTGGAGCTGCTACTTAGTGTGGTTGTAAGGGGAGACTGTAAGAAGGCAACTTTTGTTCGCTACGATTTATTGATTCTTTTTTTTGCGTTTTCCAGCACTTTTGCATAACGATCATGCGATGAAAGATTTGAACGATAATTTCAATAAAGTGTTACCTTTGACGCTATTATTGTCTCATCTTCCTGAAAAAGATCAGACGCACATCAGTCAAGAAATAAGGAATGTGTACTTCGCAAAATCTGATGACACGACATCTCCTCTTACAGATGTGAGTAAATTACATAAGAGTTTAATTAATTTAGCAACTGAGCTTCACAAAACTACGTTTAATTAAATGCATGCCATTCAAAGTTAATAACCAGAGTCACTTGACGTCACAATTGCCATCAATCTTGATATTGATGTGACTGTGGTGTTCAATTGATGTACTTTTATTTCGACCCGTTTTTCCATCCTTTGTGACGTTACGAAAACGATGAGAATAAAATGTCCATCAAGTTCAATATAAGGCTATGAATAACGATCTTCTTCTAAGCGTTATTAGGGTTTTTCTCTCTTTAACAAGCTCCCCGCCATCTGAACCATTGACTCAGTTTCAGTTCCTGGAATGAGTAAATCGCAACTGCACCTGAAAGAAAACTTTATCTTTACAGATCTTCTCGGACATCTACTTTCAATACCCCTCCCTCATGACCATAAAGCAGCATAAGGCGCACGCAATATCCTCCGTGTACTTCTATAAACTCGCTTACCACAGCAAAGACAAAGGCTTCTCTGGTCCATTCAGCGGCTACAAATTGAATTCAACATTTGGTACGGTAAATTTAGGCTCATTCTTTTTCAAGTTCTAAGAGGGCATGCGTTAGACAAGGAGGGCATGCGTTAGACAAGGAAGGCATGAGAAGCGGCGACTGAATGCTAGCCGTTGCTTGTTTAACCTTATTTCTACCAGTGAATACACTAGTAAAACCAAGGCATAAAAACTACGCCTTTAAGGGCACAAACATTCTTGTACGCCCTTCAAGGGCGTTAATCGTTGCATGCCCGCGAAGGGCGTGAATGGTACAGGACTTTTAGGCAAAATTTTAATCCCCTTTCAAAGGCATCAACGATCTACACTGTTAGAAAAAAAGTCCGTAAATTTACGGAGAAAGTTACTCTAATTTTGGGAATGGAGGCTCCGTAAATTTTCCATCTTTTTACGGAGATATTCCATATTTTTACGGGTATTTTTACGGAGATGAACCGCATTTTTGCAGAAATAAACGCATTTTAACGGTTTACTTCCCTCCTTCTACCTCCGATGTTAATGCAAACAGTGTCCTTTAAGACGAAAGTGATATTCTCCAAAACTGTTTGAAGATCCACTTGACCACATGCCAGGATCGGATAAATGGACGGAAACCCAAAGGCGAGGTTGCTTTAGGGAAGGCGTACTCTTGGAACACCTAATCAGTTGGTCACCCAACCCATCGATAACGTGAATTAGTCTGTTCTTTTTGATAAGTAAGGCTTCTATTTCATTTATATACATAACTTCCATATTTTTACGGAGAAAATCCATAATTCAAAAAAACGGAGATCTCCGTAAAAAAATGGACAGTCTCCGTTAAATTTCCGTATTTTTACGGAGTTTTCTGACAGTGTACGCCTTTCCAGGGGCGTAAATCGTTTACGCCCTTCGAAGGCTCACTTTTAATGCCTTTTTCTCACCAATGTACATAAAAACAATGTACTTTTTGGGCCATAACGGCGTCTTGTGGGCAGTAAACAGAGAGTGCGGACTCCTAGATAAATTATCTTAATGTAAACAGACATGCTTGATTTGTTTGTTAAGCATGCTCCTCTGCGGTGGTTGCTCCTAGTTTAGTGTAATGGAGATCCCAGCCTAAATCGTGTCGAGGCAGCCCATTCTTCTTGCTGTTGACACATTCGTTAAACTTGCCGCAACTCAAAAAAAACTAGTTGTGTGTCAACTGATACGATGAGGCTACAATCACTCGAAGGTAACGAAGGTAGTTCTTAACTTCTGCCCTTCATCTCTGTGCTTACAGAAATGTGCCACTGCGACGATTTGATGTACCTGTTCCCCTTTAAGGAGTTGTTTCCTAAAGAACTGTCAGATTCGGACCGTGCCTACACTGATCTCATGCTGGAACTGTTCACCACATTCGCAGCAACGGGGTAAGTCGGCGATCTAAACGTCGAATCTCGTTCATTGCTATCTGCAGGTCCGAAAAGAGAAAGTACATGCATTTGGTATGAATGTAAATTTATACACTATATGGCAAAAAGGTACGGAAAATTCTATTAATTTTTTTGCCAGGATTCTCTGTAGCCCGCTTATCAATATTCTCCGTAGGCTCTTACAGTATTCTCCGTAGGACCTAGAAGACTGTATAGTCCTACGGAGATCACTGTCAGGTCCTACGGAGAATACTGTGCGGTTCTACGGAAAACACTAGAGCCTACGGAGAATACTGACGAGGGGGCTACGGAGAATTACCACAAGCTGTTTACAGAATTTTCCGTAGCTTTTTGCCACAGTGTAGAACGTCGCAACACTTTTAGACGCTCGAGTAATTTGATTGCAGCCAACCAACTTCCGACAACTCATGGTCGGAGGTGGAAGACGTGGATGAAGCCGAATATGCCTACATCCCGAACGCTGGAGAACTGACGATGCGGCGAAGCTACCCGTCAGAAAAGAGAAATTTGTGGAGAAGGATCGACGCCGCACGAAGCAAGACTCGTTTCATCAGCGACGAACTATAACGCAGGAAAATTGAAGGAACTGCACTCTGAAAACCTTACGAACTATTCCAGGCCACACAGAAATGTAGCAGTTATATTGAGCACATATTAACTTGCTAAGAAAAAAACCCTCGTAATTTAGGTACTATTTCATATAAAAAACTAATTAGTTTGTACCACGCTCATAATACTTTTAAAGATTTTAAGCGTGTGCCAGAAGTCTTTACAGTTAGAAACCCACGAGTAACATCCGGCAACATGCAACTGGCGTCGACTGTGGTAAGCACGGGCTTCGCGCTCGTGCACTTATTCCGTCAATCCAAGCCTGGCGTTTACGCCGACCATAGCCTGCGGCGCTTATCTGTTTTTTCCTCGTACACTGATAAAACTAAAGCGTAATATTACCATCTGTTTTCAAGCGCAATCAGTTTACGTTTGAAATCACAATGCGCGGGGGAATTTCCAGCGTATGCTTCGTTTCAAGCGTTATGTCAACAAGCGTAACTTGATGTTTGACTCAAGCATAGAGTTACGCTTTAGTTTTACCATTGTTTAAGCATTGAAATCAATGATTTACGCCTGGATTTTGTCTCTTTATATCAAAGCTGACTCCTTACTCCCCCCCCCCCCCCAGTTGCGCAGATCACACGCAATGTTTGAAATTCCGTCAAGTGTGGCCCTCACTCCGTCCTTGTCTACTCTGGGTTGCCACTTTGACGTGATTGATGGAATAAAGCCTCGTTAGAAACCCACGAAAATAGGCTCCGTATTTTAATCACTTCATTAACATCCCAAGCCTCTTTCTTTATCACGCCCGATGTCACATCCGTGCGATTGATATCGACACAGGTCACGTTTGCGAGGTTTTTTTGAATTTTCAATTGGAAAATAAAGTGTCAATAATTTCCAGTTATAACGAGGTAGGTGTCTTGTAGCAGGCTTCGCGATGCTGCACCAGTTGCCGCGCCTGGCGTTCACACTTTCTTGCTAATTTTGAAGTAATCCGGATACGCACGCAGACAGACGAGCAGTCAGTGAAAGGTATTTCACCCCACTACACCACACTGGAAAAACTAAAGCGTAGTTGTACGCTTCATTCAAGCGTACAACTACGCTTCAAGACTGTACGCCCTTCTTGAAGCGTACAACTACGCTTCAAGGCAATTCCCCCATGCATTCAGACAGGAAGAAAGGAGCGCATGAACTCTTGTACGCTTGAAGAAGGGCGTACTGGCTGTACGCTGCACGAAGGGCGTAACAGTACGCCTTAGTTTTACCTGTGCAGGACTATTGAAACAATGAAACTAATTGAAAAACACATGCGTACAGATTTATTTCAAAATGCACTGATCCAAAAGTAAAATTAAAGAAGCAGCAATCAGGATAACCAATAGAAGCAAGCAATCAAGGCAAGTCTTCCAGAAATCTTCGCGGACTCATTGCGGCGCGGCAGGTATCTTCTCGGCGAGGAGGGCGAAGAGCTCGTTGACCAGGTCGCGGTGGTCCTGCAGGAACCGCAGCCACTCCGGCCGCTGCTGGATGCGCCTCGCGTTGGACGCGGCCAGGTCCAGGGCGACGCGCTTCAGCCTCGCGGCTCCATACCGGTCCGCCAGCACGATGGTCCGCAGCACCTGGAGAGGGTCAGCAGTCAGCAGTAATGAAAACACTACAATCGTGACTGTCTGTCTACTTGGTACACACTTAAACATGCATGCTTGCAAGGACACACTTACAAAGGCTTACTTGGCCAAGTACTCTGCAAACTGAAGTGTTTACATAGTACACTCTTATTAGAGCATGCTTCCAAGCACACTCTTATTTACAGCATACTTGCTAGGCACACGCTAAAATTGAGTAAGCCTGGCAAGTACATGCTGAATAAGTGTGTACCTTGCAAGTACACGCTAAAATACACTCGATTAGTCCTATCTAAAAGCATGGGCCAGTTTAAGTTTACTTGCCAGGTACACTCTTATTAAGCGTGTACATGCAATGCACTCTATTTTAGCGTGTGCCTGGCAAGTATGCTGTAAATAAGAGTGTACTTGGAAGCATGCTCTAAGAGTGTACTATGTACACACTTCAGTTTGCAGAGTACATGTACTTATGCGCACGTGTGCACACTTACAAATGCATACCTGACAAGTACACACTTGCCTACGCGTAGCATGGAGTTATTCGGCGCCAAGCATGCGTTTCTAAGTGTGTACTTGCAAGCATGCATTTGTTGTAAGTGTGTGCTAAGTAGACGGTTAGGTTTGCAGTGAAGCAGTCACACTACGAGCACGCTTACACACGAAATGTTTGTGTACAAATTTGAGCGTGTCACACTGTTAGCCTCTCACTGACTTAATAGTAACCAGGTATTAAGTAGATATGTATAATTTACTTCATGTAATTATTTAGGAATTTTTTTGTCAATAATTACAAACAACTATGTGAATAATTACTACAAAAGCGAAAAGTACGATCTATTGTTGCCCAAATTACTGGAGGTGCTACTAACAAAATGTCAAAAGCATGAACTAAACGTCAACTTTGAGTTTGAGAGTGTTCTTTCATGATTTGGTGCACACAGATAAAGAACTGCTCGTCGTAATACAACGAAAACGAAGGCCTCGCAGCCTGCGAAGGAAATACTTTGTAATACAAACGTTTGTAGCAACAAATCGTTTGTAATACAGACGAAACGTTATGATACAAAACGATTTTGATTGTAATTCAACGAAAAAATCCTTTGCAGGCAGCAAAGAAGTTCTGGGTAGGTCACAAAGAGTTTTTCCTTTGAATGACAAACAAAATCGTTTGTATAGCGAACGATTTCCTTCATAGGCTGCGAAGCGTCCGTTTTCTTTGTATTACAACGAGCAGTTCTTTGTAGGGTTCTAAGTGCGCATACAATGAAGTCGCATAATCTCATGCGTAAGAATGCAAATTTGAGCACGAGAACGATTGGCCCCCGAGGAGAAACTCACCTCTTCCGGTCTACTCCCAATTTGCTTCAAAAGCAGTTCTTCGCAGTACGATTTCAAAGGCTGCATATCGTAGAAGTCGGCCGCAGCAAGCACATCCAAATTCTGGGCCATCGTGCGGACTTGTTGCTCACTGGCCTCGTGCTCCATTTTGCCAGTGTAAGCGTACCTAGACACAACAAATGGAGTATGAAAAAGAAGTTTTACAGGTAACATGCAACTCGACGATATTGAGACTATACAGTGTTCAATCCAAAATTCACGGTCAATTAATCTGTAGTCTAAATTTGAACATGAAAATGTTAATTGATATTTTCTGACTGCACTCTCAGTCTCGTGTTGATTTTTTATCTGGTTTATCTGTTTATCTGTAACAAAGTTTTTGGTGCAAACGTAATTTGTGCTATTTTCTCTTTAACTGTGCACTATTTTGTTCATTGTATAATGTATTTAGTCCATTTAGTCCAACCTGACTTTTTGTAAATTGCAATGCACTTTTCAATTTCTTTAAGATCTAATTGACAATTTTATCCTTAAGGGGACGTTCTGGTGAAAATCTTGCCATTTTCCAAATGGATCCCACAGTCATAATTTGTTCGGAATATAAAATTTTTCATTGAGGAGACTAAAATTTGACTTTTGAAGGCACATGCCAGGCTGTAAACCCAGTCGAAGAGTCTTTTTGAGCCTATTTTGGCTGTATCTTAAAAAATCTCCTTGCGCATACTATTTTGTCGTAAAAGGTTGACCTTGACATTTTTCACTTCTTCGATTCATTTTCAAAAGATTCCGGCATGCATAGCTCAAAACTTCCATTATATTATTAATTATTAGCTTTTTAAGCTGAAAAGTCCCTAAAATTTGTCTATTTTGTACATGTTTGATCAATTATAGTGAAATGCTTGGTTAGAAAGCTTGCAAATAAAAATGCAATTAACATTTTGAGATGTGCATGCCGGCATTTTTAAAAAATGAATGGAAGAAGTGAAAAATGTCTAAGCCAACCTTTTACGACAAAATAGTATGCGCAAGAAGATTTTTAAAGTTATAGCCTTAATGGGAGAAAAAGGCTCTGCGACTGGGTTGAGGGCATAGAATGTGCCTTCCCAATGAAAAATTTAAATAAATACTCGATAAGACATCAAATTTTTAACAAATTTTCACAGTGGGACCTATTTAGGAGAAAATAGCATTTTCACCAGAACCTCCCTTTAAGATAATCAAAATTGTGCATACTTAAAGAGAAAATAGTACATTTTACGTTTCCTCAAAAAACTTAATAAGCAAGAGAGAAAAAAAGGCAATGTAGTAGGTCTGAGAGTGTGAGGACCAGAAGACCCTGGCCAAAACTCTTGACGCCAAACAGGACTCAAACCAAAGCATGTAACCCCATCAACGGATTCCTCGCCCTGGGAGAAATCTATTGGTGGCGTCACACGTTCAGCTTGAGTCTCTGGAGCTCAAAACGCGTCCGGAATTTCGACCGCCACCACCAGTCCACTGGCCCACTGTGTGTTGCCCGTACCAGAGGATGCGCTCGGTGACTTCGACCGAGAAGTTGACGGGCACCGTGGCGGTCCGGCACTCGGCCATGTCGGTCGTGAAGAGGCACTGGAAGACGGGACTGCGTGCAGACAGCACCGCCTTGTGCGCGCGGAACTCACGCGCCACGCCGCCGTCAGCCCGGTCGCCGCTCTGGACCTGGAACAGTCCGCCTGGCATTTCAAAGGGAACGTTTTCGTGTGTCTGCACATTGTAATTCCAGCTGGAACGTGAAATCGCGTTCAAACTCGTGACAAAATGTCACGTTCCTTTGTGCATTGTGCCACATTCGTTTGACTGTGAATAAGCTGATTTACATTCACATCAAAGCGAACCCAAGGGAAAGAATACCTATGATTTAAAAGGGACGGTCCCTTTCCGAAGGGGCCATGCCCTATCCGAGAAAGGGCTAGGCCCCTTGGAAGGGCGACTCAATGCTGTGCAGAAGGTTAAGGGGAGGTTCTGGTGAAAATCTTGCCATTTTCAAAATGGATCCCAGTGTCATAATTTGTTCGGAATATAAAATCTTTTTTCGAGGAGACTAAAATTTGATTTTTGAAGGCACATCCCAGGCTCTGAACCCAGTCGAAGAGTCTTTTTGAGCATATTTAGGCTGTATCTTAAAAAATCTCCTTGCGCATACTATTTTGTCGTAAAAGGTTGACCTTGACCTTTTTCACTTCTTCGATTCATTTTCCAAAAATGCCGGCATGCATAGCTCAAAATCTCCATTATATTATTAACTGTAAGCTTTTTAAGCGGAAAAGTCCCTAAAATTTGTCTATTTTGTACATTTTTGATCAATTATAGTGAAATGATTGGTTAGAAAGCTTGCGGATGAATATGTAGTTTACGGTTTGAGTTGTGCATGCCGGCATCTTTTAAAAATGAATCGAAGAAGTGAAAAATGTCAAGGCCAACCTTTTACGACAAAATAGTATGCGCAGGAAGATTTTTGAAGTTATAGCCTAAATAGGAGAAAAAGGCTCTGCGACTGGCTTCAGGGCATAAAATGTGAGTCCCCAATGAAAATTTTTTAATAATTACTTGGTAAGACATCAAATTCTTAACTAATTTTCACAGTGGGACCTATTTAGGAGAAAATAGCATTTTCACCAGAACCTCCCCTTAATAAATACAAGAGACGGGCCAAAGATTGACCACTTTTTAAAAAATGTCCAAAACTTAATCTTAACCAAAAAGTTTCAAACACACCAAAATTTATTTTTTAAATTTCTATAGAAATTTTTATAGCCCTCGCAATTATCTTTTCACAGTGTATAAAATCCCGCGACACGCTGTGAGACAGTCTCACACTATTTAGTGCGAACCACAATGTCTCACGCTTACAAGTGTGAGCCACGATTGTGTCTCACAATTACGAGCACTCGTGTAAATCTTATCAGAATATCAGAAACCTGTCTGAAAACCTGATCAAAATTCGCGCACCTCTGAAAGCTGAAAACATCTTCTGACAGTCTGTAGAACTCAAACCGTCAATATCAGAGTAAGTTTTCAGAATTTCAGCTCTCAGAGGTGCGCGAATTTTGATCAGGATTTCAGACATGTTTCTGACATTCTGACCAAATTTACACGAGTGAGCGTGGATCCTGAGGCATTAAACCACAGGTAACCATAGGCAGTAAGAGTGGGACAAACCGTGTCTCACACTTGCAAGTGTGAGACAAATGATGTCTCACACTTACAAGTGTAAGACAAACGTGGCTCACACTTGTGAGCGTGAGACATCGTGGTTCGCACTAAATAGTGAGAAACTGTCTCACCCTTGGATTGGCAGTGTACTTCGAGCCTGAAGACGTTTGACGACGCCAACTGAGGCACACGGAACTCTACTGACCTGGAGGACGACGTCGCTCAGGACACCTTCCTTGAACAGCTTGGCCAGGTCACAGCTCAGATCCCTGTCCTTTTCAACTTCGCCAGGAGGCCACTTCTCGTACATGAAAAGTTGCACCTGGGGATGGAAGTTACGTAAATGTTTGAGAACAAGGCGCTGGTTTCCATCCGCACTGCAAGAAAAAACTACGACAAAAGTACACAAAGTCCTGGCAAATTTTTATTAGGAATTTATTGTACTTTCACAGTGCAACAATTGTTGTACAAAGTACAGCGGAACCGGCATGACGAGTGCTGGGCAGTCCAGGCCTCGTTGTGGTTTGTACAATCTCTGTTGTACTTTTATTGTACAGTTTTTGCTGTACTGTTGATCACACTTTTTCTTGAAGTGTGGGACCGACAAAAGGCCAGTACACTCTCACATTTTATGAATGTTCATTGATGTTTGTGAACATCAATAGAATTTCGTTACGAAGCTTATTAACAGATTTGTCAAGACTAAACTAATTATGATGTTAAATAATAAATAATGTTAAAATGCTACACTGCACATCTAACTGTCTACTAAGTACACACTTACAAATGCGTGCTTGCAAGTACACACTTACAAACGCATGCTTGGCCAAGTACACACTTACAAACGCATGCTTGCAAGTACACACTTACAAATGCATGCTTGACGCATGGAGTTATACGGCGTCCAGCATGCGTTTGTAAGTGTACTTGCAAGCATGCGTTTGTAATTGTGTACTTGGCTAAGAATGCGTTAGTAAGTGTGTACTTGCAAGCACGCATTTGTAAGTGTGTACTTAGTATAGACAGTTAGGTTTGTAGCGTAGAGGTTTAACAGTAAATGTGAATCAATGTACAAAAGGAGCCAACCACACGACTCATAATACACAATGCACCCTTTGACCCGGCGACGAGTGCATTCAAAAACAAATCTTACAAAAACGTTTGCTAAAGACCCGCGGTCTGAAGCCTCGTCCCAATTGCTAGAGCAATGCACCGGAGAGTCGTGCGGACACAGATAATTCCACACTCTCAGCACGTTACAGACTTCAATAACTATGTATTCGTATAAACAGCAATAATACCTAGGCGGCGTGCAAATATTACGTCACCCGTTTAGGGGGGGGAGGGGGTCTGACGGAAAGTGATGGTAGATGATGTGGGGAGGGGAGGGTGGTTGAGCAGAGATGACGTAGTTTTCTGCTTAGAGCCGCGTGGCGTCGGCTTCGCGTAGACGACACTGCGGCCACCCGACCGGCCAAGCCGAGTTTTGATTCTGATTCAATTTTGACCATTTTTTGCTTCGTTTCTAGTGCCATGACTGATTTTTTCTTACTAGTCTTTACAAATGAAGACTTTTTGTATCATACTTTGAGATATTGCTAATGTTTTTGCACCTACAGTGTGATTCGCTTGCGAGAACTCAGAAAATAAGAAAACTACGTCATCATAGGGGGAGGGGAGGGGGTTGCGTCAGGGATGACGCTGAGTGATGATGGGGGGGAGGGGGTCAAAAAGTGGCCTAAAACAGGTGACGTAATATTTGCACGCCGCCCTAGTAGTTTGTAAGTAAGTATGACTTATTTCCTTTGAAAATTATGTACAAAACAAAATCCTCAGTACATTATTTAATATTTTCTAAGTAGTTCTTTAAAAAAGGAAAAGTACGTATTATGGTTGCACAAATTACTTGCATAAGTACTGACTAAACGAGCAAAAAGTCAATAACGTGCTGGAGTGATGATATACAAAGAACGTGCTTCAAGCGGTTTTAAGTGTGAAGAGTACATCGGATACTGACCTGAAGTCTGTACAGGCCGCTGTTGAGGATCAAGTGCGTCGTGTATATCCCACCATTGGCAGCCACGGCGCTCTCTTCTTTGAGAACCACTGAGTCGGAAGTGACTTTAGCCGTGAAGGTCACCTGTTAAAGACAGAATCGTGACTCTTGAGAACGTGAGGCGACAGCGAAATTCTGCTCTCTTGGACGACACTCTCATTCTAGGCTCGTGCACTGGTGAAACTAAAGCGAGGGGTCCACCACTCAGCTCTGGAGTGTACACAGGATTACTGATTACCAGTGATTACCTACAAAAATACTCAAATAATTCTAAAATTTTGGCCAGCTAAGAGCCTATTTTCATAAGAATAAAACCCAAAATCCGATAAAAACGGCGAAAATAGCCAGTTTTGACGAGTGATTACCACTGATTACTAGACGAGGTGTACACACAATTACCAGAGTGGTTGACCCCTCGAACTAAAGCGTAGTTCTACGTTTCATCCAAGCGTCCAAGACTGTACTGCAGCGTTCGACTACGCTTCAAGGCAATTCCCCCTAGTGCATTTAGATAGGAGGGAAGGAGCGGATGAGCTCTGTCACGTGCTGTCACGTTCCTGGAATGAGGAGCACTCTCGGCCTTTTACGAACTATCTCTCTCACTAGCAGACGCATTTCTGTAAACAACCATTATGATTGGCAACCTTATAGATATAATACTTATGACACTTGAAAATTTCTTTGTAATTTACTTGTCAGTACAGTAATCATAAATTGTTAAGTAGTGCTGAAAAAAAAACCTAAGTATTGTGGTTGCTAACAAATATTACGCGTCTGATCATGAGGCAAATCAGAAAAGGCTGAGAGTGAGTGTTTTTAAGCTGCGCACGCCGCCGCTTCTCTACAAACTGAAGTGTGTACTCAGTACGCGTCTACAGGTGCATACTTGCAAGTTCACATCTGAAGATGCAAACTTGCAAGTACACATCTACAGATGCATACTTCGATGAGTTAGATATACATCTGAAGATGTGTACTCAGCTAAGTATGCATCTGTAGGGTCAGTTGGGGTAATAATGGGACAGTTTGAACAATAAGGTTTCCACAACTCTACAATGACGAGTTGGAGTGTTTCTAATGCTTTTAAAGGATAGGGTACTCTGTTCCACACCATTTGGCGTTAAAATAAGATCAAAAATTCATTTAATTTTGCAGTTGTGCAAAATAAACTGTGAAAATTCGGACTTGTAAGTTTGGGGTAAAAATGGGACACGCTGGGGTAAAAATGGGACAAGGGCTTAGCAGTGGTAAAACAGGCCTCAAAGTTTTCCAAATAGACACCACTTTATAAAATTCGATCCGTCTCAACACGAGGAACAATAAATGTCATCACATGCCACCGGTTCGGATGAAAAATGAAGAGGCATTGCGATTCAAAAGAACTTGGGTGTAACTTGACCTTTTGTGACTATTTGTCAATTTCAAAGCCCATTAACTTTTTAAATATCCGTCCAAACCCATAGCATGTGTTGACATATTTTGTTTGTATTGTCGAGGCCTTTCTATTTCCGTTCAGAGATGTCCATTCGAACAACTTTGAAAATTTTCTCCCCAAAGGCCACAATTTACCATTAACCAAGTGTCCCATTTTTACCCCAGAAGTGTCCCATTCTTCCCCAAAGCGGTGTCCCATTTTTGCCCCACAGGAAAATTCTACAATTGCAAGTTAACGAATGCATTGATGTCAAAATGAGTTGGTGGATCGAAATCCTCGTTCTTTTAGCTTTCCAAAACACTACAATACTTTACTTTTCTGTTTATGGGGGGTTCTGTAGTGTTCTAATTAGATGACCTCTGCGGCAAATTTTTCCAACCTTCAGAAAACCCATAATTGCCATGTTTTGCTTGATTTCTTAATTCTCATTTCTATGAGCAGTCATTGTCCCGCCGAATGAAAAATGGAATACTAGACACCTCAATGAACATTTTAAGCACAAACATGTCATTGTACGACGTTTTAACATGCCAAAACTCGTCAAGTTTAGAAAGTGTCCCATTTTTCCCCAAGTTTTCAGTGTCCCATTATTACCCCAACTGACCCTAGATGTGTACTCAGCTAAGGATGCATCTGTAGATGTGTACTCAGCTAAGTATGCAACTGTAGACGCATACTGAGTACACACTTCAGTTTGTAGAGTACCGCACTCACCTGACTCTTGTGGCTCCCGGCCACGTTCTCGAGGTTGATCCAGACGACAGTCCAGGACGAATTTTGGCAGGAATGCGCCTTCAACGCCCACCGCACCTCGGGCTCCTGGAGGTCGCACTGCAACACCGTAGTCGTCGTCGGTGGGTGAGGATGGGCCGTGGTGAAGTCAACGAAGCTCGAGTACCTCGCCACCAGGCGGCCACGGCTGGGCCGCTGGGACTCGGGGTTGGCGTGGCTCGTGGAGGCAGTCGACGACATTGCCCTGGAGGAAGGGAAGAGGCGGTGTACGTGCAGCAAGACAGATACACAGAAAAAAACTACAAGAAGCGCTTCATAATACGAAGAAAATGAAGGCATTGTGAAATCTACGAAGAAATGTTCCCTGTTATGCAGCAAAACCCTTCGCAATACGAATCAACTCTACTATGGCTTCATTTTTCTTAAAGTTATGCTTCGTAGGCTTTTTAGAGCTTTACCCGACACGGCATTGGAAAGCAGGGCCCCCGTTCTATTCAAAAGCGGTTGGAACGGGTTCCTTGGTCCTGACGAGGACCATTTGAAAATGCCAAACTTTAAAAAAAAGTAAAATAATGATTTTTTTTTCTTACGAAAACGACGTTACGTATTTTCCTGGTGTAAGTCCAATGGGAACCCACGAGGCCTCATTGGACTCGCCTTACTTCGTAGTAAGAGATCATATCGAGTCTGGGATACTTGGTCTCATTACGATCCGTTACGGAACCAAAACACGAAAATTCTCTGACTTAAACTACGTCGAAACAGGGCCTAAAAAAAACATTTGCGACCCCTTGATAATGTTTGATTGGACTCGGTTTAGAGGTAAGCTAAAAGTTTATAACAAGAACAATATTCCAGGCGCGCCGGTATGAATTTCAAAAAAGTCGTGCATTTTACTGATGAGGGTACGCTGGGTGTGGGGGAGCCGAAGACCGGCGAGAACAAGTTGGAATAAGAACTAAAATCCCGTTCTAGCCGAACGTCATTCGCCTAAATTATTCAAAACAGATTTGAGTACAATGTGGTCAGCTGCCACCCCATGCGAAACCCGTCGATGCAGACTGTCTTCACAGCCGACGGTCATAGTATTCTTACTTCGGCACTCTCATTCCAAGTATGTGATGTCACGTTGAAACGAACGTGACAAAGTGTCACGAGCATTGTGTCGCATTTGTTTGAATGCGAACAAGCTGATTTTAGGGCGATTCACATCCAAACACTGTTAAACATGAATGAAATTTAATGACATTTGTGACGTTATTTTTCATTAAACGTCATTATTTTTAATTACATCTCCACATTCATTACATTGTAATGAAAATTTCATTACCTCGGTCATAAAGTTTAATGACATTAGCCATGTAATGAAAGTTTCATTACATTATGCAGCTTGTCATGAAATTTTCATTACATGTCATTAAATTTTTCAAAAATATTTAAGCATGACTGATTTTATTCGGATTTGTCCAGGATCTAAGTTCAGCTTACTCAAACTAATTTAGCCGTCTATTGGCCGCCAACATCAATTTTTCTCCTACAGGCGTCCATTACGGCGTCATATGCCAAACCTGTCATTCGCAAGTCTGCCGCTAGGTGTCGCATGGTACACGGGGATCACTCTCAACTCTGTATTTCGTATTAAAATATTAAAACGTGAGGAGATATTCTGAAATGTATCCGTGATTCATGCGAAGTGCTGGATTGTTAAACTAATGGCGAAGAGTTTGGAGGAATAGAGCGATATTTGAAGTGAACAAATAGGTTTGTCTGATGTTGCTCGGAGGCGGCTACGGCCTGCCGTTTGGTAGGGTCAGCACCCGATCTCTCTCACTCAGGCAACTAAACTGCCTCAGACCTGAGGAGTCCTGGGTCACTCAATTTTTACCTCTTCTCTGCTGTCAGAGTCGTTGAGAATTCACTCTAAGTCAAATCGTGACAAAAAGTTGCGTAACTTGCGTCAACTTTGATCATTTCCATTACGTTTTTGTCATTAAAATTTTCATTACATTCGTTCATTACACTGTAATGAAAATTTTAATAACATATGTGTAATGAAAACTTTAATTACATTGTAATGATTATAGCTTCACTACCATGTAATGAAAATGTAATTAAATTTTTTTAACAGTGAACGAATGTGACACAATGCTCAAACGAACGTGACATTTTGTCACATGTGTTTCAACGTGATGTCACGTACCTGAAATGAGAGTGCGGTCTTCGAATGAGTCGGAGCACCCAGCAGCCATGTATCTCATTCCATACTCTTGCACCAACACCAAGAGCGAACCTTATTCCACGCGTCAAATCTGTGCATCTTTAACCCCGAATTGTTTTTGGATTCATACCCTTAATGGTATACCCGAGTGAATCTTGAACCGGAAGATAAAGAACAAAGCCTCAACACAAGGTGCGCATACGCATCTTCCGTTTCGAGATTCATTGGAGTACAGGGCATAATGTAAGAAATTTTTACAACTGCCCTATCCGGGCGACGGAAAGGGGGGGGGGGAAACAATGGGGCCCAGCGGCCGCGATCAGGTGTCATTGTTAAGCGCGTCAAGGCCGAAAAAACCCAACACCAAGAAAAGATTCTGATTCTAAATAAACTTTTTTGGAAAACGGCTCACACACTCCGTCATTTCCCACAAAACCTGCGTTTTGCCTCATTTCCTTACCCTAACTTCACCAAATTTGGCCTCGAGACAACTGCCCATTTTTTCGTTAACAACTGCCAAATTGAGATTAAGAACTGCCCAAACAAGCCACAACTGCCCGTTACATTATGCCCTCCAATGGAGTAACCAACAACGTTACGCACGTAGGGGTGAGGGGGACATCTGACCTTGCGTAACGCTCCGGTACGTGAGGGGACGGGGAGTCCGAGTCAGAGTATCGAGCACATTACAGAAGTTCTATCGGTGAATAAGGGTAAAAAAGGATTTACCGGAGAAATTTGGCTTTGCGTTACGCTGGGAGAGGGGGCCTTGCGTAACTTAGAATTCTTTGTGACAGCTTGATAACACTAAATACAGAAAGGTGAGACAAGTTGCTTCTCAAGGGGTGATACTAAAATATGACCGAAACAAGGTCGTACTAAAATGTGACCGCAAAAGGGTCAAACTTCGAGGTACATACTTTTTGTCTCACTGTTAAAGGTTGATATAATAACTCCCCAAGTCGGCTAATGTCTGGCCCATTTTCGGTCATTCATTTTAGTATGACCTTTTTTCGGTCATACTTTTTGTATCGCCGTAAATTGGTCAGATGTTTCATCCTGTGAATTTCAATGGAGTTTGTACTGTGCAGTGCAAACCAAAAAGTGTACATAGCACATTCTCATTAACAGCAGCTTCCAAGCCGCGTTCCAAGCTCACTCCTTTTCTTCTCAGCGTAAGTACTTGCTGGCACACGCTAGAATACAGTGTGCCTGGCATGTACACGCTAAAATACACTCGATTAGTCCTATCTCGTTTCAACTATAAACCAGAAAATTTAACAAAGTGTACAGTTTGAGAACCGCAAAGTGATAAATGCCCTATCTTCTACGAAGTAGTGTAAAATCTTGAAAAATCTTCCGGTTGCTTACGATTTAAATCTTAATCGGGGGTCATAACGTATTTTATTTTCGATTCAGCTCTTTAAAGTAAAAACTAGGTGAATCCTACATTAAAATTCTGTACCAAATTGCATTACTTATTTTAGTTTTAACAAGCATTGTATTGATTGTATTCACAAAAGTGCAAATGACATTTAGAGGACATTTTCAGCTTAAAAAGCTAAACATTAATAACATAATGGAAGTTTTGAGCTATGCATGCCGGAATCTTTTGCAAATGAATCGAAGAAGTGAAAAATGTCAAGGTCAACCTTTTACGACAAAATAGTATGCGCAAGGAGATTTTTTAAGATACAGCCAAAATAGGCTTAAAAAGACTCTTCGACTGGGTTTACAGCCTGGCATGTGCCTTCAAAAGTCAAATTTTAGTCTCCTCTATGAAAAATTTTATATTCCGAACAAATTGTGACTGTGGGATCCATTTGGAAAATTGCAAGATTTTCACCAGAACCTCCCCTTAACAGCATGCTTCCAAGCCGCGTTCCAAGCTCACTCCTTTTCTTCTCAGCGTAAGTACTTGCTGGCACACGCTAGAATACAGTGTGCCTGGCATGTCCACGCTAAATAAGAGTGTGCTTGCAAGTACACGCTAATATACACTCGATTAGTCCTATCTCGTTTCAACTTTAAACCAGAAAATTTAACAAAGTGTACAGTTAAGCGAACCGCAATGTGATAAATGCCCTATCTTCTACGAAGTAGTGTAAAAATCTGGGTGAAAAATCTGGATCCCGAGTTAAATCTTAATCGGGGGTCATAACGTATTTTATTTTCGTATTCAGCCCTCTTTGAAACGTAAAAAACTAGGTGAATCCTAGCATTAAAATTCTGTCACCAAAAAGTTGCCTTACTGCTATTTTAGTTATATAAAAATTGGTATTGACTGGTATTCACAGAAAGCTGAATGTTTGACGTGTGGTGAGGCAAGGACATGTCTCACGACCCTGCGTTCCTAACAGAATCGGCCGAGTCACACACTCAAAGGTAAAGTTTACGGATAAAGTTTTTCCCAACACTCGACTGCAACAAAGCGGGACAGGCTCTTCACTCTCATACAAACGTGACATCACTTTGATATCAATGATAAAATGTCTCATTCGTTAGGACGTGAATCAGCCATAGATTACACTCTCAGACTCGTATTGACTTTTTATCTTTTGCCATAAAGGTTTTTGTGCAAACGTAATATGTACCATTTTCTCTTTGGCTATTCACTATTTTGTTCGTTGTATCATGTTAATAGTCCATTAAACCGTACTTAATGTCATTTGCAATGTACTTTTCAATTTCTATATGCTCTATTGACAATTATATCCCTAAAACGATCAAAATTGTGCATAGTTAAGAAGGAAATAGTACATTTTACGTTTGCTCAAAAACCGCTATAAGCAAGAGAGAAAAAAGTCCATATAGGTCTGAGCGTATAGCTTTTTCACATTCCAACGAATGCGACACAACGCCCAAAGGAACGTGACATTTTGTCACGTTAGTTTTATCGCGATGTCACGTTCCTGGAATGGGAGTCTTCTTCTTCTGAAAACAATGACACTCCATTATAGAACACATGTGAACAGATTTATTTCAAAGAGCAGTGTGTTACACGCATAGCAAAAAAAGAATAAACAGAAAATGGGAGCATCAATCAAGGCGAGTATCCCAGAACAATCTTCTCGACTCAGAGGTCGGGTATCATCGCGGGGTAGCAGTCACTCTCTCGGCGAGTGAGGCAAACAGCTCGTTGACCAAGGAGCGGTGGTCCTGCAGAAACTGAAGCCACTCCGGGTGCTGCTGGATCTGCTTCGGGTCGGAGGCGGCCAGGTCCAAGGCGACGCGCTTCAGCCTCGCAGCACCGTACTTGTCCGCCAGCACGATGGTCTGTAGCACCTTGAAAACGTCGGCAGAGATCAGAAGCAATCAATATACGCAGGTTCACTGGTAAAACGGTTCCTGGTTTTCCCAAGAACTCCGTGGAAATCGCCTGTCTCAACAATAGGCTTCCTGGGAAAACCAGGAACCGTTTTTACCGTATGATCAAGAAAAGCAGTGCACTAAATGTTTATGTAGAGTTTTGTACGTGGTGATGCATGATTTTTAACTAGTCTAGCGTTTTGAAAAAAATGAAGTTCAAATTTGCGTAGTTTCTGCATTTTTATGCATTCATTCAAATTCCGCGTATGCACAAAATCGTGCAAGTTACACGAACAAGGTTCTCCATAAACATTGAGAGGACATAACAGTCCTGTTTCATCGTTACCCGCAGTGTCGAACTATTTAGAATTTAGCTTGACGAATTTGTGATAGAGAGCGCATGGCTTCACAAAATTGTCGAAAGTATATCGCTCAGAATCTAATATATTGAACAAAATAACTTCTTGCTTTACTTCGAACGATGACTAAAGCCCATCAAAATCTAAGAGGTTTCAGACCGCGAAACAAATACGTAGTCTGATTTTGAAGAGAAGCGTCTCCGGAACAGTTGGTTCCGGGGGACAAACCGGACAGGAACTCACCTCTTCCGGTTTGCTGGCAATTTGCTCCATGAGTAGTTCTTCGCAGTACGATTTCAAAGGTTGCATATCGTAGAAGTCAGCTGCGGCAAGCACATCCATATTCTCGGTTATCGAGGGAGCTCGCTGTTCACTGGCCTCGTGCTCCATTTGGCCAGTGTAAGCGTACCTGGACGGACACAACAATGTGAAACATTAGCTTCCAGGTAGAGCCGTCCCAGCGCACAATAAGATAAGCCAGAAGACCAGCAACAAAAATGGTGTGAAAGGTATTGTGAGTGTGTACACACTAAATTCTTATGGAATTTTTAAATGCATAATGATGCATTTTTTTATGGATAGTTATGCATGCGCAGAAACGTCCATAAGGTATATATAAAATTATGCATCACTGTGTACAATTTATGCATCTTCCTGCATAAAATTGATCCAGGATGCATAATATTACACGCATAACAAATGGGCGTATCTGCGCATGCATAACTATGCATAAAATGTCCATAAGAATTTAGTGTGTACATCGAAATTTTTTCTATCGTTGTCCGTACCAGAGGATGCGCTCGGTGACTTCGACCGAGAAGTTGACGGGCACCGTGGCGGTCCGGCACTCGGCCATGTCGGTCGTGAAGAGGCACTGGAAGACGGAACTGCGAGCAGACAGCACCGCCTTGTGCGCGCGGAACTCACGCGCCACGCCACCGTCAGCCCGGTCGCCGCTCTGGACCTGGAACAGTCCGCCCGGCACTCAGTAAGCTCTCGCAGCAAATTGGGCACAAGGCACGGGCATCACTCTCAATCCAGGAACGTGACATCACTTTGAAAGGAATGTGACAAAATGATCTATCTTCCGCTTCGGGGAATTATTTGATTTATCTCGAAGTTGAGTTTTTATCTCATTATTGTGCCTCAGGGTGGTTTGCATCACGACACCAAATTATTTGATTCATTTTCTAGCAGACTAGGAGAAAATCGACATGGACTACACGGTAAAAACGGTTCCTGGTTTTCCCAGGAACCCCCTGGAAATCGCATATGTCTTCGCCATAGGGCTCCTGGGAAAACCAGGTACCGTTTTTACCGTGTAACGATATAACTCTACTTAACCCCTTTTACCTCGCCTTTTACGGTCTAAATTTCAAAGGAAAATGGGTTACTCAGCCCGCAGTCCACTTGACTCTGTTGCACAAAATGGCAAAAGAAGATCAGATACCTTAACTTGTGGCTTTATGAATCTACTTGAAAAGAGTCAACTTAAACCAAATCCCTTTTTAATTTGGGAAACAAGTTGAAAAAAGAGGTAACTCCAAATATGTACAGCGAAATAGACTCTACGCAGACCTCAGCTCCCCTTGAATAGTCTCCGAATTCCACCTCGTTTGGGGGAACTAAGTCAACTTGGTTTATGGAACCTTATATGGAACCTTTAGTCTGTAAAGATTTAAATCACAGAAACCATCTTCAGAGTCGTATTACACTTCAAAACTTTCCAGTTATAGCTTGTGCATTTTTGACAAAAATCCATTTGCGTCATTTGTTAGGATTCAACTTTCCCTGCAAGCAGTTTTTTGTTTCTCGTTTTCATGTGAACAAGCTAATTTACACTGAAAAAAATGTCTGGTTATAAGTACCAGACCAATCCTAGTTAAACTAGTAAGGGAGGGTGGGGCAGTTTGAAACAGGGGCAGTTCGAAACAAACACCATGAGGGCTGCCGTAGGAAATGTGAGTGTGCACAATCTTCTATTTTCATGATCTTACTGATTTGCGATCGACACGGTCGTCAACGGTGCACTTTAGTGGCCTTGAAATAAAGGTGAAACTTCGGTAACATTGAAATTGGCCTAAACTTAAATTTCTAAGTCACGGGAGTTTCCGTCTGGGTTTCGCTAGTAAGCGATCATCCCCCGCGCTTTTAATACATCTTTTGGTACCATATTAGGCAAGCGTAACGCACCCTCGGACACTGACGCAGCCCTCACCAAGTCTGGCGGGGAGCAGCACAACTGTAATGGTGCCCTCTGGGGCAGTTTGAAGCAGAAGTGGATAGGGCAGTTAGAAACAGCAATATCACTAGAAAAAACGTTTTATATAATGGAAAGCGAGCATAATGGTGGAAGTTCGTAATTCTAGATGGCACCAATGGAGACGTTGTATGTTTGACCCGTGACTTGCATCAAAATGCAACGTTTATGGGCTGTTGCATGTTGTAAACTTTGCGGGCAGGAAAAGGCCTTTATTTCAACTCAAAAACAGTAATGTGTGTTAACAACTTTGGTTCGTCTCTCTGAGACGAATCCATTGCCATAAGCATTTTCAAAAACTTCGCATTTTGAAAAATATGCCTTTTTGGCTTTTAAATTATTATTAAAAATGTTGATAAAGTTCGTCAAAATGTCAGCACTTGCATGACAACGTCTATTTGAGTCTATTTGAATCTATTTGAGTTGTGTACGCGGCCCTTCCTGGCCCGTGTTGACTTCCGTACAGCTGTTTCAAACTGCCCCATCGCTGTTTCAAACTGCCCCGGCCTGGGGCAGTTTGAAACAGATGCAAGGGTTGGAGTTTCACCTTATTATTAACGTTGAACGAACTTGTGAGCGTCTGCGGGCGTTTTCTAGTCTAGAGAATGAGTCATTCTGTTAATCTAGTGCAAGCACGCAGCATATAAACCAGCGGTACGATTATAATAACGAAATTCCAAATTCTGTTTCAAACTGCCCCACCCTTCCTTACTTGTTACTCATACGAGAATCCCAGTAACTCTCACCGGATGATCAGTTACCGTAACCAGCGCGGGTGTTGTGACATTTACCAGGTGGCTGCATAATAATCCTGGTAAATTTTACCAGACTGTTCAGTAATTGGCACCATCCGTAAAACTTCGAAATATTCGTTTCAATTGAAATGTTCGGGTGTCAAAAAGTAAAGTGCAACCGGTTTCGTTATTTTCGGAGTCTTAAATCCGAAAGAAACACTGGGAGTATTTCCCTGAGCCAGACACGAAGAGAGTCACCTAGTGGGGATCCCCTCCACCCACAGGCGACGTGGTGGCGCAGTGGTAACGTGCCCGTCTCTCAAGTGTGAGATCCCGGTTCGAATCCGGAGGAGAGAAGGAGGGAAAAAGCAATTCAGAGGTTGTTCGTCAACGAAATCGACGTCACATCAGGTTTCAACACTACAAAAATATATATATTTTTTTAAATTTTGGACTTCTTGCTTCAGTTTTGTAAGCACATGAACTAACCAAGATGTTTGGTAAAAACTACCAGAAGAGGTCCTGGCGGCATTGTAAGGATAACTATAAATCTGGTACGGTTTACTAGACTGAGGCCAACTAGACAGTTTAGTATTTTTTACACCAGAATTCTAGTTGAGTAATATTCTATCAGACAGTCTGGTATTATCAGACAGTCTGGTATTTCCTACCAGGATTCTGGTTATCGTTACTAGACTTTTTTTTTCAGTGTATGGCTCATTCACATCCAAAAGGGGTACAATGCTCAGAGGAGCGTGACATGTTACGCTCGAGCTTTGATGAAAATACAACCAGTTTGTGATGAAATTTTCATCGTTTTGAAGTAATGATGTCATCTAGCCTACAAGTTTGTCACAGAGCGAAAAAAAATTTTCAGTGTAGCCTAAGTGCATTTGTTATAATCAGTGGGACACACGAAGACACCCCCGATATACTTTGAGCCTCAAGACGTTTGACAAAGCCATCTGAGGAGATGAAAAGTTTACTAACCTGTAGAACAACATCGCTGAGGACTTCTTGTTTCAACAGCTTGCCCAGGTCGAAGCCCAGATCGAAGTACTTTTCAGCGCGGCGAGGCAGCTCTTTCTCGTACACAGAAATTTTTACCTAAGAAACGAACTTAGTATTAATTTTCGAGGACGAAGCATCAAGCAATGAAGAAACCAAATCTTGAATTTAAGTAACCCAGCATTAAACTTTGAGGTGAGAGACCTGCGCTGAGGTGTTCATGTTAGCCCGAAATTTTCTTGAGGCCAACTGCTTCTAGCAATTTTGACAAGAAACTCCAACTTGTTAAAAATTCAGCTGATCCTACTTCTGTCCTTTACTCAACGAGTACAAGGGTTCGTTATTGCAAAGGATTTTCCATTGTGGCAACAAATTCATGATTCCCGCTAGGTATAATCCCAACAGGTATAATCCCCTTCAGATATACTCTACTTAAGGGGGCTCATACATGTTCAAAGCACTTTTTTTTTAAAAAAAATTTTGATGTAGACGGATTAAGATTTTACAATTTCTGTGTTTAATTCCTTTTAGATAATTGAGTAAGCTTCATTTTGGCTCAAGGGAAAGTGACTTTGGACATTTTTTTGGAGATTTAGTCGAAACGTTTAAAATTTTGCTTCTCGTAAGATTTTGTTCGCATACTTGCTCAGATCTGTGGGGAAAAAATCAGGGACTGATCCCCAGTAGTGTCGTAGAATTGACTACAATGGGCTTTATATCTGCAATAGTTTGCAGGAAAAAAATAAAAACAATTTTTTGTTGAAAAATTTGTTTAAAAAATTGTTAAAAATTTGTTTGTTTTTTTTTCTTGAAAACTATTGCAGATATAAAGCCCATTGTAGTCAATTCTATGACACTACTGGGGATGAGTCTCCCTGATTTTTTCCCCACAGATCTGAGCAAGTATGCGAACAAAATCTTACGAGAGGCAAAATTTTAAACGTTTCGACTAAATCTCCAAAAAATGTCCAAAGTCACTTTCCCTTAAGCCAAAATGAAGCTTACTCAATTATCTAAAAGGATTTTAACACGGAAATTGTAAAATCTTAATCCCTCTACATCAAAATTTTTTTTTTAAAAGTGCTTTTAACATGTATGAGCCCCCTTAATTTTAATATTATTTACGCGGGTTCCCAACAAGTATAAATCCCAGCAGATATACAACGTCTTTTCTATGTTTCTATGATAAAATTCTGAACTGCAATAGAGACAATTGTATAATTAAACATAGAAAAGACTAAATACCACTGAATATTTCTAATGTGGCCTGAAATTGCATAATTCTCCGTATAACTATCAAGTCTGGTTCCAATTTCTTCAAGACGAAGCCTTACTTTAGTCGAAATATGACTGCCGACTCGAATAGAAGCAAATCTAGGTGAAAATCATTAACGGGTTGGTCTTTTATGGCCTCGTAATCCATGATATCTCTTTAAGTATTAAGTTGACCGTAGTGGCACTTGGCAGGTGAAAAGAGAACATAGTGATGACGTCAAATTATCTAGAAACAATTTGTACTTGTAACTACAAAAATAATTTTTGGCCCGCCCTTCTATTTAAAAAATAGGGAGGGGGGGGCTATGCATTTGTCTTTGTGTCTGTGTGTTGTTGTTGTCGTTGTTGTTGTTGTTGTTAGCGTCTGTGTACAAGGAAGGAGTTGAGCTAGAGTAACCAGATTTGGAGGGTACTTCAGGAGTACCGTCCAAACAAATAATCCGGTGGTGCAAATCCCGTCCGGGTCGCACAAGGGCTGCTGCAGGTTGGTTTACATGAGCGGGAGGGGGATTTCCGCCATTATTGGTGCTAGCAGGGCACATGGGTGTATTTTTGGAATCGGGGCGACGAGACAAGATGAATGGACCTGGTCCCGACCCCATCGGTCGCTTTTACAAGTTGGCCAGATCAGGATCTTCTAAAAAGGGGGTCGACCGACTAAAAAAATTTATTGTAGATTTCGATTGGTCTCAGCAAGACCTTTTCAACGAGGGGTCGGAAAGGGGGTCCAGGAGCCCGCCTTCATGAGTTATGGGAAAAAGTGCGACGGACTCGTTTTGCGCTCCTGCTGTGCCTCTGTTGCAAGGAGTTGCAGTAGCATGGCAAATATGGGTATTTTCGGAATGAGGGCTAAGAGACAAATGAAATAGGCATATTCTAAGGACAGTTGGAGTAAAAAGTTTATGGACTTTTGCAGATTGTGAATAGAAGGGCGGGCCTAAGTCACGATGGTACATCGATAACTTTGCTTTACCTGCTCACGGGGTGCGTGATGCGAGCGGGCCGAAGGCCCGGGCCTTCGACTGGCCAAGTTGGGTCTGATGCGAGGGCCGAAGGCCCGAGGAAAGGCCGCCGGCAGGCCAAGCTGGACCGGCCCCCTGTCGCACCGAGTTGCCGGCGACAGGACGACCAGACGAGGTGAGACGCTTGCAGACCGTAAGCCTTCAAGACACTCGAGTTACACAGAATAATTGTTCCTCAATACTGCAAATGGCTTGCCCCCCGGAATCTGCCAGTAGCGCAATATGAATAACGATTGAAACGCGAGTTGTGTACCCGCTAGCGAAGGCAGTTTCATTGGCAGCGCATTTCCTGCAGTCGAAGCTGTCATCATGCCCATTTGTAACCAATCTTCGTTGTTTTTCTTCTGATTTATTCCTAGTGAGAATTATACCTGGATGTATACCTGGTGGGAATTATTCTTGCCGACACATAAAAATCTATTATTAATCCCTGTACTCTGCAAACTCAAGAGTGTACTCAGTACACTCTAGTAAGAGTGTGCTCATGAGTACACTCTAACTAGCGTGTACTCAGATGAGTACACTCTAACTAGCGTGTACTCAGATGAGTACACACTTTCAGCTGCATAAATTGCCAGGCGTGCTTAGGTGTGTACTAATCTGAGTACACGCTAGTTAGAGTGTACTTATCTGAGTACACGCTAGTTAGAGTGTACTCATTTGAGTACACGCTAGTTAGAGTGTACTCATGAGCACACTCTAACTAGAGTGTACTGAGTACACTCTTGAGTTTGCAGAGTATATCTGGTGGGATTTATACTTGTTGGGAATCCGCGAACATATAAATATATAAAATTAAATAAAATAGTGTGATCTGATGACCTGGTGGGATTATATTTGGCTGACATCACCTCTTGTAAGCCGAAAGGAGGTGATGTCAGCAGGTATACGGTCTCACTCTCAGAGCCATATTGACTCTTTGTTTATAGCAGTAGCACCATTTCCTTACGCAACAATATTACTTGAAAATTTGTTCAAACGCCACGAATAAAAGTCCGTGGTGTAGGCCTATGCACAATTTCATCGACAATATTTTTGGATTTTTGGTACATAACTGACAAAATTGTTGGTAAACCTGAAAAAACAAAAATTTACAAGAATAATCACTGATAAAACTTTTGTCGTTACTAAACTACACTTTTAATGCTAATTTTTTGAGCAACAAGTATTGCAAGTCCATAAAAATATATGTAATGGATGCGACAGTTACTGATCTTGTACATAGAGTTTTATTTGTATGTACTGACTTCATTTATTAGTTACTACTAACTCCGTTTCTTTCTTACTTCTGACAAAATCTCTAAGTAGGCACTAACAAATTAGTCCCAGAAGGCTCCATGCTTCTTTTAAATAACTGGTCACAGATTTGTTAGTAAGGCTTATATACAAAACGTCAATAGGCTACGCTATAAACAGATTTTTATCAGTAAGGTACCTAAAAATTGTTCATAAATTACATAGAAATAATTTTTAAGTAAAAGTACAGACAAAAATGTCAGTATGGCTCTGAGAGTGTTTGCAAGTTGCAGGATATGCACGGGTTTGTGTAGTGTAATTCTGATACTGACATAAACTCTCTTGGAGCCGCCTCTGTTGAAGTAGTTCAATTGCGGAGAGTTCGGATGCGTAGTGTAGATCAGATCATTGCCAGGGACGGCGCTATCTTCTTTGAGAACTACCGTGTCGTTTTTGACTTCAGCAGTAAAGGCAACCTAAAGAAAAATATTGTAAATACATACGGCGACAGCAAACACGCACTGCACTGAGCAAAATCAACTAAGACGGACCACTTCTTCAAGCGACCCTCTCCGATTTGCCTGATTTTTTGTAGGCTTCATGACTAACTGAAAAAGAGTCTAAAGCCAGAATATTAGGTCCGGCAAAAATTTATTGCCCGAGATATGGCAAACTTTAGTTTAACTTTTGGAGAAAAAACACGAGTTTGGGTATTTTGGACTAATTTTCCACTTTTCATAGTAGACGGCTAAAATTTGGTCACTTTATATAAAAATGGCCAAAAGTCCCGCCCACCCAACAGGCGTGTTTGGCGGGCGGGTGATTCCGTGCGTAGGGGTTATTTTAGCCACCTTAGAAAGCCACATAATCAATCTTGCTTGTTCGGCCGGAATTTTGCCTAGATGGCATCAATTAAACCCCAGGAAGACACTCTGAGCGCGGGCGAGCTACAAGTTGACTTTCGTTTTCTCCCCCTATTAAATATGACGAAATTTACTGAAAATGTGACGGAAATTACGCTTGACGGAAATTACAAACAGATGTTTCTAGCTCACTGCAAATGCCTATCGCCACAGAAATATGCCGTAAGTTTGGCACACTAGTTCGACGTCAAGACACGTCTTTTCACGTGTAGGATGTCTTTCAAAACCCGATAGGAGAGGAGCGAGAGGGGCATACGGAAATTACACCAATTGTTACAACCCACCGATTTCACACACAACTTCCACTCGCACACCCACACCCCTTGCTTTTTCGTCACCTAAACTCGTTCTGAAGGTAAACAGACCGTGCTGATTCTAAATACGGCGGTGGTTCTGAGCAGGGAGCACTCCAAGTAGTTTTTTTAGTGGTTACTTAGAAACCGCCAAGGTAAAAGTCGGAGTACGGTGGACATTTTGTACGCGTTCTGAAAGGACACTTGGGACATTCCATGTGAAGTCAACCAGGCCTTAGCCACCATGGGCTCCGATCCGGTTCTCGTTTTCAGGGTTTGTTACCCCTATGGTCCCATGAATTAATCGGTACTTGGTTTGGGGTCCGGCCCCCCAGGGGCTAGGCTATGGGCAATTTACTTTTTTGCTAAATATTGGAACAACGCAACTTTGGAGGGCAATATCTCAGCAACCATTGGTTGTAGGTCCAATCCGAGACCAGATTTGGAAAGAGGATGAAAAACTGAATCTTTTTGGCATTTAAAGTTTTTATGTCCAAAAACTTTTTATAACTTTAAAACTTTAGTGAAGTTTTGAAATTAGCGCCATTTCCTAGATCCTCAACCGATTTTGACCAATCTGGGCTTAAAAGATAGCTTAAACCCTTCCCTAAATGAAAATGTTAACCAAAACATGTGTTCGGCTTCGTTCCCGAGAACGAGCCATTTTCGTGAACCCCTGCAACCACGTATTTCACCAAATTGTAGTGACGGCCGCACTCGATACCACACTGGACGCTCTCTTAGGTGTTTTCGGCTCAAAGCAAGTTTCCGAGTTGCTTTTCTTATGTCAGGGGACCCAAGCGCCTGTCAGGTATGCCAACAACCAGCAGACCTGCAACGCACCAGTGACGACAGGGTGGCCTACACTACAAAATCAAATGTGTGCTTAGTACACAGCTGTGGGAGTATGCTTGGAAGCATACATCTATAGGAGTGTGCTTGTCAAGCATACATCTATAGAAGTGTACTTGGGCAAGCATGCATCTATAGATGTGTACTGGGGCAAGCATGCACCTATAGCTGTGTACTTGGGCAAGCATGCATCTATGGCTGTGTGCTTTTAAATGAGTGAGTTGAATGCATGCTTCTCCAAGTACACAGCTATAGGTAGATGCATGCTTGCCCAAGTACACATCTATAGATGTATGCTTGTCAAGCACACTTCTATAGATGTATGCTTACCCAAGCATACTCCTATAGCTGTGTGCTTACAAGTATACTCCCACAGCTGTGTACTAAGCACACATCTGATCTTGCAGTGTACCTTGCCCCTGAAGAGTGGGACAGGCAAGGCAGCGCGCTCTGGGCGATCGGACCAGTACTACACCCCGCCACCTCGCCGTCATATCTACACGTGGGGGTGGGTGTTGTTGTTAGTTATTGTTGCACGCCAGGGTAAGGGATGTTTCAGGCGTTTCAGTCACGAATTGGGTAAAAATACATGTTTGAGTTGTCTTTGTCAGTCCCAGCAGATTAGACAGCACGCTTCAACGGCATTTTAGAATTTATCTGAAGGCATACAATAGTCAATGACACTGAAGATAGAGGTTAGTAGTGTTAAAGAAGATACAGTCTTCATCGGCAAAGAGTCGACTTCGTGCGACGGTCCCCGCTTACGCGGCGGGGGTGAGCTCGAGCCACAATAGTTTTATGGCCCTCCCGAGCCCGGAGCACTACCGGAGCTTTTGTCTACCACCATGTGCTGTTCGGTTTTCGTGTCGGCAAAGAGTCGAAATCCGGTCCCGACTCGTCGACTCTTTGCCGATGAAGACTGTACGTTTCTTTAGCTGGCCGAAGAAAAGTATCTTCTTGGTATGCCTTCAGATTAATGCCAAAATGCCGTTAAAGCGTGCTGTCAAGTCTGCGGGAAAGCATAAAGAAAAGTATCTCCTTTAACTATAGCTAAATAAAAGTATTTTCTTGAATACTACTAACCTCTATCTTCAATGTCATTGACTATGGTATGCCTTCAGATTAATTCTAAAATGCCGTTGAAGCGTGCTGTCAAATCTGCTGGGACTGACAAAGAAAACTCAAACATGTATTTTTACCCAATTCGTGACTGAAACGCCTGAAACATCCCTTACCCTGGCGTGCAACAATAACTAACAACAACAACACCCACCCCCACGTGTAGATATGACGGCGAGGTGGCGGGGTGTAGTACTGGTCCGATCGCCCAGAGCGCGCTGCCTGTCGCACTCTTCAGGGGCAAGGTAAGCCACCCTGTCGTCACTGGTGCGTTGCAGGTCTGCTGGTTGTTGGCATACCTGACAGGCGCTTGGGTCCCCTGACATAAGAAAAGCAACCCGGAAACTTGCTTTGAGCCGAAAACACCTAAGAGAGCGTCCAGTGTGGTATCGAGTGCGGCCGTCACTACAATTTGGTGAAATACGTGGTTGCAGGGGTTCACGAAAATGGCTCGTTCTCGGGAACGAAGCCGAACACATTTTTTGGTTAGCATTTTCGCTTAGGGAAGGGTTTAAGCTGCCCAGATTGGTCAAAATCGGTTGAGGATCTAGGAAATGGCGCTAATTTGAAAACTTCACTAAAGTTTTAAAGTTATAAAAAGTTTTTGGACATAAAAACTTCAAAGACAAAAGAGATACAGTTTTTCATCTTCTTTCCAAATCTGGTCTCGGATTTGACCTACAACCAATGGTTGCTGAGATATTGCCCTCCAAAGTTGCGTTGTTCCAATATTTAGCAAAAAAGTAAATTGCCCATAGCCTAGCCCCTGGGGGGCCGGACCTCAAACCAAGTACCGATTATTTCATGGGGCCATAGGGGTAACAAACCCTGAGCCCAAGGCCTGGTTGACTTCTCATGGAATGTCCCACTTCCAATCAATATACGATCTTGAAATTCAAGCAAGACAGTCACAATACGTTAGAGATTTGATGGGTGTGTGTGGAATTCGAAGATTTGAATGGAACAAAGGGTTACAGAGCCGCAAAGTTGGTGTAAGGTGCGAATGGACATGACGGAACTTACAAAATCGACCCTTTAGGCCCCCCTCCCGCGTTACATGTTAGCTTTGAACGTCCGTAAACAAAGGGAACAAGCTAGTCCACTGCCAAACAAGATTCTTAAGTGCATAAATGGACTGCACTCGAATAAGTTCCTTCTGGGGAGGGTGTGGACACCAAAACGCCCTCTACGCGCGGAATCACCCGGGCCTGCCTTGTCGGGTGTTTGCAGGAGCTCTCCCGTGCCCATACTTTAGACCGCTATATTTCCTAAACGGTTTAAGATACAACTCTGTGCGTGGTCTCATTCGATTCAGCGCGTCTTTTCCCACAAGATAAGATCCCTATCACACACCAAGCAGGCAGAGAACGTCAAACAATGCTCAAAACCTGCATTTTTTAAATAATAAATGGCAAAATTTGCATACTTTGAACCGCTAAATCTTCTAAGCGGTTTGACGTAAAAATCTGCGCGTGGTTTTATTCGATTTATCGCGTCATTTTCTACAAGATAAGATCATCAGAAATTTTTGTCTACTTATTTTTCCCAGAAACCCCAAGAAAAAACTGTTTTTAAAGATGTTTTTATAGGTTGTTTTGGGGGGTTTACTCTACAGGTATTCGTCGGAGGTCAAATCTGAGGTCATATTCTTGTTCCTTGGCCATTTCTACAGAAAGTGACCAAATTTTAGCCGTCTACTATGAAAAGTGTAAAATTAGTCCAAAATATCCAAATTCGTGTTTTTTCTCCAAATTTAAACTAAAGTTTGCCATATCTCGGGCAATTAATTTTTGCCGGACCTAATATTTTGGCTGTAGACTCTTTTTTAGTTAGTTATTAAGCCTACAAAAAATCAGGCAAATTTGAGAGGGTCGCTGGAAGAAGTGGTCCGTCTTAGTTGATTTGGCTCACTGCGAATCCAGGCGTGGGATACACTCTCAGACTGTTATTGACTTTTTGTCCTTTGTTAAAGAGTATTTTACACAGCAATAAAAGGTACTATTTCGTCAATATCTATGTAAGATTTCATTCGTTATATTGACTTAGGGTGGGAAATACCCATTGAAGACCCTTTTTTTAAAGTGCCTAGTTTTCATTGAAAACTCTTTCCTACCTTAAGGAGTTTAATTTTGTCTTGTAATGTGTTCCTTATAGATTCGAAATTCAGCCAGACTTTTAACCCAAGTACCCTATGAGTGTAGAAAACTTCGGCCAAAAAACAACGCTGCCAACCTTCGGTGCGCACGTTTTCCCGAAAAGTAATTGATCTCCAGGTCCAGGTCTTCTGTACAGGATACTTGACACATATATCTAGTTCACACCGTCGCCCTTTTTTGAAAGTGAGTTCCAGTTTTATGTAAATAAGGCAGAAAAGTGCAAAAAATGAAGTATTGACTCTCTATTTTCACTTTTCAGCCTTATTTACAAAAAACTGGAACTCACTTTCAAAAAAGGGCGACGGTGTGAACTAGATATATGTGTCAAGTATCCTGTACAGAAGACCTGGACCTGGAGATCAATTACTTTTCGAGAAAACGTGCGCACCGAAGGTTGGCAGCGTTGTTTTTTGGCCGAAGTTTTCTACACTCATAGGGTACTTGGGTTAAATGTCTGACTGAATTTGGAATCTGTAAGGAACACATTACAAGACAAAATCTAACTCCTTAAGGTAGGAAAGAGTTTTCAATGAAAACTAGGCACTTTAAAAAAAGGGGCTTCAATGGGTATTTCCCACCTTAAAGTCAATTTGCTATTGACAAAGAGTCAATACGGGTCAGTACTAGAGCTCCCCCCTCCTAGAGCTCCCCCCCTATTTTCCGCCTTTTCTTGAATTAATTTTATTTAAATGTGATAAAATGAATTAAATATGATAAAATAAATAAAATATAATTAAATGAATTAAATATGATAAAATGAATTAAATGTGATTAAATGAATTAAATCTGATAAATGTAATTGCACTGCTTGTGCCGAGTGCAAGTTAGATGGATTGGAGTCTACACTAGCCGCGTGAGACCAGCATCGTTCTACCACGCAGCAAGATGCTACGAGAGCTCCAGCGCGGCGGCAGCGGCACTGACAGGGCTGAATTTAAGTGATCTTACCTATCCTAACCAAACCTAACGGGCTCGCGACGGATCTCACTCTCACTCGCGACGGATCTTCCTCTAACTTGCGACAGATCTTTCTGTAACTCGTCAGATCTGTCGCAAGCTAGAGAAAGATCTGTCGCGAGTGAGAGTGAGATCCGTCGCGAGCCCGTTAGGTTTGGTTAGGATAGGTAAGATCACTTAAATTCAGCCCTGTCAGTGCCGCCGCCGCCGGAGCTGGAGCTCTCGTAGCATCTTCCTGCGTGGTAGAACGATGCTGGTCTCACGCGGCTAGTGTGGACTCCAATCCATCCAACTTGCACTCGGCACCAGCAGTGCAATCACATTTATCAGATTTAATTCATTTAATCACATTTAATTCATTTTATCATAATTAATTCATTTAATCATATTTAATTTCTTTTATCATATTTAATTCATTTTATCACATTTAAATAAAATTAATTCAAGAAAAGGCGGAAAATAGGGGGGGAGCTCTAGGAGGGGGAGCTCTAGTACTTCCTGGTCAATACGCAATTGACTTATAAAATAGTGAATAATTGATGACAATTTAGTCTTTATAGTGAACAATCATGTACATGGTTACAAAGGATATAATACACATTATTGCTGCTTAAAAAACTACGTAAGCAAAGGACAAAAAGTCAATAATGGAGATAAAAGTCAATACTAGTCTGAGAGTGTAGGCATGCGCTAGATAATGTAGGACAGGATTTGCCAACAGAAAGTGCCAACGCTAAAACCCCAATTGCTTCTGAAAAATAAATTAATAGAGCCGTCAAAACTATCAAACACACCCGAAAGTGATTTAAATTACGCACAGAACACTCAATTTGCACAATACGTACTTATGAAAAGCGCATTCTCAGACTCGTACTGACTTTTCTCTCTCCAATTTTGACTTTTTGTCCTATGCTTGCGTAGTTTTTTAAGCAGCAATAATATGTGGTGTTCCCTTTGTTACCGTGTACAATATTGTTTGTTCACTACGAAGACTAGTCATCAAATATTATCTATTTTTGAAGTCCATTGCGCAAGGGAATGTGGGACGATTTGTAACAGGGGCGATTCGTAAAATTTAAGTGAAGGGAGCAGAGGAAAATCTGAGTATGGCCCCTCTTTCACTTCAAGTAGAGGGTCCTTGAACAATCGAAGCGGATGTGATCGGTGCTCAGGTATAGTTTTGGAGGGCGTCTGAAACATAGGGTACACCGAAAACAGGCAAATCTTTTATTTTGAGTTCTAGGAAGTTTCTGTCTGAGGCTCCCCAGGTATGAATCACCATCAAAGTACCGTTGGGGCCTTGAAGCGTGACCCCTTTACAATGTAACCACGTGGCATAAGTTGCCTTAACTTTGTCCAGTGATAGTTGGGGACGTATTTCCTGCGTAACAGGCATTTGGGGTGATTCGTAACAGACCCGTATAAAAACAAGAATTTAGATATTTTTTGCAATTAAATGCTTGAATTATTTCTCGAATCATCTGCTGCCTATTGCCAATACATTTACACAGCTCAAAATGCATTTTAAAGCGAGTTATTCTATTCTTTCCTCCCAAATTGAAAAAAGTGAGGTTAGGGTGGACATAGCCCGTCAGTTAATGCTGAGGCGGTCAACGGCAGCTTGTAATGTAGATTTTAAGGCGTCTGTAGGACATCCGAAGAACAACTGCTGGAGGAGATAACATTCCCGACGATGTTTCATCTAATGTGTAGGATGTTATGAAAAGCCCCATGGCTGTTACATCACCCCATGCTGGGGCGATTCGCAACAGCATGCAAGGGTTTGGAAAGCGTCTTAGATTTCCAAGATTACGGATCCTAGATTGATCCAATGGAGCTGTACAGTCTAGATAAAGGGCCAGACTGCTCAACTGGCACAAGTTTCGAACCGATATGCAGAATGTCCTTTATTTTGTGTAGAGAATTCCGAAATCTGTTACAAATCGCCCCACATTCCCTTAATGACTCTTTGTTAATAGCAAACTGACTTTAAGTCAATATAACGAACAAAATCTTACGTAGATAGAGGAAAAAGTATTTTCTATTGGTGTGTAAAAAAAACTCCTTTAACAAAATATAGACAGTCAAGAACAGTCTTGGAGTGCGAACGGTTTGAAATAACTCAACTAAATCAAACGCATCAAATTGGTCAAAATCGGTGGACCCGTGCACGCAGGTCCATGGACGCTCAACGTAACGCCAACTCGTGATACTTTGGTTTTGGGGCAGATGCGTTTACTCGGATTTCGAAACAACGTAACGTAAGGATTCCACTGACCTTGTTCCATCCGAGTCCCCTCATAAGGTAGAAACTAGTGATCGCGCTCGAGGTGGATTGTGCCGTCACCGTAAATTTAACCTCGGGCTCCTGAAGACCACCCTCCAGGATCACCGCTGTCGTCGGATACGACAATGGCACGGGGACGGAGCACTTGTAGCTTGCCAGCAACCGGCCGTGGCCTTGCTGCTGGGACTCGGAGCTGGCGTTACTGGCACGAGACGACATGGTCCTGGAGAACGAAAGGAAAAGGCATTGTACTGTCCATTCGCTCGAACCTCACGGTAAAAACGGTTCCTGGTTTTCCCAGGAACTCCCTGGAAATCACCTATGTCTCTACCATAGGCTTCCTGGGAAAACCAGGTACCGTGTTTACCGTGTGAGCCAGCGGCGACCCTTTGCTCTGCAGGCATTTTCTTGGTGCCATCATGAGTGAGGCTAACAGCCTCGATAAACAACGAGCGAAACAAAAAGCGTCGAACCCTTATAATACCGCACCGAAACAGCACTCTGACAATGAGGCTCCCGGTGCCGGTGGGGTTCGGCTGTTTAACTTCACACAAAATCTATGTGTGTACTCAGTACACTCTTCTAGGTACGTGCTTACAAGCATGCACTTCAAGGTGTGTACTTGCCTAAGCACGCACCTAGTGAGTACTTGAATGAGTACACACTTACTCAGTGAGTACACACTTGCGAGGTGCATGCGCGGCATAGGGAAAACAAACGCATGCACTTCTATGTGTGTATGTACACTTCTAGGCGCGTGCTTAGGCAAGTACACACGTCGAAGTGCATGCTTGTAAGCACGCGCCTAGACGTGTGTACTGAGTACACAAATAGATTTTGTGTGTTTTCCTTTGATCACCGCTGGCTCACGGATGAGGGAAGGGACAGTAAGTGCAGCAGGATGGAAAGTTGGGACCGGTTGGGGAGACATACACTTAAAATGTCTGACAATGACATTCGAACTATGTCACAGTGAGCTCAGCGCTAGTATGACACGAAGCATTGAAGCAATAGTCTTCATAATACGAATCTTTTTGCCATTTACATGGTAAGATACAAGGAAAATCATTGTTCTAGGGTCGACTGAACTCCCCTCCGCTCACTGTTAAAAATTTTTGCTGAAAATTCAGACTTTTTTGACTGAAGTAAATATGCAGAACATCCTACTGAAAATTCAGACTAAATCCTGGTCTGAAATTTTCAGACTTACACAAGTCTTAACCTTTCAGACAGGTCGTAGTCTGAAAAATTCAGACAAAATTGTCTCAATTACTAGATTGTTTTATCTGAAAGTGGCAGCAGGAAATTTTCCCGTAACTCGGTGAAATGATAATGTTCGCATCCGAACCTCAAAGGAGAGACGTACTCCAAGGAACCGTCTAGGTAAAAAATTGAGTGTAGGGCAATGTCCCCGATGTGAGACTCTTCCCTGCACTCATCTGGAGCTGGCATGACGCACCCTAGGGAACGACGGCACGGAGCCAACCGCGAGAGGTAACTTCAAATGTCAATTGTTAAACTCGCGCGTTTGCTACAGATATAAATTTGGTATGGGAGCGTGTGTTTCGTCATAGCCAATAGAGTGATGGCCATTTCGGGTTAAAAATATTAAAAATTTAACAGAATCAAACGTTTTTAACAACAGCAGGCTCTTTACCGACACTGGCGCCACCTAGCGGAGAGAAAAATGCTTTCGTTTTGTCTGAAGTCCCCGAAACGGAGTCGGATTAAATTGAATGTAAGACTGATTGTGAGTTAACCCAATGTTAGGTTGGAAGAAAGTTGTCCAATTTTCTCTTATGTTTGAACATATTTCAGAAAGTAGTCTGAATCCGAAATTCAGACTCTTGAGGTCTGGGAAGTCTGACGCAAGTTCATATGAATTTTGAGAATGAGTACAAATATTAAGACACTTCGAGTCTGAACCAAGCTTTCAGACAAAGCGTTTAAGAACTAAGACAAAAACTCTGATTTTTCAGAATTTAGTCTGATTTACAGATTCAGACCGCTAAGTCTGACAAAATTGGTCTGAATTTTCAGAATTTTTTTAACAGTGCTGTGTACGAGGGAGTAGTATTCGTATAGTACAAGTAATATGGGCAATGTGAAATATACAGTGACACATTGCCCATATTGCCTTCGTGAGCCCTTGTTCGTTTCGGCAACCAACTCAATCCGCGAAACCGTATTCTGGTCCGTGGAGGCTTTGTAATTAATAGTAGACCATATCATCCAACCAGGCTATATGGGAACAGCGGGTGGAAACTTGCCAAAAAAGACATGCAAAGGTTTTTTGTGCACCTTAGATCTCGGAACCCAGAGGTGGTAGGTGAAATCCGAGGTCATGGAATCCTCAGAAAATTTCACTCGGCGTAGGGTATGTTTTGAGCGGGAGGTCAAGGAAATGGTCGGTCATTTTGTAATGAGAGAAAGAAAAAAAGGAGAAAAAACGCTGTGGGACCATGATCGAAACGTTGCATTGTTTTGTGGTAACACTTAATGCAAGAGAACGGGACCTCGTAGGTAAATTCTGAGGTCATATTCTGAATCCTGAGAAAATTTCATGTGCATTACGCTGCCTGGGAGTGGTCAACACACCAAAATAACAGAAAACCGTTGCCGTGAAACTGTGAGAGGGTATGCGGCGATTGTATTGCATAAAATTAGAAAACAGTCTGCCGTTGACTGCGTGTTCTAAAGGGTACAGACCCTCCTTCTTTGAAACTTATAGGTGGAATGCACACACGAAAGCACCCTGAATTCATGTCTGTACTCAGAATTTGAATTGGCCATACCGTTGTCTCACATTAAGCATGACCAAATAACAATTTTCGGGATAAAGCGTAAATTTCGAACCTGGTCACAGAGCGTTTTTCACCTGTTTTTTTACTTTCTCATGGCAAAATGACTGACCATTTCCTTTGCCCCTGGCACTAAACATGTCCTACGCCGAGTGAATTTTATGAGGATTCCAAATATGACCTCGGATTTCACCTACCACCTCTGGGTTCCGAGATCTAAGATGCACAAAAAACCTTTGCATGCCGTTTTTGGCAACTGAGTTTCCACCCGCTGATGGGAAGTTGCCAAAATTGTGGGTCCTTTTGCCTCCTAAAAAAGTGAAAAAAATATCTCGTTCTAAATTTTTTAAAGTATTTTTCCTGTATTCTAGGGGTCATTCTAAACGCATTTCCGAAGGAGGCCAGTATTTTCTCGCACTTTGATTTTCCCCCTATACTTAACATGGGGGAATGGCACGGAAGTTACCGAAAATGTGCAAGGCACGGAAGTTACATCATCAAACAAACCGTGAAAACGGACCAACCCGTTCACCAAATCGAACAGGTGTCTCGCCTAAAGTTCAAAAGACGTAAAAGCGCGAAATGGCCAGGTGGACCGAAATCGATAGGCCGAGTAGCAAGCTCGCTATTGATGACACGGAAGGTTACACATAAACCTGACACATGCCGGATTTTTACCTTTGGTGGTCAAGCTAGCCGGAATGGGGCCCTCTAGCGAAAATCCGCCTACCGCGCTGGAAAGAGGAAACCGTGCTGCTGATTCCGGACGTTGAGCCGAACTTTTCCCGCTACAGGTTCGACGCTAAGGCGCGAAACTAAAGCTGACGATGTTTGAAAACCAGTACGGTGGACATTTTTGGCCCGTCCCGTTTATTTTTTGTAAAAAACTGACGGAGCGACGGGCATATAGTATGATGCATGCTGTGCGTCCGTTCGTTCGTTCGTCCGTTCGTTCGTCCGAGGACTTCCCCGAGTAAAAATAGAAGGCTGCAGAAAGGCTGACGCACGGCTGACGCATGGCTGTATGGACCGTTTTTTGGCTGTATGCATGGCTGCCGTGGCTGCGTTGCAGCCATGTCGCAGCCATAGCGACGTCCTGGACTTGCAGCCATGCACGCTGCAGTGGCTGGTCTGGCTGTTTCACGGAGCGCTTTGGCTGTGAAACGCTTCAGAAGCTGCGCACAGAAGCCTTTTGGCTGCCCTAAGCAGCCTACAAACGCTGCCACGCACAGCCAACTTAGCTGCAGTGGCTGCAGGCTGTGCGTCGCAGCGTGTTGGCTGCTAGCGCCAGCCCTGGGTCATTCCACACTAATTCACCGAGGTCGAGGGATCGACCACCTCAGAACTGTCTGAATTTTTGTGTTTCGCCACCAATTAGGGTCCTTATGAACGGTGTAAAACGGTTTTGGTCTGAGTCAAGTGGTTTGGGAGATATAGACATGGCTCTTTTTTGGTACATTTAATAAAAAAAATTCTTAGTTTCACAAAAGTGCGCATAACTTTTGAACCGTTTGAGATATCGAAAAACCGAGCAAAGCGCGTGAAAGAGGGTACAATTCCGCTTCGAATGACGTATAAAACATGCACATCGAGTCAAAATTCATTTTCTTGTTATTTTTCACTTTTAATTAACTTTCTTAACCCAAAACACCAATTTCGTATTTTTTGATATTTTTGAAACTTTGCACAGACCTTCCCTTAACATCCCTAAACAACCCCTTAAAATATTGAGCTGTGTATTTGAGAGGCCTGGGAGATATGGAGGGGCATGTCCACATCTGCACCCTTGGACCGCCCTGAGAGCCCGTTTCTTTGCGGTCCTGATCAGCCCGCGGCGGAAGTAACCCAGATCGGTCATGAGGAGTTGGCATAGTGAATGAATATCAATGACCACTGCGATAAGAAGCTTCGTTTAAGTCACAGGTGAACGGAAACAAACAATTTTCTTGGCCGGACCGGGTGCGCCTGCACCTACAAGGCTGCATAGCCAACCCACAGCGCGTGCACTAGGTGTGGCCACCATCTCCGGCCACAGGCGTCCCGTCCTCGGCGTGCGGGCCCGGCAGTGGCAGTCTGCAGTAGTACCGTGCAGTAGTACCCCCCGGGGGAGGAGGGGGGGAGACCCTCTTCCCCCTAAGGCACTGGATAGATGCCTGGTAGGCAGGCTATTTGCGGCACCCTGTTAGTAGGGCAAAATGGGTCGCCTGACACCCCCTCCCCTTTCCAAATTTCTGCTCACGCCAGGGCTAGAGGGGACTCAACTAGGTGGTGAAACAGACCTGATAACATCTGATATCAACAAGTCTTACTCGCTGGGGCGCTAGGAGTCACTAGGTCAATATGGTGGCATTGGTCAAAACTAACCTCAAACGAATTAGGATAGTCTGCCGGCTTCCACGCGAGTGAGGATGGCCTCCTAGCG